GGTTAAATGTGTGTGGCAGGTAGCCTACGCTCTTATAAAAAAGGGTTCCGAAAGGGTTCTTCAGCTATTCAGCTTTGCTTTATCTTGGCCAGGTCGCAGTTGTAAATGAGAACTTGTTCTCAACTGGCTTACCTGGTTAAATAAAGGTTAAATAAAATTAAAAAAAGTATAGCTTTTTTTGGATCCAGGTAGAACACTTTTGGGTTCCAGGTAGAATCCTCTGTAGAAAGTGTTCTACATGGAACCCAAAAGGGTTCTACCTGGAACCAAAAGGTTTCTACATGCAACCGAAAAAGGTTATTCAAAGTGTTCTCCTATGGGGACAGCGAAGAACCCTTTAAGGTTCTAGATAGCACCTTTTTTTCTAAGAGTGTTGCGATTAGAGCGTTAGGCCAGTAACCGAAAGGTTGCTGGTTCGAATCCCCGACCCGACAAGGTGAAAAATCTGTCGATGTGCAAGGCACTTAACCCTAATTGCTCCAGGGTCAACAAGATAATGGCAGACCCTGGCCGTGGCCCCACTCTCCAAAGGGTGTCTCAGGGGGAGCTGGGATTTGCAAAAAAAACACATTTCCAATTCAGACACTAGTACATGTGTGAAAAAGGACAAATATAACCACCCACCAAATTATTATTAAATGTGTGCAGCCCTGGAAGGTGGGTTGTTGGAGGTTGTGTGGTGTTATTCTCTGAGTGGCCAACAGATGGTGCTGAATGACACCATCTGCTTACAAATTGAATAATAAAACAATATAACAAGAGTGACCCTTATTAAGCTGACAGTTTGTTTTAGTAAGATAATGTATTTGAAGGTTTACTTTAGAAAATATTACAGTTTATTGGGTGTAATTTGTTGTCATGACTAAGACAGCACACATACACATGCACGCCATGCATCGCTAATGTCTAATCTGATAGGGCCTTGCATCTCTAATGTCTAATCTGTATAGGGGAATAAGCAGACAAGAAAATGCACATCCAGAGGTGGCGCTTCTTGTGGTCAGTGATTTTAATGCAGGGAACCTGAAATCCGTTTGACCTAATTTTTACCAGAACGTCACCTGTGCAACTAGAGGCGAAAAAACTCTAGATCACCTTTACTCCACACAGAAACGCATACAAGGCTTTCCCTCACCCTCCCTTTGTCAAATCTGACCATAACTCTATACTCCTGATTCCTGCTTACAAGCAAAAACTCAAACATGAAGTACCAGTGACGCGCTCAATATGGATTGTTTCACTAGCAAAGACTGGAATATGTTCCAGGATTCATCCGATAACATTGAGGAGTTTACCACATCAGTCACCGGCTTCATTAATAAGTGCATCGACGACGTCGTCCCCACAGTGACTGTACGTACATATCCTAACCAGAAGCCATGGATTACAGGCAACATCCTCACTGAGCTAAAGGCTAGAGCTGCCGCTTTCAAGGAGTGGGACACTAATCCGGACGCTTATAAGAAATCCTGCTACGACCTCCGACGAGCCATCAAACAGGCAAAGCGTCAATACAGGACTAAAATTGAATCCTACTAGGCCGGCTCTGACGCTCGTCGGATGTGGCAGGGCTTGCAAACGATCACGGATTACAAAGAGAAACCCAGCCGCGAGCTGCCCAGTGACATGAGCCTACCAGACGATCTAAATGCCTTCTATGCTCGCTTCAAAGCAAGCAACACTGAACCATGCATGAGCGCACCAGCTGTTCCGGATGACTGTATGATCTCGCTCTCCATAGCCGATGTGAGTAAGACTTTTAACCCTTTGACACGTACAAACACACAGGTGTGATCATTCTACAGTGGTCCCTGCAGCGTACGCTCAAACCAGTGTGATTAGAACACTTCATTAGACCATATAGTAATGACTGACGCGACAGTCAGTATTTGAGCTGGCCACACTGATTTCTCACAGAAACATTTTGCACGAACACAGTCTTTACAACGTTATGTCCTCAATGTGAGCAGTTTATTTTTGGATGCAATGTTCAGACGTTCACAGAAGTAGCAACAGCATATCACAATTCTCATCCAAATTGGAAAATGTGGGCTACATTAGTCCTAGTGCTAATTGAGTAAAGAGTGAGCTAACGCAAACTGTCATATTTAGCCAAATCTCGGCTGATAGAAAACATAATATGAATTAGCTAATAGCAATTACTATTTACAATTCATCACATCATGGTTGAGCTCACCAGTGATTTAAATAATTGAGTAAAACACTTTATAAAAGACTAATGTAATCCGACGGTGGGCAGAGTTTGTGCGCACCGCAATGTTTGTTTTTCTGTGTCAACTAAAGATAAGAAGAGGTGACAAGATGAGTTGGGTCTATTTGCAGTATGCACATTGAAGGCGAAGGGGGTGTGTCGTCTACCATCATTTACTTCCCATCATTCACTTCCGGAATCTTTGGTCTGACAGACATTTACATGACACCAAGAATGCATTGAATGATGTCAACAAACATTGCTCCACACATAGCCGGCAAATAGCTTAGCATTAGCTCATTATAATCAGTACAACCTTCAAAAAAGTATTTTACACAAATCATATATGTCCATTAAAATATATGCAAGAATCGGAATGCATAATTTGTCACCAGTAAAACTTGAAAACATGAATAAAACAGCAAATAAAGAAATTATTACCACACAAACCATTTTCTGATAGTGATTTATTGATACAAGTGGCCCATGCCGGTGTTATGATACTGATGATTTGTTGCCACATATGGTTTGTTTACGTTTCTACTGTTGTGGCTCGATGGAGTAGCTAGGCCTACAACAGCTCAGTCTAGTGGTTGCGTCAGGGACAACAGTTGTTGTCAACTGTAACATTGTAGCTAATTCTAAGCCTAACCCTTTTCCTAACCTTAACCTCATTCTCTTAACTTCCTATGTTAATTCACCTAACCTACTGAGTTAGTTCTCCTAACCTGCCATGTTAATTATCCTAACCTGCTATGGTAAACAAACCATCTGTGAAGACAAATCATCAGTATCAACACACCGGCAGCCAATCACGTCTCCCCTGACACTCACTTGGAGCCATTCAGTGTTGTTGTTTATGTATGTAGCTAGTGGGCTAAGCTGTAGCATTAGCAATGTCTTTCAAAAGGAGAGAACTCACAAATGTGGAAATTCTGGAGATTTTTGTAAATTCTGACAGTGACACTGAGGAGCTGCCCCCAGCTTTGTGGCCATTGAGAACCCTGAATCTGAGGACCCCTTTCCAACCGATGAAGTCCCAGGTCCCTCTGAACAAGCTGGTGGTGATGGAAGCAGACCAATAGTGGGTGAAGTACAGGAGGTCTGTGGTAGCTGGAAGGCCGCCAGCCATTTCACCCCTCCTGGCCCAGCTGTTGGCTTTGATGAGTCCTAGTCTGGAGTGCAAAGTACCTTGCCATCTCCCTCTGAACCAGTGCTTCAAGCTGTTTCTGACAGAGGAGCTGGTCGGAGATATAGTGGAGCTACAGGAGAAGAGAGCCACAGGGAAGGTGGACCTCATTACGGGAGAGAGAAAGATCAAACCAGACTGTGTGCTTGACTATAATCGCACAATGGGGGCAGTGGATAAGATGAACAGCTTTGTGGCATGCGCTAGGAAAACCACCAATTGGTATAAGAATATATTTTTTTCCATCTGATCGGTACTGCTGTCCTCAATGGCTAACAAGCAAAATGATTACTGAACAAGGTTTTTTGTAATTGGATATACAGTTCACATAAAAATCAAATACAGTTCCATTATGCAATTATATGGACAATATCTCACCCACCTCCCCACTCCCACATCATAATCCTCCCTACTCCCTCTCCAAACAGTATGTTGCTAGCATACAAAAGCTGTCCTCAATCTTCGGCAAGAAAGATGTTCAGTTCAAGATGATGTTGGCACGTTATTTACATTTACGGCATTTAGCAGACGCTCTTATCCAGAGCGACTTACAGTTAGTGCATACATGATTCTTTTTATTTTATTTACCACATGGGAATCGAACCCATGGGGTGGAGCACAATTGGCCCAGCGTCGTCTAGGGTAGGGGAGAGAATGGCCGGCAGGGGATGTAGCTCAGTTGGTAGAGCATGGTGTTTGCAATGCCAGGGTTGTGGGTTCGTTTCCCACGGGGGGGTATGAAAAAAAATTACAATAATGTATGCAATCACTGGATAAGAGCGTCTGCTAAATGACTAAAATGTAAATGTAATAAGGCATTTACTTTGATAGGAATGCACACAGTAATTATTAGTAAGGAAAACAACAATGAAGGCAAAGCGGGCGCCAGATGGAAAATGTGCCAGGGGGAAAAGGTTTGGGCAGGTTCTGTTCTGACTGGAGATACGCAAATGTATGCATACTTGACCTGAGAAAACTCTAGGGGAGTGCTTGGGCTCTCATGGAAGAGAAAGGTTTGTCTGGCTCATCTAGCTAATCCTTCCCTTCATTAGCATAACATGCCTCAAATGTAAATTGTCTGCAACAGTGAAATGGGCTACTTCTATGTCAATTAATAAGGAGGCGGAACGCACCTCATTTCAAACTGTTCGAAAATCATTTACAATTTGAAACTTGATAATTAGCAGGCAGCGTGCCTTGTTTTGAGGGCAGCATGGGTTAACTGTCCTGTTGCATAACAATCACATTTTGGAACAGTGAGCGAATTCTGACATCACGTGCATAAGAAAACTCAAGCTGGGGGGACCGAGATATTTGGAACTCATGTGTGAAAAGGTTAAACAGGTTAACATTCACAAGGCCACGGGGCCAGACGGATTACCAGGACGCATACTCAGAGCATCCGCTGACCAGCTGGCAAGTGTCTTCACTGACATTTTCAACCTCTCCCTGACCCAGTCTGTAATACCTACAGTACATGTTTCAAGCAGATCCTGTGCCCAAGAACTCCAAGGTAACCTTTCTAAATGACTATCGCCCCGTAGCACTCACATCTGTACCAAAAGGGTTATTTGGCTGTCCCAATAGGAGAACCCTTTTTGGTTCCAGGTAGAACCCTTTTGGGTTCCATGTAGAACCTCCTGTTGAAAAGGTTTTACATGGAACCCAAAAGGGTTCTACCTGGAACCAAAAAGGTTTCTTCAAAGGGTTCTCCTATGGGGACAGCCGATGAACCCTTTTAGGAACCCTTTTAGGTGTGTAGCCATGAAATGCTTTGAAAGGCTGGTCATGGTTTACATCGACACCATCATTCCAGACACCCTGGACCCACTCCAATTCGCATACCACCCCAACAGATCCACAGATGACACAATCTCAATTGCATGCCACACTGTTCTCTCCCACCTGGACAAGAAGAACACCTACAGTGGGGAGAACAAGTATTTGATACACTGCCGATTTTGCAGGTTTTCCTACTTACAAAGCATGTAGAGGTCTGTAATGTTTATCATAGGTACACTTCAACTGTGAGAGACGGAATCAAAAAAAAATCCAAATCCAAAATCCAGAAAATCACATTGTATGATTTTTAAGTAATTAATTTGCATTTTATTGCATGACATAAGTATTTGATCACCTACCAACCAGTAAGAATTCCGGCTCTCACAGACCTGTTAGTTTTTCTTTAAGAAGCCCTCCTGTTCTCCACTCATGACCTGTATTAACTGCACCTGTTTGAACTCGTTACCTGTATAAAAGACACCTGTCCACACACTCAATCAAACAGACTCCAACCTCTCCACAATGGCCAAGACCAGAGAGCTGTGTAAGGACATCAGGGATAAAATTGTAGACCTGCACAAGGCTGGGATGGGCTACAGGATAATAGGCAAGCAGCTTGGTGAGAAGGCAACAACTGTTGGCGCAATTATTAGAAAATGGAAGAAGTTCAAGATGACGGTCAATCACCCTCGGTCTGGGGCTCCATGCAAGATCTCACCTCGTGGGGCATCAATGATCATGAGGAAGGTGAGGGATCAGCCCAGAACTACACGGCAGGACCTGGTCAATGACCTGAAGAGAGCTGGGACCACAGTCTCAAAGAAAACCATTAGTAACACACTACGCCGTCATGGATTAAAATCCTGCAGCGCACGCAAGGTCCCCCTGCTCAAGCCAGCGCATGTCCAGGCCCGTCTGAAGTTTGCCAATGACCATCTGGATGATCCAGAGGAGGAATGGGAGAAGGTCATGTGGTCTGATGAGACAAAAATATAGCTTTTTGGTCTAAACTCCATTCGCCGTGTTTGGAGGAAGAAGAAGGATGAGTACAACCCCAAGAACACCATCCCAACCGTGAAGCATGGAGGTGGAAACATCATTCTTTGGGGATGCTTTTCTGCAAAGGGGACAGGACGACTGCACCGTATTGAGGGGAGGATGGATGGGGCCATGTATCGCGAGATCTTGGCCAACAACCTCCTTCCCTCAGTAAGAGCATTGAAGATGGGTCGTGGCTGGGTCTTCCAGCATGACAACGACCCGAAACACACAGCCAGGGCAACTAAGGAGTGGCTCCGTAAGAAGCATCTCAAGGTCCTGGAGTGGCCTAGCCAGTCTCCAGATCTGAACCCAATAGAAAATCTTTGGAGGGAGCTGAAAGTCCGTTTTGCCCAGCGACAGCCCCAAAACCTGAAGGATCTGGAGAAGGTCTGTATGGAGGAGTGGGCCAAAATCCCTGCTGCAGTGTGTGCAAACCTGGTCAAGACCTACAGGAAACGTATGATCTCTGTAATTGCAAACAAAGGTTTCTGTACCAAATATTAAGTTCTGCTTTTCTGATGTATCAAATACTTATGTCATGCAATAAAATGCAAATGAATTACTTAAAAATCAACAATGTGATTTTCTGGATTTTTTGTTTTAGATTCTGTCTCTCACAGTTGAAGTGTACCTATGATAAAAAATTACAGACCTCTACATGCTTTGTAAGTAGGAAAACCTGCTAAATCAGCAGTGTATCAAATACTTGTTCTCCCCACTGTATGTGAGAATGCTGTTCATTGACTACAGCTCAGCGTTCAACACCATAGTGCCCTCCAAGCTCATCACTAAGCTCAGCAGTGCGTGTATACATGGATGCCATGGGAAGCCAGGTTTCCCCAAAAACAATTACCAAGAAAAAAACATACAAAGTCATTTATCTTTCGTCTTTCTGTGTTTCATGAATTTCCTTCAATTCGCAAGAGGTTGAATGTATCTCACCGGAGAAAGCATCCAAGTGAACTGATTTGGTCCTGTGGTTTTACTTAATTCTCCGTACTGGCCGATGATTATAACGGCGATTCTGATCCATGCATGAATGTATACATTGTGCCCCTGGCCTGAGAGGATGGAAGTTCAACATGTCGCTAGATGTAGTAATGTTAGGCTAATGTTAACTAGCTAGCCAGGCGCATTGTTGCCCATGAAAGGAAGTTGGGGGAGCAAGCATTTTAGCCAGGTAGCCTAGGACAACAAAAACGAAAAGTCATAGACCGTTTAGGCAACATGAAAGAGGAGGATGGTTTTGGCGTTTCTCTACAAGTAGGGTGAGTCACCATGTTTTTTCTACTTGCACGCACGCACACACACACACATAAATCAGTACAATGGACAGCCACATAATATTTAGCTTACGTTGATTGGACTAAATCATTTTTGGTATCTTTTAGGTGTCACTGTATTAGACTAAGCATAAGTTATTAGATGTTGAAATGGTGTGAGAATAGTGAAGGCAGTGCCTGTTTTCTTTGCGACTTGCGGTAACTCTCTGTGGTTCCAAATCAATAGTTGTTTAGTAGTCCTAAAATGTCAGAAACATGAACTTGCTTGACCATGCTGTAGGTCATGTAACTGTTTGTTACATGCAATATGTTTAGTGGACTTCATCGGACAGATGTTGCTCTCCGGTTTTGTGATGAAACAAAGGTGTGGTTGAATTTATTCTGCCACTGTGTCTTCTTATTTTCTCGGCCTTAGGCCTATATATCACAGTGTCAAGGCATATGAACTAACAGGTTATAGAGCAAACAACGCAATTGGTTGTAATAGCATTTTTTTCATAGCTTGGCTTCCCCGTTGATTTTACCCACACACCGCTACTGAAGCTCAGGACCCTGGGACTGAACACCTCCCTCTGCAATTGGATTCTGGACTTCCTGACAGGCCACCCCCGTGTGGTGAGGGTAGGCAACAACACATCCGCCACATCTTCAATACAGGGGCCCCAGGGGTGCGTGTTTTGTCCCCTACTGTACTCCCTGTTGTACTCCCTGTTCACCCACGATTGCGTCTCCACCTACAACTCCAAAACCATTAAAAGTTTTGCTGACAACACAACGATGGTAGGCCTGATCACCGATGACGATGAGACAGCCTATAGGGAGGTCAGTGACCTGGCAGTGTGGTGCCAGGACAACAACCTCTCCTTCAACGTCAGCAAGACAAATAAGCTGATCGTGGACTACAGGTAACGGAGCGCCAAGCATGCCTCCATCCACATCGACGGGGCTGTACTGGAGCGGGTCGAGAGCTTCAAGCTCCTCGGTGTCCACATCACTAAATAATTAACATGGTCCACACACACCAACACAGTTGTGAAGAAAGCACAACATGGCCTCTTCCCACTCAGAAGGCTGAAAATTTGGCATGGGCCCTCAGATCCTCAAAAAGTTCTACAGCTGTACCATTGAGAGCATCTTCACTTGCTGCATCACTGCTTTGTATTGCAACTGCTTGGCATCCAACCACAAGGCGCTACAGAGGGTAGTGCATATGGCCCAGTACATTACTGGTGCCGAGCACCCTGCCATCCTGGACTTCTATACCAGGTGGTGTCAGAGGAAGGCCCTAAAAAAAAATCTAGTTTTTTCTCTCTGCAGTGTTGGGAAGGGCCCGTAAGTAAGCATTTCACTGTTACTGTACACCTGTTGTTTACGAAGCATGTGACAAATAAAATGTGATTTGATCCCCGTGTTCCAGAGTTTAACCCATGTCTCATTGTTCTGATGTCCCATAACTCCTAATTCACCCCCCTTCAACACACACACACACACACACACAAACATGTCACTCATTCCTATCTACATTATTCACACACACTCCTAACCCACATCTAACCCCGACGACCTGTCTCCCACGACCTGTCTCCCACCACTAAACCTTCACTCACCCCCAGGTAGATATGACCTGGTTCTAATATACATCTGCAACCTGTGTGTGTGTGTTTTCGTGTGTTTTCATGTGTGTGTGTGTGTGTGTGTGTGTGTGTGTGTGTGTGTAGGTGGATGTATCATGGTTCTATAGGAACTGCTTGACAGACACGTGTAACTGTAACCGGGGCGGAGACTGTGAGTGTCTGTGTACGTCCATTGCTGCCTATGCACACACCTGCTGTCAACACGGTGTTACTGTGGTCTGGAGAAACCCCTCTGTCTGCCGTGAGTACACACACACATACTGTACATACACACACAATGTGTGTCTGTTCCTCTGACCAACTTCCTCTCTGTCAGCATAGGTGCTGGGTCACTCAATGCTCCTACACGCCCGCATGCACACACACACACACACACACACACACACATGCCAGTACACAGAACAATAGAGTCCCCCCTCTGACCCAAATCCCCTGTACCATTATTTCTTACTGTCATCAAATGACCACAGATACACACACACACACACACGCACACACACACACACACACACACACACACACACACACACACACACACACACACACACACACACACACACACACACACACATTGACACTCGCAATACCATGGTCTCTCTCTCCCTACACAGTATGTGTTGGCTATGAATGTCTACAGTACTATCACATACTGTACATATGTGGTGTTGTATGTTTCTAAATGTTTGTGCTTGTTTTTTCTTTCAGCCTATGATTGTGAATACTACAACCAAGGTATGTTTGAACGCTAACCAAAAATTACTCACAAAGGAACACCTTTCAATCACACAAAAATACAAATACACATATACAAACTGAGCATCCTAATATATTCACTCAACATAGAGAATATCCTCCACCCCTCTCTCTGTCTCTCTCTGTAGAGTTAGGTGAAGGGCCGTTCTCAGTGGTCAGTGCTATACATAACGCGACAGTCTTCGGTGTGAACAGAACCAGTGGGTCAGTGTTTCCTCTAGTTAGGGAGTTCGTAGGCGGGCTGCCTCCCCCCGGACTACTCTTCAACTTCATGATCACAGCAGGACTACAGAAGGACCGCACATCACGTGAGTCTCACACACACATACACATATTTACACTCACTCACATGCACGCACACACACACACACACACAAACACACAAACTCATCTCACATGAGCTTTTACAGGTCTCCCGGTGGTCTCTCTGGAGTCAGCAGAGCGTCCTAACTACTTCCTGGTTGTGTCTGGGCGTACTGGGCTGCGGTTGGAGCAGTGGACCCGAGGGGAGGAGTTTGGCCGCAGAGCTTCCTTCCTGCAGCACCAGGGACTGTTCCTGCCTGGCCACACCTCCTTCGAGCTGATTGGCCAGCCAGGAGTGTTCCTGACTCTGACACGCACGTCTGCACAAGCTCAGAAATATGACAACTCTGACAACTTCAAGACCAGCAGCTCCTTTACCCTGGAGGGTTAGACATAAACATAAACGTCATAATACACAGCACACACACACAGTTTCTTTTTCTCTAGTTCTTATGTGTTTGTTGACAATGTGTATGTTTGTATTACAGAGAGCAGTTTTGTAATCCCATACCGTATGATGTGTGAGTGGCGCTACCATGCATGCGCCAGTCCGTGTGTCCGTACATGCAGCGACCCCGCTGCCACACGCTGCCACTTCCTGCCCCCGTAAGAACACGTCTAACACGCACTTAGAAACGCACATTTAGAAACACACGCTTACAACATGGTTATACACTGTAAGGGCACGCTTAATACGCGCTTTGAACGTTTGTCCGTGTCTGTGTGTGTCTGGCAGGGTAGAGGGCTGTTTCCCTCGTTGCCCCAAAAACATGGTTCTTGATGAGGTCACCAGGAGATGTGTCTACACAGAGGACTGTGAGTAGAGTGTGCATCACACCAGGATCTGTAAAGTTAAATAGTTTTTTAAGTAATGTATGTCTGTGTGTCTGTCCTCAGGTGTGTCCCTCCCTCCCACTCCTACACCTTACGCCTTCGTAAACCGAACGACCACCACCCCAACTACTACTACTGTTAGGCCTACTAGTAGCACTACTACATCTAGGACCACTACTAGGACCACTACTATTAGTACCAGAACTACAACCAGTGCTGCCTCTACAACTGTTACTGCCACCAGAGCCCCCACTACTTCCAGTACAGCCCAACTGACGGAGAGTTTCACTCCCACCCTCACCCCTCCTCGCTCCCCCTCTCCTCCTCCCCCTTCTTCGCCCGCACCCTCCACCCCCACTGTGACCGAGCACACCCCTTCACCTGCAGTCTCTCCCTCCATCTCCCCCTCTCCCTCCACCACCATTACTAGCAGCACCACTGGGGCCACGACCCCGACCTTGACCCCTGCAGCGGTCACTACAGTAACTATGGAAACATCATCCTCTACTCCCCCCAGCCTGGTAGTGACCGAATCCACCACTCCTCCTCTTCTCTCTCCTGCTTCTCACTCTCCCCCTCCTGCTACCCCTCCCCAGCCTTCCACCCAGCCTTCCAGCTCCCCCTCAGCTCCCCCTATCTCCTCCCCTACCTCCTTTTCCCCTCCTCCCCCTCTCTTCTCCTCCACCCCCACCCCCACCCTGACCACCACACAAACACACCTTCCTGTTACTACACCCACGGAGACTACCTCTGTATTCCAAGTAGTTTATGACACCTCCGTTACCATGTCGACATCACCCCCCGAGACGATGGAGTCCATAACAACGGAAACAGCCACCAGCCCAGACTCCTCTTATACGCCTGAGGCAGTCAGCATACCAACAGTGCTGTCCCCCTTCCTCCTACCCACCGCCCCCTGCACAGTAAGAGCCAATCAGTGAGAGACAGTGTGTTTGGACAAGTTAGAGGGCCGAGCATGCAGCCCTGGGGAACTCCCTTTGTCAGTAGCTGAGTTTTGGATCCCTCTGATCTCTCTCTCTCTCTCTCTCTCATCTCTCTCTGCTCTCTCCAGCCCCCGTATTCCTACCGTGTTGATGAGTGTGCAGAACTGATCTGTTTTAACGGGGAGTTTCTCCTCCATAACTCCTCCCTCCACTGTCGGTACAACACCACTCTTCCTCGCTGCTCTCTGCTGGGCATGGCTGTCCTCACCAACACCGACCCCTGCTGCCCGCTCTGGCAGTGCCCCTGTAAGAACACACACTACTGTACATACACACACACACTATACACACACTTTACATACATACCAGCACACACACATTATACAAACATACTGTGCTTGTGTGTGTTTGCCTATCCGTGCATGTGTGTGTATGTGTTAGGTCGCTGCTCAGTGATGTCAGACCTGCGTGTGATAACGTTTGACGGTAACAACGTAGCGCTGTATGATAACGGCTCCTACATCCTGGTCTACCTACCCACAGAGAACATCATAGGAACAGTGAACAAATGCCCTACCAGCCAGGTACACACACACACAAACTCTCTCTGTTTTAAATACACACGCTATTATAAACTGTTATAGGATGCTATAAGCACCTGATTCTGATTTGTTGACTTTTTCTTGTTTCTTATTTAGAGCGTCAACTCCATCAGACGACCTGTGAGTTTCCCTTTAACATCTAATCATGATCATTATCATAGTAATTATATGGTCATTATTACACTGTTTTACTTGGACATCTTTCTCTCAGAGCCCTAGTGGTGGAACGTCAGGTCTGTGTTTTAAGAACTTGAACATCACTACTCCCTCCTACAGGATCATCATCAACCGTCTTGACCGCAAGGTGACCATCACTGACCGCAACCGACTGACCACTGAACCATTACTGATAGCATATACTGTAGAACACAGCTCATGCTATATCTGTGTGTGTGTGTGTGTGTGTGTGTGTGTGTGTGTGTGTGTGTGTGTGTGTGTGTGTGTGTGTGTGTGTGTGTGTGTGTGTGTGTGCGTCTGTATGGTGTTCGTGTGGGGATACAGGTGTCAGTGAACCACATAAAGGCACGGCTGCCTTTCTCCCGTCAGGCCCTGTCAGTAGAGGACACAGGCAGTATGTACCTGATCACCACTCCTGGAGGAGTCAACATACAATGGTACCACAGCACTGGCATCATGGTGCTGCAATACACCGCCACCTCCAATACATCTGCTCCTACTAGAGGCCTCTGTGGTAAGACATCCATAAAATGAGCTAGATTTGTCATTTACTCTAACACTTTCATCCTTTATTGTCAGATCAGGTATGTGGCTTTGTTTTGAAGTCGTCCACTAGCATGATTTAATGAACCTGGAGAAGAGAGAACGTTTCTCTCATACCTGACCTTGCCCTATTTCTGGCGTGCATTTGTTCATCCGTGCATGTGATGAACATAAGTGCATCCGTAATAGTTTTGTAAATAAAGTATCAAGTTGTTTTAAATTGTGATCAAGAGTTGGACCTATTCCTTTTCAATGCTCATGCTATTATTTGGTTGCACCTTGTCTCACGTTGGTTGATCACCTTTTACTGGTGTGTCTCCCAGGGTGTTGTGACGGGAACCCGGCTGATGACCTGAAGCTGCCTAACGGTACGGTGGTGAGGGAGGTGGCAGACCTGGGTCTGTTCCTGCAGGCCTGGAGGGTCCACACCTCAGAAGACACGGAACACACACGACGCATCGGGGACAACTGTACCACTGGAGACTGCTCCACCTGTCTCTCCATGCTCAGACAGAGACCTTTCACTCCCTGCCACAGCAAGGTGTCTCCAGAGCAGTTCTGTGATGTGATGTGGGCAGGCGATCCTCCACTATAAGGCCCACCAGTGTGACTTCCTGGCAGCCTACGTAGCTGTCTGCTACACTTACCAAGTCTGCATCAACTGGAGACGACACAACTTCTGCCGTAAGGACCCGGTACACACACCAATACACACTAATACACACACACATCAGGTCTGCATTAGCTGGTGACATCACAAATGTATGTTCTTGCGGTGTGTGTGTGTGTGTGTTTGCGTGTCTGTGCGTGCTTGTGCGTGCGTGTGTGTGTATGTTTGTGTGTAGCGTTGAGGTGTCCCCCAGGTAGGGAGTACCAGGCGTGTGTGTCGACCTGTACCACCCGGACCTGTCAGAACAGAGAGTTCTATGAGGAGACCACCTGCTCCCACATCAGAGAGGAGTGTGTGTGTCGCTCTGGAACCATCCTGCACCGAGCAGACTCCACTTACTGCGTCACAGAGGAGCAGTGTGGTGAGTATGTCAGCTGTATGAGCTTGTGCTCTGTATGACTCTGTTGTTTAGTGTGTACTGATAACGTGTGTCTGTGTGTGTGTTTGTAGTGTGTACGGATAACGAGGGGTCTCCGCGGGCCCCTGGGGAGGTGTGGAACGGGTCATTGCGTGGCTGCTGTCTGTTCCGCTGCCTGGAGAACGGTTCTGTGGTGGCAGTAGAACCTGACTGCAGCTTTAGTCCAGCTCCGCTGTGTGAGAGGGAGGGAGAGTACGTACTGGATGTCCTGGAAGAGGGGGCCTGCTGTCCCAAGAAGATCTGTGGTGAGGACACACACACACACATGCATGCTTAGACACATACATACAGTTGAAGTCGGAAGTTTACATACACTTAGGTTGAAGTCATTAAAACTTGTTTTTCAACCACTCCACAGATTTCTTGTTAACAAACAATAGTTTTGGCGAGTCGGTTAGGACATCTACTTTGTGCATGACACAAGTAATCTTTCCAACAATTGTTTACAGACAGATTATTTCACTTATAATTAACTGTATCACAATTCCAGTGGGTCAGAAGTTTACATACACTAAGTTGACTGTGCCTTTAAACAGCTTGGAAAATTCCAGAAAATGATGTCATGGCTTTAGAAGCTTCTGAGAGGCTAATTGACATCATTTGTCATGACTTCCGCCGAGGCTGCCTCCCCTCCTTGTTCGGGCAGGCTTCGGCGTTCGTCGTCACCGGCTTACTAGCCACTGCCGCTCCATATATCATCATTACATTTGTCTTGTCTTGTCAATTACACACACCTGGTTCATATCCCCTCATTAGTCTGTGTATAAGTGTTCCCTCTGCCCCCTTGTCCTTGTGGGTGATTGTTTTATGTGAGTTGAGTGTAGCTCGGTGGAGCTACTCATACTTTGTATTGCCGGGGTAGATTATTCCCCTGTGCCTGTATTTTGTTGGAGCTACCCGGACATGGTATTGCCGGGGTAGATTATTCCCCTGTGCCTGTATTTTGTTGGACCTACTCGTACCTTGTATTGCCGGGGTAGATTGTTCCCCTGTGCCTGTATTTTGTTGGAGCTACTCGTACCTTGTATTGCCGGGGTAGATTGTTCCCCTGTGCCTGTATTTTGTTGGAGCTACTCGTACCTTGTATTGTCGGGGTAGATTGTTCCCCTGTGCCTGTGTTTTGTTGGAGCTACTCGTACCTTGTATTGCCGGGGTAGATTGTTCCCCTGTGCCTGTATTTTGTTGGAGCTACTCGTACCTTGTATTGCCGGGGTAGATTGTTCCCCTGTGCCTGTATTTTGTTGGAGCTACTCGTACCTTGTATTGCAGAGGTAGATTGTTCCCCTGTGCCTGTATTTTGTTGGAGCTACCCGTACCTTGTATTGCCGGGGTAGATTGTTCCCCTGTGCCTGTATTTTGTTGGAGCTACCCGTACCTTGTATTGCCGGGGTAGATTGTTCCCCTGTGCCTGTATTTTGTTGTCGCTATCCAGCCCAACTGTGTACGACAGAGTAAACTCTGTATTCTGTGATTTACCCTCCTGCGCCTGACTCCTTCTAATCACACTCATCACATCATTTGAGTCAATTGGAGGTATACCTGTGGATGTATTTCAAGGCCTACCTTCAAACTCAGTGCCTCTTTGCTTCACATCATGGGAAAATCTAAAGAAATCAGCAAAGACCTCAGAAAAAAAATTGTAGACCTCCACAACTCTGGTTCATCCTTGGGAGCAATTTCCAAACGCCTGAAGGTACCACGTTCATCTGTACAAACAATAGTACACAAGCATAAACACCATGGGACCATGCAGCCGTCATACCGCTCAGGAAGGAGACGCATTCTGTCTCCTAGAGATGAACGTACTTTGGTGCGAAAAGTGCAACTCAATCCCAGAACAACAGCAAAGGACCTTGTGAAGATGCTGGAGGAAACAGGTACAAAAGTATCTATATCCACAGTAAAACAAGTCCTATATCGACATAACCTGAAAAGCCGCTCAGCAAGGAAGAAGCCACTGCTCCAAAACCGCCATAAAAAAGCCAGACTACGCTTTGCAACTGCACATGGGGACAAAGATCGTACTTTTTGGAGAAATGTCCTCTGGTCTGATGAAACAAAAATAGAACTGTTTGGCCATAATGACCAAAAGGGGGGGGGGGGCTTGCAAGCCGTAGAACACCATCCCAACCATGAAGCAAGTTTGGCTAGCGCAGTTTCGGCAGCCATTGATTGTGATACAAATGATTCAGTTCTGCAGACAGGAATGCGAGCCAATGTGATTTGTAGGATATTATTTTATCAGGATTTCCTACACATCTGCAAGTTTGTTGTGTTGGCTTTGTGTGGCTATTCTACATAGTGACAATGGCCAAGTTACTTTTCAATTGTATAATTTCATTAGGATTACAATTAGTATTGGAGTACCACAAACATGACTTGAATACAAAGACTATTAAAATTAGATGAAACTGAAACACGAAATGTGATAGCAAAATCATAACGCATGCAATTGTAGGAAATGGTAAGGGAAAATTCACTCCAATTAAAAGGTGGCTGACGCTTGGGAAGCCTATACCGGCAACTTCAGAAGCTTAAACTGAATCTTGAAGGCCAGCACAAGGAGAAGGTCGGAGGTTTTTTTTTTCTGATTAAGCTATCTTGACCTCTGGCTCCCTCTTAAGTCATTTGTGTGTCTTAATTATTTAATCAAACAGCGTGCTAAAAACATCAGACAAGTTCAGTACATATAGCCTAGTTGATTTGAATAAAACACATAGTGTGTGTCTATATATGAAAAAATACACTTGAAAAATACTATTCTTGGTCGAACAAGATTATTTTTTAGTCAGGGACAGCCCTAGTAGGAATGCAGGAAATGAGCTTTAGATGCCCCCCAAAATTGAGGGAGGACCCCCAGGGTATGTCCCCCCCCCCCCAGGTTATGTCCCCTGTTGATTTTGTACGTTTGCCCAATGACAAAGAAATGATCAGTCTATAATTTTAATGGTAGGTTTATTTTAACAGTGAGAGGTAGAATAACAACAACAAAATCCAGAAAAACGCATGTCAAAAATGTTATAAATTGATTTGCATTTTAATGAGGGAAATAAGTATTTGACCCCTCTGCAAAACATGACTTAGGACTTGGTGGCAAAACCCTTGTTGGCAATCAAAGAGGTCAGACGTTTCTTGTAGTTGGCCACCAGGTTTGCACACATCTCAGGAGGGATTTTGTCCCACTCCTCTTTGCAGATCTTCTCCAAGTCATTAAGGTTTTGAGGCTGACGTTTGGCAACTCAAACCTTCAGCTTCCTCCACAGATTGTCTATGGAATTAAGGTCTGGAGACTGGCTAGGCCACTCCAGGACCTTAATGTGCTTCTTCTTGAGCCACTCCTTTGTTGCCTTGGCAATGTGTTTTGGGTCATTGTCATGCTGGAATACCCATCCACGACCCATTTTCAATGTCCTGGCTGAGGGAAGGAGGTTCTCACCCAAGATTTTACGGTACATGCATGGCCCCGTCCATCGTCCCTTTGATGCGGTGAAGTTGTCCTTTCCCCTTAGCAGAAAAACACCCCCAAAGCATAATGTTTCCACCTCCATGTTTGATGGTGGGGATGGTGTTCTTGGGGTCATAGGCAGCATTCCTCCTCCTCCAAACACGGCGAGTTGAGTTGATGCCAAAGAGCTCCATTTTGGTCTCATCTGACCACAACACTTTCACCCAGTTCTCCTCTGAATCATTCAGATGTTCATTGGCAAACTTCAGACAGGCATGTATATGTGCTTTCTTGAGCAGGGGGACCTTGCGGGTGCTGCAGGATTTCAGTCCTTCACGGCATAGTGTGTTACCAATTGTTTTCTTGGTGACTATGGTCCCAGCTGCCATGAGATCATTGACAAGATCCTCCGTGTAGTTCTGGGCTGATTCCTCACCGTTCTCATGATCATTGCAACTCCACGAGGTGAGATCTTGCATGGAGCCCCAGGCCGAGGGAGATTGACAGTCTTTTGGGTTTCTTCCATTTGCGAATAATCGCACCAACTGTTGTCACCTTCTCACCAAGCTGCTTGGCGATGGTCTTGTAGCCCATTCCAGCCTTGTGTAGGTCTACAATCTTGTCCCTGACATCCTTGGAGAGCTCTTTGGTCTTGGCCATGGTGGAGAGTTTGGAATCTGATTGATTGATTGCTTCTGTGGACAAGTGTCTTTTATACAGGTAACAAGCTGAGATTAGGAGCACTCCCTTTAAGAGTGTGCTCCTAATCTCAGCTCGTTACCTGTATAAAAGACACCTGGGAGCCAGAAATCTTTCTGATTGAGAGGGGTTCAAATACTTATTTCCCTCATTAAAATGCAAATAAATTTATAAAATTTTTGACATGCATTTTTCTGGATTTTTTTGTTGTTATTCTGTCTCTCACTGTTCAAATACACCTACCATTAAAATTATAGACTGATCATTTCTTTGTCAGTGGGCAAACATACAAAATCAGCAGGGGATCAAATACTTTTTTCCCTCACTGTACACCAACTCTCTCTAATTATCTCTCTCTCTCTCTCTCTCTCTCTCTCTCTCTCTCTCTCTCTCTCTCTCTCTCTCTCTCTCTCTCTCTCTCTCTCTCTCTCTCTCTCTCAGAGTGTAATCTGACCATCTGTGAGAGTGAGGCTCCGCCCTGTGAAAATGGGAACCGGCTGGTGATTGGTTACAGTGCCCTGTCCTGCTGCCCAGAGTACCATTGTGGTAGGTACTGAACCAAAATATAATAGCTTTAATCATTTGATGGTATTGTTAGGTGTGGTTTAATAACTGAGTCCTGTGATTGGTCTGTCTCAGAGTGCGACCCCCATGCCTGTCCCCCCGTCACCGCTCCTGACTGCAGAGAAGATCAGTTCCTAGTGGAGGTCCGTGAGGACAACTCCTGCTGTTACTCCTTCCTGTGTGGTAAGGTCAAACCTTCTACTGCTTCCTGGGTTGACCGTCTCCATCCAACATTACTGTAGCTGGACTTGGGGTAGAAGTTGCCCTTAAGTAGAGGACCGACGATCGGCCAAAAACAGTCAGTGGCCAACGGTGTATATGTGTGTGTGTCTTCTCTCTGCAGTGTGTGAGTCATGTATCGAGCCCGTCCCGTCCTGTTCCGATGGCGAGATTCTAGCTGTGAATCTGAACACCACCAACAGCTGCTGCCCTCAATACCACTGTGGTAACACACATGCTGTACAGACACACACATACACACACACAAACACACAGTGTTGATGTTTACAGCAGTGTTCTCCTGTGTGCAGTGTGTGATGTGAACCTGTGTCCTGAGTCGTCTCTGACCTGCTCTCCTGGCCTGTCTCTGGTCCAAACCACCCTACCTGGACACTGCTGCCCTGACCGCCGCTGTGGTACAAACACACACAAACACACACTTTTGCACGCGCAATAGTTGCACACACACATCTAAATGCACACACATACCATCATGCCCAGAACTGTCCCTTTGAAAATTCTTGTAGTCCAAACAGAGCATGGTTCTAGGCCTCCAGTTCTGTACTAAACAAAGTCTCTCTTCTTCTCTCAGAATGCCAGTGTGAGGACAGCTCTCTCCCAGTCTGTCAGGTGGTGAGTCAGTCAGCTTCAGGAATGTTCCCGTTTGTGTGTGCAATGTGCATGAGTGCATGTGTGTGTTTGTGCGTGTACGTATGTGTATGTGGTCATAGTAACGTCTCTGGTCTCTAAGGGGGAGGAACAGGTGGAGGTACCAGACAGCAGAAGCACCTGTGGCTGCCCCCGCTACACCTGCAGTAAGTACACACACACACACAATATACACACACACTATGCACAGACACACCCCTAGGCTACTAACACCTAACCCCTGACCCCTGACCTGTGTGTGTAGAGAAGGCAGAGGTGTGTGTGTTCCAGGGAGTCACTTTGCTGGGGCCAGGACAGAGCCTGATTCAGTTCTATGAAGGAGAGCTGTGTTACACCGTCCACTGTCTGACACACCGTGACACACACACCGGATACTACGCCATGGACGTTTCCGCTGTCAACTGCTCTCAGAAGTGTGGCCCGGTATGTGTCTCTCTCTCTCTCACACACCGCAAACTTCCATCCTGATCAGAGCTACGTAAACTCTTCTGACTCCCCCCCCCCCCCCCCCCACACCCCCCGCCTCTCAGCACCAGCTTTACGTAGCATCGTCAGATCCTCAGGTGTGCTGTGGCTCCTGTAAGAACGTCTCCTGTTCCTTCAACATCGAAAACAGAACCACTGAGGTCTTCACTGTGAGAACACATATGCAAACACAGCCTAATACTGCCAAACAGACACAAATACTCTACCTAACACACAAGCATTTTGTATGTTGGCGGGAAAATCCTGGACGGATAACTTTGACGGTGTGTGTGTGTACAGGCGGGGAGCTCCTGGGTGGATAACTGTACACGGTATGACTGTGTGGAGACGGCAGTGGGAACTGTGGTGCTGGCCTCAGGGGTGGTCTGCCCCCCCTTCAACGACACAGAGTGCACTCAGGTACACACACACACACCCTGGCATTCACACACAATGAGGTCTATCTGTAACCTCTCTTCAATCATTGCAGAATGGGGGCATGGTCCAGAGCTATGTGGACGGTTGCTGCAGGACATGTAAGTGACCGATCACATTTGCTTCTCATATGCTTTCAGCTGTCAATCACAGGGGTGGGCAGGGTGTTGCCTGGCAGCGGTTGGGCTTATTGGCTGACTGGTTGGGGGGTGTGGCCTGTAGCAGCCTAAGGCAGAGTAAAAGCTTGTAGTTGGCTGGCCACAACCAGCATGAGTCACTACACTAACCAGCAGCCTCTGCTCTAGGGGTGGTCCTAGATCTGCCTGATGGTCCTGATACACTGTCATGATAATATTGAAGAAGGATGTTACTGTTGATTGGAAAATACTTTATTTAGTGGATAAATTAACATAACTCATCTGGAGAATAACAGCATGCAAACAATGGTCCATCCTACCACTCCAATGTTCTTTTACACTCAATGATGCTAATCATAAACTGTAGCTAAACTGACTCTCTGAATCCATAAAGTACTTTCTAGTTCTAGTTTGAACTGTCCCATTAAACACACATTTTGCATGTAAAGGTGAAGAATACAGACCCAGTCTGCTCTCCCAGTAATACAGCAGCTCTGCGTCTTTGTCCGCTTGCCTGCTTTACCAGTTTGGCCAATGGGAATGCTCCATTTGTTACAGTTTGGCCAATGGTGATGCTTGGTGTTTAGAGTTTGGTCAATGAGAATTAGCCTTGGTGCATCAGCGTGTAGTGATTCTGAGTGTTTGGCCATCTGGCTGTCTCCCCCAGTCTCAAAGAACAATGTCTGGCTCCCATGGCTGTGCATGCCAACTGTGCTGATTCCTCTGTGTGTATTCAATGTGTTCTAAACCCAAGTTAACCTGTGTGTTCCCCTAACGTTCTCCTGACGTTGCTGTTCCTGCCGCTGCTCCCAGGTTTTGGAGTCGGTGTTATACCGTTTACCGTTAACCCCGTAACTCCCACTGGTAGTACTAACTGTGACAAAGGTACCACGACCTCTCACCTTTCATCTTTAACCTCTCACCCCATAACCCCCACTGGTAGTACTAACTGTGACACAGGTACCACGACCTCTCACCTTTCACCTATCACAGTGTGTGTTTGTCTAGTCCTAACCCTAACCCTACCACACCATACATATAAACTACAGGTCAAGGTTCACCTAACATTCCTCAGGGCAAAACCCCATGCCAATGTGTCAACATGTTATTGCTGTGCTGAATCCTCAATGTGAGTAAGAATCATCCCCATTCCTTCACATATACAGAGAGTTTGGCCTAGTGCAGAGCTGGACGCCATGTTGCTACCTCTCAACCACTGAGTGAGGTTAAGTTCAGGCCAGTGGGAGCTGGTTCTCTGGCGCGAGAACTGCCCCCCGGTCAGCTGGCTGTCAATCAAACTGAGCCCCCGCTGCTAGGCAACAAAGAGTCCAGCTCAATAGGCCTTTGACTGTGTGAATGACAGGACTCTGGGGCTGAAAGCTGTGTGTGTGTATGTGGGGGGGGGGGGGGTGAAAGCTGTGTGTGTGTATGTGTGTGGGTGTGTGCGTGTGTGAGTGTGTGTGTGTGCGCGCGTGCGTACATCTCAGCGTTTCCTCTGTGTGCGTGTGTGTTTAGGTAAGGAGGACAGTAAGATGTGTAAGCGTGTAGCAATCCGAACCACCATCCGAAAAGACGACTGCAGGAGCAACGCACCGGTAAGAGAGAGACAGTGTCAATAAGACAGTTTTTAAACGTTTTTTTTATCAAGTATAAAATCTTACCACCCCTCTCTCTTTCTCTCTCTCTCTCTCTCTGTCCCTCTCAGTTGACAGTGTATTCGTGTGATGGGAAGTGTCCGTCTGCCACCATCTTTAACTTCAACATCAACAGCCACGCCCGCTTCTGTAAGTGCTGCAGAGAGAGTGGACTACAAACCCGCTCCGTCACCCTCTACTGCTCACGCAATGCTACCCTGGTGGATTACAGCTTCCAGGAACCTCTAGACTGCTCCTGCCAATGGAACTAGAGAGATCTACTGTAGTCCAGGGGTAGGCCACAGGCCGATTCTTTTGTCGGAGAGGATGGTCGGGGGCACGGAACATAATTATAATCATGTGTACACTGTACACAGGTACCTACACACTGACGAAGGCTGTAAAGCCGAAACGTCTGTGTATGCTATCCCTGATGCAGTAAAAATAATTAAAACATTGAATAATTAAGTAAGCTTTATGTGACATATTTTTGAGTGCAAACCCATTACACCTCTTTGTTTTACGCACCAGCCAAGCTTCTGGGAGAGCGCCATTGTTCTCTTTTGATTAGTTACACTGCAAATTGACCATAACTAAGCCAAAAAATAAATGTTATATGAAAATAACAATAATTGCATACCTTGATTACATTGAGACACAATCACATCTCTTTTTTTATTCGTGGGAATACTTGGGAACAGATTTCCTTAACTAAACTCGTTTTAAGCTGAATTCCTGGTGATTTTACAGTCTTTTCTGACGTAAAACAAAAATCTATCTACCCTGATCTAGTCAGTGTGAGCTCCAGTATGGCAAACAGTAGGATGGACAGAGGATGGAACAGAGGTTAGAGGTCAGAGCAGACAGGTCAAGTAGGTGAGTTCTTTAGTCTTCCTTCAGTCTGTTGTTGAGGGTTGTATGCTGGCCTGTTGTAGTGACCCTGTCATTACAGATGTGTAGTGGTCAGATGTGTAAGGCTGAAACCTGCTCCTACTGTACTATTATAACACTAGTCCTATCTGTACTGCTGTAGCCCGCTCCTCCTCATATGTAACACTAGCTAGTCCTCTCTGACTTTATAATGTTCAGATCAGTTGGTCCCAGCTGACAGGACTACTGCTGATTTAGTATATTAGTGATCTAGTGCTCTCCTGATGACTGACATGTTTTATATGCCGCTAATATTTGTCTTAGAACAAAAAACATTAATTACAAATGTAAAGCTTTCATACAAAAAAGATTGTATTTAAATCAATGAATTATTAATCCACCTAAGCATCTGGTAGTAGACTATCTGCTGTTTTGTTTATTGTGAAGCATTGTGCCAGTAATCATACAGTATGTGCTGCTGCCATCACACAGATGTTACCACTCAGAATAGAACAATAAAACACTCAACAGTGTCTGACTGACTGGTTGGTGTTTTTTTGCATGAATGAAAAACTTTCCATCCTCCTCCTCCTCTTCCTCCTCCTCCTCCTCTTCCTCCTTCTCCTCCTCCACACACACACACACACACTCCCCTGCTGACTCAGCATGTTCAGTGCTGATGTGTGTTTGTGTTTCTCTGGCCTGGTAGTGTGTAATTATGGTGTGGGAGTCTGTAACAATGTGTATATACACTGAGCGTACAAATCATTAGGAACATCTTCCTAATATTGAGTTGCACCCCCTTTTGCCCTCAGAATAGCCTCAATTCGTCGGGGCATGGATTCTACAAGGTGTCAAGCGTTCCACAGGGATGCTGGCCCATGTTGACTCCAATGCTTCAATAAGGGATCATAGTTTTCAACTGGATTCACCTGGTCAGTCTATGTCATGGAAAGAGCAAGTGTTCCTAATGTTCTGTACACTCAGTGTATAATTACCATGTAAATACGCCATGTTAATGACACTTCATCATCAGTAAAACACCAGTGACCTCCACCAGGAAGAAGTGAAGTATTGAAGAGAAAGGAAACCACATTGATCCATCAATGATTAGTGATTGATCAGTAAATTATTCATTTTTTTCACATTCTCTACATTCTCCACAGACCACTAGCTCACATTCAACTACTCTCTGGGTGTGCACACACTCACTCTCTCACACACACACACAGACTTTTTTGATCTGCCGTGTGGAACACACAGCAGTGGAGTTGGTTAGCATATCACTGCATCACTACAGCCCGGACTGAAAAGTGGGTGTGTGAGCGTGTCTGTGAGAGAGAGTGGTCCTGAGTTCACTAGAGTATGAATCTGCAAACAGGCTGAGGTGTATAGAATGTTGTCTATCTGGTCGACTTTAAACTCTTGACTTTCACCCCATTCTTTCTCCCTATCCTTCTCTCTCCCTCTCTTTCTCCCCCTCTCCTCAGGAGTTGCACTCTGTGTGGCTGTAAGCCTGGTTGTCATAGTAACCTGCTCTTATCCAAACAAAGAGGAAAGGGCGGCAGGGGAAGAACACATTGGGCTGAGCGACATACACACATTGAATTGGACTGTGCGTGTCTTCACACGAGGCTCTGCTTCTCAGACATATCGCAAACACTAAACCACTCTCTGTCCCCGCCCCTTCAGGTGTGGCTTGATCCTATTGGCCGCTCTGAGTGTTCGCCTGACTGCAGGCTGCTGCTGCAATTGGCTGAGGAGCCAGTAGGAAGTGACATCACTCTGAACGCCATCAAAAACAACGCCACACTGGAGACTAAGACCTTTCATATTGGTGAGCCTAACCCTGACCCCTGACCTTTATGGTCCTGTTATAAAACAGAATGTAACAAATAATGGATGAAAAGGAATGGTTTACTGTTTCACAATTAGACTTGTGTGGTTGTAACAGAGGTGTGTGTGTGTGTGTGTGTGCGTGTGTTTGTTTGTTTGTTTATGTGTGCACTGTGCAGCTCCTGTCCCCCTCTCCTCTCTCCGTGTCGAGGTGCCCACCACCAGCGCTTTGCTGTCCTGCAGCCTACAGAACCAACAGACCCTCACTGCCCTCAGTCTACACAACATACACACCAAACACACACACACTGAATACACACACACTGAACACACACACACTGACCACACACACAACTCCTCGTACGCAGGGAAAGGTCTGCAGCCTGGAGCACACTACAGCATCACAGCAGAGTTGACCACGCTCCTAACAAACCTCAACATCAGCTTCACCCAGAGACTGCACGCAACCATAGAGACAGGTATTTTTAAATAGTTTTTTAAAACCAATTTAAGCTGGGAGTCAATATTGGGTCTCTTTCACAAGGGAGCCCTGCATATACTGTACCAGTCAAAAGTTTGGACACACCTACTCATTCAAGGGTTTTTCTTTATTTTTACTATTTTTTACATTGTAGAATAATAGTGAAGACATCAAACTATGAAATAACTACTGCATGATTCCATGTTTGTTATGTCTTCACTGTTATTCTACAATGTAAAAAATTTTAAAAATAAAGAAAAACCCTTGAATGAGTAGGTGTGTCCAAACTTTTGACTGGTAGTGTACAATTTCATAAGACAAAATCTAAAATCTAATACAATATAAAACAAGTAAAATACAGCACATAAATATTCAAGAAAAACATTACATTCCTCAATAAGAAGGTTCCCAATCAGTATTTGAAGTTACTCGAGCGACACCAGAACATCCAATTGTGATGTATTTTGTAGTTGGTTCCAGCAATGAGGTGCTTTAAAACTAAAAGCGGATTTACCTAGTTCGGTGGAGACCCGAGGAACCTCAAGAGTTAACCAACCTTGTTAACGGGTTTGGTATCTCATGTTTTTATATTTTAACAGTGAAGTTAGGTAAGTTGGAATCTTGTGTACTAGAGATTTGTAAACAAAAAGGGAATAATGAAGTGATCTACGGGACTTTAATGAGGACCAGCCAATCAGATTCAGATTCAGATTTAGATCAACTTTATTATCCCACCAGGGGGAAATTCATTTGGTCATGTGCTTAAAAAGACAGTACATAAAGCATGAAAACACAAAAACGACACAATATAATTAATTGAAAATTCTATAGCTACACATTTAAAGTGAAAGTGCAATATACTGTATACTCAAGGGACCAACAGACTATCCATTATACAGCCTAATGGCTGTTGGAATAAAAGAGTCCCCATATCTATCCGTTTTGATTTTATTGTGAAGTCTCTTTCCCCTTGTCCGGCTGCTTCTGTGACTGAGTTTTAAGTGAAGGGGATGTGTACTGTCCTGTAAAATGCTTTCAAGTTTTAGGAGGATGAGTTTTGTGTACAGGTTGATGGCTGAAGGTTTAAGGGTAGTGGCTACAATCTGGTAATGGTGTCACCATAGTCAAGAACTGGCAGGGAAGTTGACTGTATAATCTGCTTCCTGCTATTTAAAAAAATGGTGTGTCTGACTGTACAGCACACACACACATAGATGTAATAAATGTCGACTGCTATATGTCTAGATTGACCAGGAGTTGACAATTGTCTCTCCTCAGCCCAGTGTCCTATTGGTTGGCTGGCGAGTGGAAGGAGCTGCTACAGTGTGAGTAGGCGGAGCCTGTCATGGGGTGACGCCCAGCAAACCTGTATGGGCGTGGCTTCACGAGGTCACCTGGTAGACCTTAAAACAGAGACAGACCTCCTCCTCTCGTCTTACCTGACCACACATAACAACCTGCTACTGCTCTGGACCGCTCTCAATGACAGAAAGGTAACACACACACACAAGCGTGTGAGTGAGAGAAATGGGCTGTGTTAGCATGAATGGTGTTTGCTTTCTAAACAGTCAGACACATTAGTTTCCTCCTTACAGAGGAGTGTGTTAGTCTGTGATTTAAAACTGATGATTGGGACATTCTCAGAATGTCTGTCTGACACGAACAGAGAGAGAAGCAGATATCCACTGGAGTGACGTCGCGTACTTAAACTCCTCCCAACCCGCCCCCCAGCTCTATGTCCAATACCAAGAAGTGGAGGAAGGGGAGGAAAATGGGGAAGAGGAGAAAGAAAGGGAGAAAAGAAGTGCAGGTCGTGTCTCTCTGTCCCTCAGAGCCTCTCACCTCACTGGGGCCGCATGGAGCCTTGGGAGCACGCACATCACTCATACACGGCCCCTTCCCACTCGGAACGTCACCATTAGCAATGTGACAGCCAGTCAGATCACAGTAAGCTGGACGGCCCCAGACTCCCAGCATGCTGTGCGGTGGGGCTTCCTGGTTTGCTGTGGGGGTGTAGCTTCAGGCCAGGAGAATGGGCGTGGCCAGCAGCTCCAGGTCAACTGTGATTGGAGGACTGGAGGGGTTCAGGAAGTACATGGTCCGAGTTGACTCCGTCACAGAGCATGGTGTGGAAAGCTGTGGAGGGGAGGAACTGACGATACACACTGGTATAAAACTTTGTGTTTGTGTAATGCTTTAGGTGTGCTTCTGCGTGGTTGTGTGTGTTATAAATATATTGAGTGTGTGGTGGTGTGTATGTTTCTAACAGAGGGGAGAATCTGACAGTGTCTTGGCCGACCCTGTCAGGTGAACGACCTGATGGGTACTATGTCAGGCTACACCCCCTCAACCAGGCCCGCCCCAGGGAACTCTGGGTGAATAAGTCCAGGTGTGTGGTCCTGGGCATGTTCAGTCCAGGGCAGACCTACGAGCTGGGTGTGGCTTCAGTGAGAGGAGGGAACAAGAGCCAAGAGATCAGCACCACATACACCACAGGTAGGCCCACAGAGACTGTGTGTGTTCAAGTTGAAGTTTCAAGAAATGTTGGTTTTGCTCTCTAATATTGTGTGTATATCTTTCTCATTGTGTGTGTGTGTGTGTGTTTGATGTGTGTAGAGCCCGGGCCGGTGCAGGTAGCTTTCCCTCTCTCAGTAGGAAGCAGTTCTGTGGTTCTGTATGTCCAGAGACCAGTGCTGGGAGTGTGTGACGGAGTGAGGGTGTGTGTTTGTAAGGGAGTGTGTGAGGGTGTGTGTGTGTGTGTGTAAGGGTGTGTGTGAGTGGTCGCCACTCACCCCGGGTAGGCACACAGTACCAGTTGGCGGCCTGACTCCAGGGGTGGAGTACCATCTAAGTGTCTACAGCACCAGCCGACACAGGACAGGAACGCCATACCACACACACACACACACTCAGGTACACACACACGTGAGTACACACACACTTATATTCTCCTATTCTCCTCCTCTTCTGATTGTGTGTGTGCGTGTGCGTAGTCCTGCCATCACCCAGCAGTGTGAGAGAGGGCTTAGTAACAGAGTCGTCAGTAGAGATGCTTTGGGATCCAGCCCCTGGACATGGACACAACTATGAAGTCCTCTGTCTCGACTGTCACCACACAGTGTTTATAACGTGTGTGTGCATGTATACTGTGTGTATGTAGTCGAGTACCTGTGTAATATGTGTGTATGTGGTCGAGTATCAAATCAAATCAAATGTTATTTGTCACATGCTTTGTAAACAACAGGTGTAGACTAAGAGTGAAATGCTTACTTACGCAGCATTTTTTGGGCCCTTCCTAACAATGCAAAGAGAAAACAATGGAAATGAGAGAGAAAAAAATAACACCAGGAATAAAATACCCAATGAGTAAAGATAACTTGGCTATACAGCGTGAAACCCTGTTTTATCGGCATATTCAACAGCATTTAAGAAATATATTACCTTCAACAATGTTATCTTGTGATCAAGCATCAATGTTTTGTGATTATTGGTGTCGTAAAAAATTTTTAGCTAACGGGTTAGCAATTAGCATGTCTGACATTTCAGTGGAAATACTACTATTATCAGCTTTTTGATAAGCGGTTTAGCAAAAAAATACGTCCCGTATTATCGGCATACGGTCCCCAGTTATTGGCCACCTTACTATTTTGTTCAATTACAAGATATATCCGTTTAATTTTGTTCAAAAAAGAGACACCAACCTTGTATCCGAAGTGTTTACTAGATAGTTAACTAGTTGGCTAGCTTTTCTCTTCCTTTTCTGTGCTGTAGTTTGAGAAAAAGTAACGTTAGACAGAGCATGTTTCATGAAAACCCTTTTCAACCTTTTTACATCAGTACCTCTGGAGGAAGCTGCAGAAGTTTTGGAGGAGGTGGACATGACTTGAGGGCTGGTGCTATGGACTGTAGATATGTAAAGAGAGAAAAATACGTTTAAACATTGCAGTTTTATAAAACAGATAACAAACAGTAATTTTTTCGTAATTTAACATGTGTTTACCTGTGGAGGTGGCTGTTTTCAAATTGCAGGGGGCAGGGACACCAGACGAGGCTGCTATGGTGGTTTGACCAGGGGAGACGGAGGACGCAGTTGGTCCAGAGGAGGCCGCGTTGGTGGTGACAGACAGCGGTGGTGGTGTGCATCGTGGTGGTGGTGGACGAAACCGCCGACGATGGCTTGGAGGAGCTGGTGTTTGTAATGGTGGGGTTGAGGGGCCGACGATGGTGTGGCCGGGAGAGTAGGAACGTGGCCTTCTTCTGCAGCTGGGGACTCCGGCGGCTCCTACAGGTGTTGCACACTGGGAGGCACTGGCAGTGGTGATGCAGCTGTCAGGAGTGGTTCCAGCGGGGGGTCCAGCAGAGGCGATGGCGTCAATGGTCTCATCCATGGCAGCCCTCTCCTGTGCCCTCTGTGTTCTGAGGGCTGCCCGACGCTCTTTCTCCTCTGCCTCGGCCCTCTCCTTCTCACCCCTCTCCTGCCACTGGCGCATGTATTCCTCCCCGGTGAGGCATGTGGTGACCACAGGGAGTCTTCTGTATCCGTCTAGCCAATACTTCAGGACAGTAAGGATGTGCCCCAGGTCCTGCGATATCAGCCCCCCCCCCCCCCCCCCCCCCATATTAGGGGGTGCTCTTCTAGAGCTAGGGCTGGGACTGGAGCAGGGGCTGGGACAGGGACTGGGACTTGAGCAGGGGCTGAGGGTCCTCCTGTGGTCGCTGGGGAGGAGGTGCTGATGGACGGCACAGTGCTGCTGGTTCCAGGAGAGGCGGTGGTGGGAACCGGTAGGGACCGAGACGGCATTAAACGGGACCCTTCAATGGCTGAAGGGTCAAAAGGGAAGAGGCCACACTTCTTAAACACTTCCACCACATAGCACATGTCCTTGCAGCGCTGGTACGGGTAGCGGAATACTCTGGCAAATTCTGATTTGTTTACCATGTAGGAGTGGTCAAAATGGCTAAGGTCTCCAGCTACCTTAGAGAACTCAGCCTTTAAAGGGCCAAAGTATGCCACGCCCAGCGGCTGCAGGACATGGGTGCAGTGTGGTGGAAGACAAAGAAGTATAACCCCTTCCCTTAGTACCGCTGTGAGCACCTCTGGGTCCATGTGGCTCTTGTGCCCATTGAAGAGGAGAAGGAGAGGGTGCTCCTTCTCTACATGCTTAATTAAGTGTTGAAACCACTTCCTGAACAGGTCCCCGTCAATGTAGCCACTGTTTGACCGTCCATACAAGGCTTGTGGGGGGCCTCCAGTGTGTAGTGGCCACCGGGGAAACACTTGGGGTAGATGATAAACGGGGGGACTACCTCCCCAGTTGCGTTGAAGCAGGCCAGCACTGTGATGTGCTCCTTGGTCCCTGGAGCCTGCTGTACACGTGTTTTGCGCCCTGGGGAGCCAGCACTTTGTGCCTGCTCTGGTCACTACAAAACCCAGACTCAACCCACTCTCCTCCAAGTGCTTCTCATAAGAAGTGAAGAAGGTGTCCATCATCGGATGTGTGGCACACTCAGCTCTCCCCCTGTCCAGGGTGTCCGACCTCCTCATGCTCAGGTTCTTGTGCCTCCTCCTGAACATTTCCCACCACCTCTTCCCCAGTGGTGGGATTGTATCCCCTGGGTGCCGAAACATACAATAGAATAGAATATATAATTGTCCATCCAGGATGAAAATGTTTGTTTTGGCATCACCATACACATCCACATTTACATCACACACATTGAGAACAGTCAGTCCAGCATTCTACATACATAAACACATAGAACACCAAAAACCTGCGTATTTTGTCGGCGTATTTCATCAGCCTCTGTCTGGTGAAGGGGAACCGATGGCTGGCGCAGTAGATACAGTACTGCACCAGATAATTTTCATCCTCTGGTGCAAGCAATGTGGGTGGTCCACTGCAACAACCATGGGTCACCCGGCTGCTCAGCCTGTCCGCCAGGGTCTGCCGAGGTACACCATGCACCTTGGTAGATAAGAAAATAAAACTGTTACTAGCAGATAAAATTCACATACACGTGGTAATCTCCTAAAAACAAAAGATGCCTAACCTTGGCAGCCTGGCGGATACCCATCCCTGCCCCGCAGTCCTCCATGGCATGGAACATGTCCACCTCACTCCAATGCTTCCTCTTGACTTTCTCCATGCTGTGGTGGTAAATACATGTAGCTAAATAACTTGGCATACTATACACATTTTAGAACGATAACTCTATCTGAATATGTATAAACATTTACATTTCAAAGCTAAGGCATTCACAATAACTAAAAGTGTACTCATGTTTTTTGTTTGATATTATCTGTAATTAAAATTAGTGTCCCAATTAGTTTAATATTGATGCATACATTGTAACATTTGAGTAAATATTGCCTCTATGTAGCTGTTGTAAGATTAAACATAGCCAACAGTGATAGGTGTCAAAAAGTTTATGGTTCAAAGTTCAAAATACATTTTTGCAGATTGTGCAAAACGCCCCCATCAGATGACTCCAATTTTGATACGGTAAAGCTTGACAACATTCAGCTGTTTTTATTATATTTATTATCTAACGCTTACAATTTATTTCCTTTTTGCTTACTTAGCAGTTCTATCAACATTTAGCAACTAAGCTAGCAACATTAGAACATCCGTCAGCTATATTTCAGAGGTAAAAAGTTGGATAATAAATTGTGTGGTCTGTCGCGCAGTCGAATTTTACAATATACAGCGTGTCCCACAAAATGTGTATATATATAACTTTTTTGAAAACTCTCAAAACCTAACTTAACCTACATAAATTGCAATGAAAAATGGTGGTCAGCTAGCTAGAAGGGTGTCTATAACGTACCGTTATTTTCCAGTCCATTTAAATGTTGAGCTCGAGGTGATTTAGTCCTCCAACCGCTAGAGAGTATCCGATGTTGGGGGAAAATCTGCTACACAGGGTACCAGGACCGAGTCGATGTGCAGGGGTACAAGGTAATTGAGGTAAAAATGTACTTATAGGTAAAGTGACTATGCAACAGGATAGATAATAAAGAGTAGCAGCAACGTATGTGATGAGTCAAAAGAGTTAACGCAAAAAGGGTCAATGCAGATAGTCCGGGTAGCTATTGGTTAACTATTTAACTAACAATTTAGCAGTCTTGTGGCTTGGTGTAGAAGCTGATCAGGGTCCTGTTGGTTCCAGACTTGGTGCATCTGTACTGCTTGCTGTGCGATAGCAGAGAAAACAGTTTATGACTTGCGTGGCTGGAATCTTTGACAATTTTTAGGGCCTTCCTCTGACACAGCCTAGTATAGAGGTCCTGGATAGCAGGGAGCTCGGCCCCAGTGATATACTGGGCCGTATGTTCTACCCTCTGTAGCGCCCTGCAGTCAGATGCCAATCAGTTGCCATACCAAGCAGTGATGCAGTCAGTCAAGGTGCTCTCAATGGTGCAGCTGTATAACTTTTTGAGGATCTGAGGGCCCATGTCGAATCTTTTCAGCCTCCTGAGGGGATAGAGGTGTTGTTGTGCATTCTTCACGACTGTGTTGGTGTGTGTGGAGTGGACCATGATAATTTCCAGGTCACTGACCTGCTCCCTATAAGCTGTCTCATCGTCGTCGGTGATCAGGCCAACCACCGTTGTGTCATCAGCACAGTCGTGAGTGACCAGAGAGTACAGGAGGGACTTAAGCACGCACCCCCGTTTTGAAGGTCAGCGTAGCGGATGTGTTGTTGCCGACCCTCACCACCTTGGGGCGGCCTGTCACTATGGTGTTGAACGCTGAGCTATAGTCAACGCTGAGCTATAGTCTTACATAGGTGTTCCTCTTGTCCAGGTGGTAGAGGGCGTCATCTGTGGATCCGTTGGGGCGGTATGCAAATTGGAGTGGGTCCAGGGTGTCTAGGATAATGGTGTTGATGTGAGCCAGGACCAGTTTTTCAAAGCATTTCATGGCTACAGATGTGAGTGCTACAGGGCGATAGTCATTTAGACGGGTTACCTTGGCGTTCCTGGGCACAGGGACTATGGTGGTCTGCTTGAAACATGTAGGTATTAGAGAATGAATACGTGTCTCTGAATACGTGTCCTGGTAATCTGTCTGGCCCTCCGGCCTTGTGAATGTTAACCTGTTTAAAAGTATTATTCACATTGGCTACGGAGAGTGAGATCACACAGTCGTCCGGAACAGCTGGTGCTCTTATGCATGGTTCAGTGTTGCTTGCCTCAAAGCAATCATAGAAGGAATTTAGCTTGTCTGGTAGGCTCGCGTCACTGGGTAGCTCGCAGCTGGGTTTCCCTTTGTAATCTACGATTGTTTTCAAACCCTGCCACATCCAGCGAGCATCAGAGGATTCGATCTTAGTCCTGTATGGACGTTTTGACTGTTTGATGGCTCGTCGGAGTTCATAGCAGGATTTCTTATAAGCGTCCGGATTAGTGTCCTGCTCCTTGAAAGCGGCAGCTCTAGCCTTTAGCTCAGTGTGATGTTGCCTGTTAACCATGGCTTCTGGTTGGGAAATATAAGTACGGTCACTGTGGGAATGACATCGTTGATGCACTTATTAATGAAGCCGGTGACTGATGTGGTAAACTCCTCAATGTTATCGGATGAATCCCGGAACATATTCCAGTCTGTGCTAGCGAAACGGTCCTGTAGCTTAGCATCCACTTAATCTGACCACTTCTGTATTGATCGCGTCACTGGTACTTCCTGTTTGAGTTTTTGCTTTTAAGCAGGAATCAGGAGGATAGAGTTATGGTCAGATTTGCCAAATGGAGGGCGAGTGAGAGTTTTTTATGCGTTTCTGTGTGTGGAGTTTCTAGAGTTCATCTAGAGTTTTTTCGCCTATAGTTGCACAGGTGACATGCTGTAACATAAAAATGAGGTAAGACAGTTTCCCTGCATTAAAATCACCGGCCACTAGGAGTGCTGCCTCTGGGTGTACAATTAGTTGTTTGCTTATGGCCCTATACAGCTCGTTGACTGCGGTCTTACTGCCAGCATCGGTTTGTGGTGGTAAATAGACAGCTACAAAAAATATAGATGAAAACTCTATTGGTAAATAGTATGGTCTGAAGTTTATCATTAGGTACTCTAGCTCAGGTGAGCAAAACCTTGAGAGTTCCTTAACATTAGAGATCGCTCACCAGCTGTTGTTAACAAAGAGACACACACCTCTTCGCTTAACCTTACCCGTAGCTGCCGTTCGGTCTTGATGATGCATAGAAAAAACAGCTAATACTGAACAAAAATATAAACGCAACATTTCATGTGTTGGTCCCGTGTTTCATGAGCTGAAATAAAAGATCCCAGAAATGTTCCATATGCACAAAAAGCTTATTTCTCTCCAATCTTGTGTACAAATTAGTTTACGTCCCTGTTAGTGAGCATTTCTCCTTTGCCAAGATAATACATCCACCTGACATGTGTGGCATATCAAGAAGCTGATTAAACATCATGATCATTACACAGGTGCACCTTGTGCTGGGGACAGAAAAAGGCCACTCTAAAATGTGCAGTTTTTTAACACAGCACAATGCCACAGATGTCTCAAGTTTTGAGGGAGCGTGCAATTGGCATGCTGACCTCAGGAATGTCCACCAGAGCTGTTGCCAGATAAATTCATGTTCATTTCTCTACCTCCAATGTCGTTTTAGAGAATTTGGCAGAACGTCCAACCGGCCTCACAACTGCAGACCACATGTATGGAGTTGTGTGGGCGAGCGGTTTGCTGGTGTCAATGTTGTGAATAGAGTGCCCCATGGTGGCGGTGGGGTTATGGTATGGGCAGGCATAAGCTATGGACAACGAACAATGAACACAATTGCATTTTACCGATGGCAATTTGAATGCACTGTGACGAGATCCTGAGGCCCATTGTTGTGCTATTCATCCGTTGCCATCACCTCATGTTTCAGCATGATAATGTACGGCCCCATGTCGCAAGGATCTGTACACAATTCCTGGAAGCTGAAAATGTCCCAGTTCTTCAATGGCCTGCATACTCACCAGACATGTCACCAATTGAGCATGTTTGGGATGCTCTGGATCGACGTGTACAACAGCGTGTTCCAGTTCCCGCCAATATCCAGCAACTTCGCACAGCCATTGAAGAGGAGTCAGACAACATTCCACAGGCCACAATCAACAGCCTGATCAACTCTATGCGAAGGAGATATGTTGCACTGCATGAGGCAAATGGAGGTCACACCAGATACTGACTGGTTTTCTGGTGTTTTCCATGCCCCTATAATTTTTTTGAGGTATCTTTGACCAACAGATGCATATCTGTATTCCCAGTCATGTGAAATCCATAGATTCGGGCCTAATTTATTTATTTAAATTGACAGATGTTCTTATTTGAACTGTAACTCAGTAAAATCTTTTAAATCGATGCATGTTGCGTTTCTATTTTTGTTCAGTCCATGTCCTTGTTTAGCCACGACGCCGAGAAACATAGGATATTACAGTTCTTCAGGTCCCGTTGATAGGATAGTCTTGAACGGAGCTCTTCCAGTTTGTTCTCTAGTTATTATACGTTTCGCCAATAGAACGGAGGGTGGAGGCGGTTTATTTACTCACCGTCGTAGTCTCATCAGGGAGACCGCTAATTTTTCTCTCTTGCGCCGTCTCTTCCTCCTTGGAGTCCCGGAGATTAGGGCCTGGTCTGGGATGAGCAGTACATCCACACCTGCTGACTCGTTGAAGAAGATGTCTTCATCCAAATCGAGGTTAGTGATCGCTGTTCTGATGTCCAGAAGCTGTTTTCGGTCATAGGAAATGATGGCGGAAGTACCCAAAAAATTAAGATCAGCGTAAAAAACACACACACAAAAGAACAGAATTGGTCAGGAGCCTGTAAGACGGCAACTATCCATCTCTGCAGTGTCATCTCATGTGAGATGCACACACATTATATAGATACTCGACCACATACACACACGTGGTCGCATATCTATATAATATGTTAATATGTACAGAAGGTGTGTGTTCCGAGGGCAGTATTCTTTGGGTTGCTACCAAGCAGCCTGTACCACTTCTTTCTGACGACGGAGAATGAGTCCTTCATAGACAGCCCCCCGTCACACTCAACGTCACTACAGGTACACACAAACACACACACACAAACACACCTGTCTCCCTGGCTTTGCTTAATCTGTGTGTGTGTGTGTGTGTGTGTGTGTGTGTGTGTGTATGTGTGTGTGTGTGTGTGTGTGTGCGTGTGCATGTGCATGTGTGTGCGTGTGTGTATGTTAGCTCCCAGTAATAATATGATAATAATAATAATATGCCATTTAGCAGACGCTTTTAACCAAAGTGACTTACAGTCATGCGTGCATACATTTTTTTTTGTGTATGGGTGGTCCCGGGGATCGAACCCACTACCTTAGCGTTACAAGCGCCGTGCTCTACATACCTCCACAACACATCACACACACTACTTATTACCCACATACAACGAACCCAGTACGATTTATTAAGACTGGTTGAGAGCGGCGAGGGGAATGTTGATTGACTGATATGACAACAGATGTTCTGATTGGTGTTTCTCTCTAGTCCCAGGAGCCCCACAGGAAGTGCTGCTGGTGGAAGAGGATGTGACCTCATCAGTGTTTGTGAGCTGGGGAGCCACCGCAGGGGGCATGAAGAGGTACAAGGTAGGACACAGTCCTATCCTCTCCCTTACTCTCTCTCCTCTCTCCTCTCTCCCTCTCTCCTATTTTCTTCTCCTCTCCTTTCCTTTCCTTTCCTTTCCTTTCCTATTTTCTCCATAATTTGTAATTTTCCATCCCCTGACAAATCATTAGCAATGGCAAATCGTTAGCAACAACTGTCTCAGTATACCCATTCATAATAAGCCCTTTACATACACACATGCACACACAAATGCACAAACACACAGTCAACACTCTCTCTCACACACTAACACACAGAGAATGAGTTCTTCGTAAGATGAAGCAGGACAGGGGGGTCAAGAAACACTCCAGAGAACACACTCACCTGGTGGTTGCCTAGTGACTGTTGTCAGCGCAGATTGTCTCTGGTTACCGGCCCTTTAAAGATGTATGACCCCCCCCCCCCTCCCCACAGCCACCGCCAGGGAGAATGACCAAGCACTATACACGCACGCACGCATGTACACACAGACACAGACACAGACTTACTGCTTTATTCTGTCCAGATAAAACAGAAATGCTGTTCTCTCTGTGTCGTTCATTTGGGGTTTGTCACTGCCCAAACAAAACTTTGTCCAACAAACACCAACAAACTCCAACATTTGATTTTGTCCCCTAATGTTTTGTCCGATTGTGTGTGTGTGTTCTTCTTAGCTGCTGTTGTGTCCGTCAGGGGACAAGTAGTCATGTTGTGAGATGGTGGTCCATAGCAACAGTCTCCAGGTCGGAGGTTTGACCCCACGATCAGATTATGACATCACCATCCTTAGCCTGCTGGGATCAGACACCAGCCAGCCTGTCATTAAACAGTTCTCCACACGTAAGACACACAAACAAACACAAACACACAAATCAACCTCTGTGGCTCTAAATGTGGCTAGCCATATCAGGGCCATATCAGAGTTCCTAGTAGTAACCTTTGACCCTCAGCTATGTGGAGAGTCAGAGACTGAGACAGAGCTGAGTGTGAGATGAGGCAGATGAGACGTTATACTAATGTGTGCGTGTGTGTGTGTGCTGCAGGCCCGGCTGGTGTGTGTTCCCTCGCTCTCCTCCATGTTAACTCTTCCTGTGCCATGGTGAGGTGGGACACTGTCATTGGCCAGTTTGACTTCCACAGGGAAGCTGTGGGAAATGGCTTGCATTCACACATGCTAGTGGTCTCGAGGGAGACGCTGGTTGCTATGGTAACCGGGTTGCGGCACGGCTGTAGCTACAACATGAGCGTGGAGCGCATCAGACGAGGAGAGGCAGGGACAGCAGCCTCCCTGACCGTAACCACAGGTACCTGAGTGCAACACAACTATTACTGAACAAAAATATAAACGCAACATGCAACAATTTCAAAGATTTTACTGAGTTACAGTTCATATAAAGAAATCAGTCAATTTAAATCAATTCTTTAGGCCCTAATCTATGAATTTCACATGACTGGGCAGGGGCGCACCCACTTGGCAGCCAGGCCCACCGACCGGAAAGCCAGGCCCAGCCAGTCAGAATGAGTTTTTCCCCACAAAAGGGCTTTATTACAGACAGAAATACTCCTCAGTTTCATCAGCTGTCCAGGTGGCTGGTCTCAGATGATCCCGCAGGTGAAGAAGCCGGATGTGGAGGTCCTGGGCTGGCGTGGTTACATGTGGTCTGCGGTTGTGAGGCCGGTTGGACGTACTGCCAAATTCTCTAAAACAATGGCTTATGGTAGAGAAATTAACATTATGTGTAATGATCATGCTGTTTAATCAGTTTCTTGATATGCCACACCTGCCAGGTGGATGGATTATTTTGGCAAAGGAGAAATGCTCACTAACAGGGATGTAAACAAATGTGTGCACAACATTTTAGAGAAGTAAGCTTTTTGTGTGTATGAAACATTTCTGGGATCTTTTATTTCAGCTCATGAAACATGGGACCAACACTTTACGTGTTGCGTTTATATTTTTGTTCAGTATATATTACTCTATGACCGCTCTATGACCGCAACTCAGCCACAACTTCCCTGATTTTAACCATGGGTCACTCAATAAGTTATACATGTGTATATAAGACTTCTATCTCTCTCTGTCCCTACCTCCATCTCTCTCTCTCTCTCCCTTAGTACCGGGCCGTGTGCGGGGTGTGTGTGTGGTGAGTGTGTCTGCTCAGAACTTCTCTCTGCGTTGGGAGCAGTCAGATGGGTGTGTGGACCAGTACCTTGTCAGCCTGTTGCTCATCCAAGGAACTGTCTCTGTCTACCACACACACACACACAAACACAAGGAAGCCATTACTGTGGTGAATTATTATTAATGAACTGTAGATTTTAATAGACTATGAGGTAGAACTGGGTTAATCAAGAGCATAAAGTTAGAATTGTTTGTTACTGGGCCAGCAATTGTATTGGGTCATTTAATTTCACTGCGTGGGGGAGTAGAGAGGAAATCTGCCCTAGGGTCAGATTGCTTGCTCTTACTTAAATCCATGTCTGTCTTATCTGATGAGAGACTGAAACTAGCTTGTGGCCTTTTGTCTCTCTCTTCAAACACAGTCAAGGGAGCGGCACCAGGGTTGAATAGAGTTTGGGCTAGACCTTTCTCTCCTTGGTATCTTCTTGATTGATTACAGCATGAGGGGGTGAGGTTTGTGTAATTTAGGGCCTTGTCATGTTTAAACTAAACATGAGTGTGTGTGCAAGACAGGGGAGCGAGTGATTGGTTGGAGTAATAGTTCAGCCGTCCTCAGGGACAAAGAAAGTGGGTGTGGAGCAATAAAAGAGCGGGAAAACTGAAGAGGACTATATAAGCTGGAGGGAGACCATAAGGATGTGTGCCACTCTGCAGACTGGTATCGGCTTTGTTGAAATTTTAATAAAGTCATTTCTTGATGCAACAAAAACTCTGTAAGACCTTATTTGTAATAAAGTATAGTGGTTATTTTCCACAACATTACACAGTAGCAGTGGAGATGAGAAGTTAACCTGCTTCTGTTAACATCAACACAAGTGAGTTATGGAGACACACACAAACATACTAGCACATACCTCCACCAGACCCCACCCCTTCCTGACCCTGCTCAGCAGCCAGGTGTCAGATAACCCCCAATGTAACCTAACACACACACACAGGTTGAGTAATAGAGCTCATTATTTATTAGGTAGACCTCCTGAGCTCAACCTTGAATAATTTATTCAGTGAAGCTGCTCTCCTGAGAGAGAGAGAGAGAGAGAGAGAGAGAGACTGCATGGAGTTATGGTGGACACACTGCCCTGCCTCTCTCTGACCCTAACCGGCTGACCACTGGGTTACTACCATAGCTGGACTATAACTACTACTGCTGTAGCCAACCTGTTGCTACCCTCAACTAGTACTGCTGCTGTAACTTACCTGCTCTAACTGTTTCGGCATGGACTTATGCTCTAAGATCTAAACTGCTATAACCTGCTGACAACACTGGACTGAAGAACTGCAAACTTCACGCTAACTACCAACTCTGAACTAAGCCCTCTAATCTAGAATCTTTAGATAATGGCTACCACTGGACGCTAACACGGCCTCTTCCTTTCTAACCTGCTGCCTCTGACCAGCTAACTGGGCTAACTGCATCATGGCCCTCACTCGGCTCCTGATCATCACCTTCTATCTGGGATACACACACACACAGGTTAGACTGCCACACACACACACACACACACACACACACACACACACACACACACACACAAACACAAACACACAAAAACACACAAACACACAAACACACAAACACACAAACACACAAACATCTGCAACCGCATAGTTCTGCTGTGGTCATGTTCTGACCATGCGGTCCCTCATCAGGCTGATGTATCCAGTCTGAGTTCTCGAACAGCGTTTACGGTCATGGTGACCGCCGCATCCTCCTCCAACCTCAGCCCTCCGGTCAGCCGCATTATCAACACCAACGAAACCGGTGAGACACAAACACACACACAAACACACACATACACAAACACTTGAATGTGTGACAGCCGAACTGATAGTGCTCTGAGGAATCGTTGGGTCTGTTCTGCTGCTGCCCTCTGCTGATAATGTTTTATTGTGTGTGTGTGTGTGTGTGTGTGTGTGTGTGTGTGTGTGTGTGTGTGTGTGTGTGTGTGTGTGTGTGTGTGTGTGTGCGTGCGTGCGTGCGTGCGTGCGTGCGTGCGTGCGTGCGTGCGTGCGTGCGTGCGTGCGTGCGTGCGTGCGTGCGGGGTAACTGTAGCCATGCTAAGCAGGATGAATGATGCTGTAGTAAATGTCAGAGCTCTGAGGGTCTATTTACCAGAATAGAGCAAGCTGGTCACATACACACACACACACACACACACACACACACCCAGTTGGTTGACCCAATACCAAACAAAACAACAACAGTATCTGCAGTATCTGCAACAAGAGTAGGGGAGACCGGGGTTGGTTGTCTCATCGGTTGGATGTCATAGTTCTAATTATTCCCAATCTAAAAGGACCTGCGTAATATTTTTAAGGTTAAAATGTGTGCATTTTTTGAAAGAACACATCCACCTGGTCAACTCATGTCAGCATGACAAAAAATTGAGGTGACTGAATGTATGTTTTTCATAGGTGAAAGTAAAAATTTAAAATCTTGGAATTTTCTTTGTAAATGTTTGAATTATGTGAGTAGCCATGAACAATTATGTTTGTAGAAAAGAGGAACGGGTGAGCTATATTTCAAACCTATCTTTTTTCTTTCACACACCCACATCCGCACACATGCGTGTGCAAACACACACATACACACACACACATTTACTCAAAATGTCATATGTTATTCTCACAGCATAAAATTCTGAATTTTGTTAGGAATGTAATTTGATCAATGAAAGGCTACAGTGGGGGAAAAAAGTATTTAGTCAGCCACCAATTGTGCAAGTTCTCCCACTTAAAAAGATGAGAGAGGCCTGTAATTTTCATCATATGTCAACTATGACAGGCAAATTGAGATTTTTTTTCTCCAGAAAATCACATTGTAGGATTTTTAATGAATTTATTTGCAAATTATGGTGGAAAATAAGTATTTGGTCACCTACAAACAAGCAAGATTTCTGGCTCTCACAGACCTGTAACTTCTTCTTTAAGAGGCTCCTCTGTCCTCCACTCGTTACCTGTATTAATGGCACCTGTTTGAACTTGTTATCAGTATAAAAGACACCTGTCCACAACCTCAAACAGTCACACTCCAAACTCCACTATGGCCAAGACCAAAGAGCTGTCAAAGGACATCAGAAACAAAATTGCAGACCTGCACCAGGCTGGGAAGACTGAATCTGCAATAGGTAAGCAGCTTTGTTTGAAGAAATCAACTGTGGGAGCAATTATTAGGAAATGGAAGACATACAAGACCACTGATAATCTCCCTCGATCTGGGGCTCCACGCAAGATCTCACCCCGTGGGGTCAAAATTATCACAAGAACGGTGAGCAAAAATCCCAGAACCACACGGGGGGACCTAGTGAATGACCTGCAGAGAGCTGGGACCAAAGTAACAAAGCCTACCATCAGTAACACACTACGCCGCCAGGGACTCAAATCCTGCAGTGAAAGACGTGTCCCCCTGCTTAAGCCAGTACATGTCCAGGCCCGTCTGAAGTTTGCTAGAGTGCATTTGGATGATCCAGAAGAGGATTGGGAGAATGTCATATGGTCAGATGAAACCAAAATAGAACTTTTTGGTAAAAACTCAACTCGTCGTGTTTGGAGGACAAAGAATGCTGAGTTGCATCCAAAGAACACCATACCTACTGTGAAGCATGGGGGTGGAAACATCATGCTTTGGGGCTGTTTTTCTGCAAAGGGACCAGGACGACTGATCCGTGTAAAGGAAAGAATGAATGAGGCCATGTATCGTGAGATTTTGAGTGAAAACCTCCTTCCATCAGCAAGGGCATTGAAGATGAAACGTGGCTGGGTCTTTCAGCATGACAATGATCCCAAACACACCGCCCGGGCAACGAAGGAGTGGCTTCGTAAGAAGCATTTCAAGGTCCTGGAGTGGCCTAGCCAGTCTCCAGATCTCAACCCCATAGAAAATCTTTGGAGGGAGTTGAAAGTCCGTGTTGCCCAGCGACAGCCCCAAAACATCACTGCTCTAGAGGAGATCTGCATGGAGGAATGGGCCAAAATACCAGCAACAGTGTGTGAAAACCTTGTGAAGACTTACAGAAAACGTTTGACCTGTGTCATTGCCAACAAAGGGTATATAACAAAGTATTGAGAAACTTTTGTTATTGACCAAATACTTATTTTCCACCATAATTTGCAAATAAATTGATAAAATGTGATTTTCTGGATTTTTTTTCCTCATTTTGTCTGTCATAGTTGACGTGTACCTATGATGGAAATTACAGGCCTCTCTCATCTTTTTAAGTGGGAGAACTTGCACAATTGGTGGCTGACTAAATACTTTTTTCCCCCACTGTATATGGTATATTGCTTCGTTCCCTGTTACAAAAGGAATAAGCTACTAGCAAACATTGTGACATGATGGGGCTGGTTGTGTTCAAGGGTTTATAATTCCATGTTGGAATACGATATGAGGATTAAAGAGTTCCCCATTTCAACCCAAGACCTTGGACTTTATCTTAATATTGAAAAGAGTCTTGTAAGATATACTGGTGCTGAGAAATACACAGGAGAGTAAAATGTGTGACAACAACCCCGGTCACCCCTATCTTTCACAACATCTCTCACCATCCTCCCAATTTGTTGAATGGACTTACTTGTTAAGGACTTTTATGTATGGATTGGATGCTTTATGATGACATATCTAATAGATTTTCAGGAGATTTTGGTGAATATGTCCTTAACAGTTCTTTTTATTTTTTGTCTTCTTCTTCTACTCCTCCTCCTCCTCCTCCTCCTCCTCCTCCAGCCCCAAAATCTCCTCCAACCAATCTAGAGGGAGAGAGGGTGGGCTCCAATGGGATCCTTCTGTCTTGGACCATGCCCTCTGACTCTCCCATTGACGGTTATGTGATCAGGTATGATGTAAACCCAGAATAAGCCTACTCCTGGACTGCTTTTACTGTAATGTAGATGATCTATTAGTCATGCTTTTAGTCCAGAAGTACACTGTCAACCAGAAGGCATTTTTAACTAAAAAAATACTTCTAGTGAGTTGAACTCAAAGTAAATGAAAAGTCATTATTACTTAAAATGTTTGTGATACTGACTCAAAACTAAATGAGAAGTCACTTCAACTACATTTTTAAAAGTTTTGATAACAAATTAACTTTTTACCCAGCAAATTGTTTATAATATCTGTGTTTTTGCATGTACATTGAGTGATTGATTGATTAATCGTATGCTACACAAAGATAAAAACATACATTTTTCTAAACTAATCCATTAATTTAGTTATATTCTTTTGCACCTTTTACTGAAATGGTTGTTCCAGTTTAAATGGCTTAGGTAGTATCCTCACATTGTTTCTAACACTGGCAGTCATTATGGATGCAGGTTGGGGTGAATAAAAATTTCAACTGTTGGATATCCTAATTCTGGCTGGATTCCAATAGGAATTACACATCACTAGTGATGGGGAAACGAAGCTTCCTGAAGCATTGAGGATTTCCAGCCAATTGTGTTGAAAATATGTTCATTACTCATGGCTTTGATCAACACAGTGTACACTAGTGGCACCTGCTGGTCAAAATAATTAAGCATGGCCAAATGATTATAGACGACGTCCCACACTCCGTAGCACGTACGCAGCGTAGCCTTTCAGTCTTCTACCAAACCAATCAGACGGTTGTTCAACAAAACAAGCTTCAGATATCATTGATCACGTGCGTCTGATAAGTGATATAGGCATCGGCACACTGATTAGCAATTTCAACTGCAACTCAACAACCATGTCTTTGTCACTAACAAATACAGTCATGGGTGGTAACTCTACAATTCACTCGAAAAGGCAAGGCACACTGGGAAATTATATTGGGGGCGTGGCTTGGTGGGGGCGTTACTTAAATGTTCAAGCTGAGATGCTCTGCTTTTTGACACCACACTCCACAAAGCAAGTCCTGCAGGCTCTAGTTTTATCTTATCTTGATTATTGTCCAGTCATATGGTCAAGTGCTGCAAAGAAAGACCTAGTTAAGCTGCAGCTGGTTCAGAACAGAGCGGCACGTCTTGCTCTTCATTGTAATCAGAGGGATAATATTAATACTATGCATGCCAGTCTCTCTTGGCTAAGAGTTGAGGAAAGACAGACTGCGTCACTTCTTGTTTTTATAACAAACATTAATTTGTTGGAAAAACCCAAAAATTCAAAATAGTTTGCATAGTCAACTTACACACTGCACTGACACACACACTTACCTCACCAGGACCTCTATATCAGGTGGTGTGAAAAGAAGGCCTGGAAAATCGTCAAGAACCCCAACCACCCAAGCCATAGACTATTTTCTCTGCTGCCGCACGGCAAGAGGTACCAGTGCATCAAGTCTGACACCAACAGGCTCTTGAACAGCTTCTATCCCCAAGCAATACGACTGAAAAATAGCTAACAAAATAGCTACACGGACCGAGGTTACCTTGCATCTTTATTTACCTTTTATTTCAGTATTTGCATTGTCTCTATGCACACTCACAAGGCCCTACACACTCACACACACTGCCACTCCAACACACACACAAACATTCACTCCATCATTTGCTCACTCGCACATAATATGCACATACATTTATACTGACTCTACACACCCACACACCCACTCACATACAAGCTGCTGCTACTCTGTTTATCTTACATCCTGTTGCCTAGTCACCTTACCTCTATACATATCTATCTCCATCGCTCCAGTATCCCTGTACATGTAAATATGGTATTGGAACTTACTTTTTAAATATTTTCTGTATATAGTATGCTTACTTACTTACTTACTTTATTGTGTATTTCATATTTCTTATTCTTATTTCTCGTGTTTATTTTTTTTTCTAGTAATACACTGTTATTAGCTATTGCATTGTTGGGTTTTGAGTTTGCAAGAAAGGCATTTCACTGTACTTGTGCATGTGACATTAAAACTTGAAACTTGAAACATGCCACCAGGGTTTTTTTCACAGTCCCCAGGTCCAGAACAAATTCAAGGAAACATACAGTATTATACAGAGCCATGAGTGCATGGAACTCCCTTCCATCTTATATAGCGCAAGTGAACAGCAAACCTGGTTTAAAAAAACAAATAAAGCAACACCTCACGGCACAACGCCTCTCCCCCATGTGACCTACTTGTTGTGTGTATGTACTGACATGTATGTGTAACTGATAGATGCACACGCACACGCACACTACATGTTAATGTTTTTAAATGTATGTAAATTGTAAAGTATTTTGTCTGTAATGTATTTTTCGTGATATGTCGGACCCCAGTAAGACTAGCTGTCGCCATTGGCGTTGGCTAATGGGGATCCTAATAAATCAAATAAATCCAGTGAAGGGATATCTTAACGCTACAGCATACAATGACATTCTAGACAATTTTGTGCTTCCAACTTTGTGGCAACAGTTTGGAGAATGCCCTTTCCTGTTTCAGCATGACAATGCCCTCGTGCACAAAGCGAGGTCCATACAGAAATGGTTTGTCGAGATCGGTGTAGAAGAACTTGACTGGCCTGCACAGAGCCCTAACCTCAACCCCATCTAACACCTTTGGGATGAATTGGAATTACGACTGCGAGCCAGGCCTAATCGCCCAACATAAGTGCCTGACCTCACTAATGCTCTTGTGGCTGAATGGAAGCAAGTCCCTGCAGCAATGTTCCAACATCTAGTGGAAAGCCTTCCCAGAAGACTGGAGGCTGTTAAAGCAGCAAAGGAGGGACCAATTCCATATTAATGCCCATGATTTTGGAATGAGATGTTCGACGAGCAGGTGTCCACATACTATTGGTCATGTAGTGTATATTAAGTGTAACAGATTTCCTCAAAGGTTTTTAGTAATGACAGCACATTGGAGTTTACAGTGTAGGCTTAATCTGGGTCGGGAATAATAATATAATATGCCATTTAGCAGACGCTTTTATCCAAAGCGACTTACAGTCATGCGTGCATACATTTTTTGTGTATGGGTGGTCCTGGGGATCGAACCCACTACCTTGGCGTTACAAGCGCCGTGCTCTACCAGCTGAGCTACAGAGGACCACGAATAACACTATATGGGGAATAGGATGTTGATATTCCACCAGTATTTACTTCTAAATTAAGTTTAAATAAAGTTGTTTGTATATCACCTTGTGTTTAAATAAATGTGTTTCTATTGAATTTCAGGTACAAGGAGATGTGTCCATATCCAGACACCACCTTCAAAGAGGTGCCCAAACACCTGGATGTCCCTGAGACTCTCCTCAACCTCTTTTTACCAGGATCTACCTATAACATCAAGGTAACACTCAATCAGTACCAGTGGCGATTTTAGCATGTAAATCTTGGTGGTGCAAACTTGTTTTTGATGCATGCCAGCAAGGCCACTACACAACACAACACTAAACAATACAGTGCATTTGGAAAGTATTCAGACCCCTTGACTTTTTCCACATTTTGTTACGTTACAGCCTTATTCTAAAATGGATTAAATAGTTTTTTCCCCTCATCCATCTACACACAATACCCCATAATGACAAAGCAAAAACTGGTTTTAAATGTATTACAAATAAAAAACGGAAATATCATATTTACATAAGTATTCAGACCCTTCACTCAGTACTTTCTTGAAGCACCTTTGGCAGCGATTACAGCCTCTAGTCTTCTTGGGTATGATGCTACAAGCTTGGCTGTTTGGGGAGTTTCTCCCATTATTCTCTGCAGATCCTCTCAAGCTCTGTCAGGTTGGATGGGGAGCATCGCTGCACAGCTTTTCAGGTCTCTCCAGAGATTTTCGATAGGGTTCAAGTCCGGACTCTGGCTGGGCCACCCAAGGACATTCAGATACTTGTCCCGAAGCCACTCCTGTGTTGTCTTGGCTGTGTGCTTAGGGTTGTTGTCCTGTTGGAAGGTGAACTTTTGCCTCAGTCTGAGGTCCTGAGCGCTCTGGAGCAGGTTTTCATCAAGGATCTCTCTGTACATTGCTGCATTCATCTTTCCCTCGATCCTGACTAGTCTCCCAGTCCCTGCCACTGAAAAACATCCCCACAGCATGATGCTTCCACCATCATGCTTCACCGTAGGGATAGTGCCAGGTTTCCTCCAGACGTGACACTTGGCATTCAGGCCAAAGAGTTCAATGTTGGTTTCATCAGACCAGAGAATCTTATTTCTCATGGTCTGAGAGTCCTTTAGGTGTCTTTTGGCAAACTCCAAGCGGGCTGTCATGGGCCTTTTACTGAGGAGTGGCTTCCGTCTGGCCACTCTACGATAAAGGCCCAATTGGTGGAGAGCTGCAGAGATGGTTGTCCTTCTGGAAGGTTCTCCCATCTCCACAGAGGAACTCTGGAGCTCTGTCAGAGTGACCATCGGGTTCTTGGTCACCTCCCTGATCAAGGCCCTTCTCCCCCGATTGCTCAGTTTGGCCGGGTGGCCAGCTCTAGGAAGAGTCTTGGGGGTTCCAAACTTCTTCCATTTAAGAATGATGGAGGCCACTGTGGTCTTGGGGACCTTCAATGCTGCAGACATTTTTTGGTACCCTTCCCCAGATCTGTGCCTTGACACAATCCTGTCTCAGAGCTATAAAAATCTAATTGTATTTGTCACATGCGCCGAATACAACAGGTGTAGACCTTATGTGATGAGGTGTGAATGACGGAGTCAGGCGCAGGAGGTAAAACACCGAAATCAAGAGTTTATTCAGTGTACAATAATGTAGCGCATATAGCGACAGAATGAAACTAGCACAATGGAAAATCAACCTTGGCCGCATACAAGTAAAGAGTAGCTCAACCAAGCTACTCACTCTCACAACGAACAATCACTCACAAAGGACAAGGGGGCAGAGGGAACACTTATACACATTGACGCTTTGCCTGTTTGATGGTTCGTCGGAGGGCATAGCGGTATTTCTTATAAGCTTCCGGGTTAGAGTCCTGCTCCTTGAAAGCGGCAGCTCTACCCTTTAGCTCAATGCGGATGTTGCCTGTAATCCATGGCTTCTGGTTGGGGTATCTACAGACAATTCATTCGACTTCATGGCTTGGTTTTTGCTCTGAAATGCACTGTCGACACTGTCGACTCTGGTACATTATATAGACAGGTATGTGCCTTTCTAAATCATATCCAATTGAATTGACCACAGGTGGACTCCAATCAAGTTGTAGAAACATCTCAAGGATGATCAATGGAAACAGGAGGCACCTGAGCTCAATTTCGAGTCTCATAGCAAAGGGTCTGAATACTTATGTAAATAAGGAATTTCTGTGTTTACATTTTTATACATTAGCAAAAATTTATAAAAACCTGTTTTCACTTTCTCATTATGGGGTATTGTGTGTAGATTGATGAGGGGAACAAATAGTTTAATCAATTTTAGAATAAGGCTGTAACGTAACAAAATGTGGAAAAAGGGGTCTGAATATTTCCGAATGCACTGTACATTCATTGGACGATAACGGTGACAAACGGTGCCCAAAAACTGTTAGTGCCTACATAAAGTTGCCCCAACAGCAGAGTCCCAACATCAGTCCCAACACCTTACCACCGCTACACATGGCTATCAGCGGAGCCTTGTCTGGCAGCGAAACAGTTCATTCAGCCTCAATTACTGCCTTAAAAAAAAGCATTGCTGATATGGCTGACTTTCTTAAACAAATGTGGTTTCTACTGACAATTGAGATGTACAAACTATGGCATAAGGGGACGACATGCGGATAAGAGGCAATCCGTCATTTTATAAAGACATTAATGAGCGAGCTAGGACGGATGTAGTCAATATAACTATTTGTTCAGCACTTTTGAAATGTACAGGGATAGAATTCAGAACATGGGCCGTTCTTACAGTATTCTCCCTGTACACCAAGTCAGAACCGTAGGATAAATAAAGGGGGCATATAAGCAGACAATTAAAGCCCTTACAATGTTCGATAATGACATTTCTCTAAAACAGGCTATATGCTACTTGTGCACCACCAAGTCAGAACAGTAGGCTAAATTATGAGGGGAAAAGGCACATGGGCTACTAACAGCTTACTACACAACATACACTTAGTATTACTTTCTTAGTTACAGTATACATTTCTCCCTGGCATATTACATCATTTATGCAGCAGCATACAATACATTTTGGACTCAACTTCTTGTGCTGTGCTCACTTGAACAGGAAGGTGGCGCAGCAATCTTTCATGGGCAAATTTTGTCATCAAACTTTGTCATCAAAGTCTGCCATTCTCTGGATTTATGGTGCTTTCAAGACAACTGGGAACTATGAAAAAAACAAGGTTGAATCATGACGTTAGTGATCTTCAGGTCGGAGCTCTAGAAAGAGGCCTGAGTTCCCGACTTGGAATTCCGAGTTGGATGACCGTTCAAAACCGATTTTCCCAGTCGGAGCTCATTTTTTCAGAGTTCCCAGTTGTCTTGAACTCACTGAAGTCTGAGATTTCCCAGTTCCGAGTTTCAAGTTGTTTTGAATGCGGCAGAAGTCATGCTGGATAGACAGCATGGCCAATGTTAAATGTTTATCCTTTTAAGCTTGGAAAAGAGACACATATCCACTCCACTGAATAGCAGGCTAGTGATTGCTTTGCAATGCTTGCAGTTAGCCACTGATTCCTTCCAAACCGCTCATTGTTGAATTTGTGATTTTCAACTTGTTGTGTAATGTTTATGTCCGATGAGCACCGATACGTTTTATCTATAATTTCTGTTCATCATTTCTATTTATATGACAAGGATTGAAAAGGATTTGCCAGTAGATTGTCGACTTGATTCATGCTGATGACTGCTAGCTTGCTAGCTAAGATTTTGAAAGTATGACGTTGACATGATCAGTCCAATCATAGCTACTGTAGATATAACGTGATTTGACGTCATTTTATCTGTGGCCAATGACCTTGAGCCTTCTTGGATGGGCACTTCTAATGTAACTCTATGGCAGCACCCAATGGGCTTGAATTTTTTGAGCTCTCCCCGTAGATTTTGCGGTGACATAGTGTCCCCATGAGTGACAGAACACTGAGCCAATCACGCCGCAACTAGAGAACATTACCAACCTCTCCGCTCCGTATTTTCCGCTGGCTGCCCCACCACCACAGAAAGCACTGAGCTAGGCTGAAACACCTGCATTTGATCAGTACAAATAAGTACACTGTAAACCCCAATGTGCTTTCATTACTCAAAACTTTTGAGGAAACCCGTGGCACTTAATATATCTGAGTACAGTTACTGTAAGTGATTTTGTAGTCATTACTAAAACCGATAGATTCACTGTGACCCTGTAGGGCAGTGGTCACCAACCAGTCGATCGCAATCGACTGGTCGATCTCCAAGCTATTCCTATCCGCTCACAAAACATTTCTGTAAAAAACCCAACGATAAAGCCTTGCGTTCCTATTTGTTTTATTCGTTTCGCGCTGTTGGCAGTAGGTGCACTTGATTCAGCAGCCCTAGCTCCAGGAAGGCAAAGTGTTCCCATTTTGAACCATTTCATGTGTCTGAAGGTAGAACTCCGCCTACCTGGCAAATCAAGTGCACCTATAGGCCTACCGCTGGCCAATCAGATAGCTCAGATCACGTGTCTGCACAGTTTCCTCGCACCATAGACTGTAATAAGAAGCCTTGAACGGACAGCAATGTTGATAAAGTGAGATTTCAAAACTTTTAAAACCATGACTAGAGAGAGACTCAACGAATACAGCACAGTGCTAGTGTTTTTATGAGTAAGCTCATGTTTAAGCTATTCAGCACTGTCAACACTTTGTTCAACAGTTTTATAAGCTATCAAATGCACGCTCTCCATACTTCCACTCACGCTACAATCACCACTGCAGCTGCAATGAATGAGTATAGCAAAGTGCTTCGATAAGCTTGCTTTGTTATTATTTGTGTATTTTAACTATCTAGGAATATTTCACATTCTCTGGGAATAGGAGTAACTATATGAACTGGTGTATGCTGCAGAAATAATGCAGTGTGACTTAAGTTTCGCCATCAGTTGGAAGACTGTGTCCCCTTTTCTCAGTGGAAGGAGAGGTGAGAGGCAGCCTCACCGCTGCTCCTTCCCTCCCCTCAGACTGACCATCAGATGCAGGCCATCAGTCCAGTAAAAAAAAGAGCAAATTATTATGCTCACTCAGCTGTGCCTCACAAGTAATACAACAAATGATCTAATACCAATGTGATCATATACCTAAAATGTTGAAATATGATTTCTAAATTGTCAACAACAAAAAGAAAACATTGGCAGGGCAATTCAAGCATAGCCAATATGCAGTGATAATGTATTGGGCCTATAGCCTACTGCACAAACCTCATTGCTACAGAACTCTTTTTAATTGGTCAATGTTGCATAGGCTTACGTTTTTTAAGTAATGTTAAAAAGAAATCTGAGCGGTAGATCTCAACTTGCATTTTGGCTCAGAAAGTGATCTGGACTCAGAAAAGGTTGGTGACCACTGCAGTAGGGGTTCCAGATTTGAATTGTATCAGTTTGAAACGTTTGGGTGACCACCCACTAAGCCACGTCTGCAATATAAGTTCCCAGTGTGCCTTGCCTTTTCGAGTGAATTGTAGAGTTACCACCCATGACTGTATTTGTTAGTGACAGAGACATGGTTGTTCAATTCATTCGTTTTCAGTCTTGTGGCCTTCACCAAGTGAGTTCCTAGGTGAATGTTGTCATTATAATGAAACGCTTTATGACAATATATTACATATCTCATAAGATTTCATTTTGAGGCCTAGCTTTACCCTAACGTGTGTGTGCATCCATGCATGCATGTGTTCTGGGCAGATGCCTCCGGCGGGGAAACTATTATCTTGATCTGGTTGAATAATTGATTGTGATTAAATTATTGATCATGTAAACAGATCTATGGATCAGCCATGCTGTTCTTTTTCCACATAGTCTTCTGTCAATATGCTGTGTGTGTGATAGTGGTTAATAGTTTTCAGAATGCATGAATCCTTAATGATCTTAATACAGTTTATTATGAGCGGCAAGGGAGTGTGTGTGAATGTGTGTGTATCACATTACCAGACGTTACTAATGTGTACAGTATAAATAAATAATATAATAAATAAATTGGTCATTTAGCAGACGCTCTTATCCAGAGCGACTTACAGGAGCAATTAGGGTTAAGTGCCTTGCTCAAGGGCACATCGACAGATTTTTCACCTAGTCGGCTTGGGGATTAGAACCAGCAACCTTTCGGTTACTGGTACAACGCTCTTAACCACTAAGCTACCTGCCGCCTATAAGCACACCCAGCAGTGCTGAGCAGGCTATGTGCTGCTTTGTCCTCTTCCTCATCTAATCATCTCTATCCGTTCTTTCCTATTCTCTTCCTGGATTTTTCATCTTCTCTGTTCTGGCTTCTATTAATATTCTCTGTTCTATTTTCATAGCAATGGAGCCATTTCATTATCTTATTTGAGTCAGAACCTCACTTTAACATCTCATCTAAAAGACGGCACTCTCTACAGCAGGGTTGGGCAAACTACGGACTGCGAGCCCATTCAATCCGTCCCGCAGGAGGTTTGAGTAAAACCCCTATGTTTTATTTTAGGGGGGAAATTATTATTTTGGGTTTAAAAAACACTCCAGGCCACTCTTGATTGTCTAAAGCTTGATAGAAAGTATGTAGAAATTATAATGGATTTATATATTTTCAAATACCTGCCCTTTTTCTGGCCCGCAAAATTGATTTTGACAAACAAATTGGTTTTAAAAAAAATGTGCGGCCCTCTGTTGAATTTTTAAATCCCGATGTGGCCATTGAGCCAAAGAGTTTGCCCACCCCTGCTCTACACAGTAGTTACCCATCATATGATGCAAAACTCGTCATACCGGCTATATTTCTGCCAGCTTGAATGGCGAATACCTCAGATGCACATGAAATGACCCCGGGAATCGCTCAGAGATGCACAAAAAGTATATACATTAAAAATGGGTGAATATTTATTTTAGGACTAGAGGAAATAGGGCCCTCATCTGGCCTCCCCAACACCACAGCCAGCATCATCTGGTCTCCCATCCAGGGATGGTTAGTGCTATCTGGGATCCTTGGGACATCCCTACCCTAAACCGTAACTTTAACCCATACCCTTAGCCTAACCTTAACCATAACCCTTACCTTAACCATTTTAAATATAAACTTCAATGGGGGGGTAGGTACCTACCAAGGATCCCGGATAGCATGGACCATCCAGGGATTGACCAGGCCCAACCCTGCTTAGCTTCAAAGACAAGCTAGCAGTGGGATGCTGTGTGTGTGTGTGTACCTGCCTGCCTGGTGTTGTGTGGCTGTTGCATCAGTAAACGTTCCTGATCGCTGGTAGAGATTAATATGGGGGAGATCTGATGACTGAATCCTGAATTAGTAATGATGATTAATACTCTCTCTCACCCGCTCTCTCGCTCTCTCTTTCTCTCTCTCGCTCTCTCTCTTTCTCTATCTCTCGCTCTCTCTCTTTCTCTATCTCTCTCACTCATATATATTTCTCTCTCTCTCTCTCTCTCTCTCTCTCTCTCTCTCTCTCTCTCTCTCTCTCTCTATCTCTACATTTGATTTGATCTCTCTCTCTAGGTTGCAGCAGAAAATTCTGCTGGTATTGGACCCTATAGCAAGTCTCTGTACATCAAAACTGCTGAGGCCCGTAGGTATCCAATAATAACAAACAAACACACACACACTTATACACACAGACAATGACATTAGTTTGTCTATCCCTTTCTCAAGCCCCCGGCCTGGTGACTAACCTGACAGCGTTTGCTCAGAACCACACGTTCGTAGTGGTCACGTGGTTCCTGCCGCTCCGCATCAACGGTCTGATCACCAAGTTTGCAGTTAAAGCCAAACACGCTCGTACCGGTCAGACCGTCCGCATGCTGGAGCTGGATGCTGAGGAAATCATGACCGTAGCGCTACCACACTGCAACGTACGTATGTCTGTCTCTCTCAGTCTTTCTCATTCTTTCTCTGTCTGTCTAGAGATACTCTGACCATATCGGTAACAAGACTATCTAGTTTTACCTTTGGTCCTCTGTGACGGATGTGAGATTAGCATTTTCAACTTTTTTTTTTTACTTTCAGAAAAAATATTGTAGTCCAAACAGAGCAATGCTACAGGCCTCCAGTATTTTTTCTCCCTATCTTTCTCTCACTCTCTCTATTCAACTAAATTCAAAGTGGATTTATTGGCATGGAAAACATGTGTTTACAGTGCCAAAGCAAGTGAAAAAACAAGACAACATCGACAAAAACCAACAAAGAGAATTAAACAAAACGAAGACAAAAACAATCAGATATTAACATGAACTTTACACACAAAGTTTCAAGAGAATAACAACTTTTAAAGTATTATATTATTAGCAGTTAAAAAATGTAGCATAACATTTAAAATGTTACATAAGCTCTGTCTTTGTGTACTTAAATACATACATGTCTGTGTGTGTGTAGGATGCAGCAGAAATCCTGTCTCGTGGGACCCCCAGTCCATCAGAGGTGACAGCGTCCTCTCCTCCCGTCACCCTGTCAGCCGTCCCGCCTGCCGCCACCTGGGCTGTACCAATATCTGTAGGGGTGGACCAGCTGCGCCCCTACACAGCATACGTCTTCGAAGTGTCTGCTTTCACCTCCGACGGAGAGGGACAGGTCGCCTCCACCATGGTCCGCATGCCTGAGTCAGGTACACAAACACACACCCACACACTCCACCTCTCTACATCTACATATCTCTGCCCATCTCTCCAAATCTCTTTCTAAAACCGTCTATATCTCAATTTCTCTCTATCTATTCCTCACTTCATCTCTCTCACCATGTGAATATGTACAGTGAGGAAAAAAAGTATTTGATCCCCTGCTGATTTTGTACGTTTGCCCACTGACAAAGACATGATCAGTCTATAATTTTAATGGTAGGTTTATTTGAACAGTGAAAGACAGAATAACAACAAAAAAATCCAGAAAAACACATGTCAAAAATGTTATGAATTGATTTGCATTTGAATGAGGGAAATAAGTATTTGACACCTCTGCAAAACATGACTTAGTACTTGGTGGCAAAACCCTTGTTGGCAATCACAGAGGTCAGACGTTTCTTGTAGTTGGCCACCAGGTTTGCACACATCTCAGGAGGGATTTTGTCCCACTCCTCTTTGCAGATCTTCTCCAAGTCATTAAGGTTTTGAGCCTGACGTTTGGCAACTCGAACCTTCAGCTCTCTCCACAGATTTTCTATGGGATTAAGGTCTGGAGACATTAATCTTAATGTGGACCTTAATGTGCTTCTTCTTGAGCCACTCCTTTGTTGCCTTGGCCGTGTGTTTTGGGTCAATGTCATGCTGGAATACCCATCCACAATGCATTTTCAATGCCCTGGCTGAGGGAAGGAGGTTCTCACCCAAGATTTTACGGTACATGGCCCCGTCCATCGTCCCTTTAATGCAGTGAAGTTGTCCTGTCCCCTTAGCAGAAAAGCACCCCCAAAGCATAATGTTTCCACCTCCATGTTTGACGGTGGGGATGGTGTTCTTGGGGTCATAGGCAGCATTCCTCCTCCTCCAAACACGGCAAGTTGAGTTGATGCCAAAGAGCTCGATTTTGGTCTCATCGGAGCACAACACTTTCACCCAGTTCTCCTCTGAATCATTCAGATGTTCATTGGCAAACTTCAGACAGGCCTGTATATGTGCTTTCTTGAGCAGGGGGACCTTGCGGGCGCTGCAGGATTTCAGTCCTTCACGGCGTAGTGTGTTACCAATTGTTTTCTTGGTGACTATGGTCCCAGCTGCCTTGAGATCATTGACAAGATCCTCCCGTGTAGTTCTGGGCTGATTCCTCACCGTTCTCATGATCATTGCAACTCCACGAGGTGAGCTCTTGCATGGAGCCCCAGGCCGAGGGAGATTGACAGTTCTTTTGTGTTTCTTCCATTTGCGAAAAATCGCACCAACTGATGTCACCTTCTCACCAAGCTGCTTGGCGATGGTCTTGTAGCCCATTCAAGCCTTGTGTAGGTCTACAATCTTGTCCCTGACATCCTTGGAGAGCTCTTTAGTCTTGGCCATGGTGGCCAGAGTTTGGAATCTGATTGATTGATTGCTTCTGTGGACAGGTGTCTTTTATACAGGTAACAAGCTGAGATTAGGAGCACTCCCTTTAAGAATGTGCTCCTAATCTCAGCTCGTTACCTGTATAAAAGACACCTGGGAGCCAGAAATCTTTCTGATTGAGAGGGGGTCAAATACTGATTTCCCTCATTAAAATGCAAATCAATTTATAACATTTTTGACATGCATTTTTCTGGATTTCTTTGTTGTTATTCTGTCTCTCATTGTTCAAATAAACCTACCATTAAAATTATAGACTGATCATTTCTTTGTCAGTGGGCAAACGTACAAAATCAGCAGGGGATCAAATACTTTTTTCCCTCACTGTATGTGTGTGCTGCAGCCCCAGAGGACCCTCCCCACAACCTGTCGGTATGGAACGTGACGTCTAAGTCAGTCTCTGTCTCCTGGGATCCGCCAACCATTGTTACCGGACGCTTCAGCTACGTCACCTATCTCTATGGCCCCACAGGTACACGCACGCACACACACACATATAGTCACATACATCAATCACTACATTTAAAATACTTGCTGAAGTAAAAACACTGAAGGTCGCAGATCTAACCCTAACCCTGTGTGTGTGTGTGTGTGTGTGTGTTAGGGTTTATCTATGAGAACAGCACAGGGGACCTGAAGTTTGTGTACTCTGGTCTGACTCCCTACACACACTACAGAGTGGCCGTCCGGGCCAAGTCTGCTGGCCTGCTGGGGCCTGAGGCCTTTTCTGCTGCACTGACACATGCTGAGGGTAAGAACACACATTCGTCTTGAGTGATGTGCTCTGCTAGTGCAGTGCTCTTCCTTTCCCTATTGGTCAGTGAGGTGAGTGCAGGAGTATTTTCCTACCTTGAACATCTAAACATTCCGCCTGGCTCTCTAACATTGGGTCTAAGACTTGTCTGGCTCTCTGTGTGTGTGTGTGTGTGTGTGTGTGTGTGTGTGTAGCTCCCAGTGCGGTGAAGGCTCTACAGGCAGTAGCAGTAGACTCTGTGTCGGTGCGTGTGAGTTGGAGAAGCCCTGCCCAGCCCAATGGTTTGATCACACAGTACAGACTCCTGGTTCTGTCTGACAACACACTGCTGCAGGACATCACCCTCATCGGAACACAGGTACCACTCTGTGGATGTGTGTGTTTGGGGTTTTACTATCCTTGTGGGGACCAGAAGTCCTCACTAGGATACCAAAACAAGGAGAAAAAAATATATAATTTTTTTAAATTTAGGAACTCAGTCGGGGTACCCATGAGCAACTGCGGCCCCTCATGGTGAGTTCAGATTTTTTGTGGCCCCCACCCCCATCAAAGTTGCCCATCCCTGGTTTAGGGTTAGGGTTAAAATTAGGATTATAGTTAGAATTAGGGTTAGGGGTTAGGAGTTAAGGTTAGGGTTAAGGTTAGGGGTTAAGGAAATGTTAAGGGTTAGGGTTAGTGGTAGGTTCAGGGTTATGGGTTAGGGAAAATAGGATTTGAATGGGAGTAAATGTTTTGGTCCCCACAAGGATAGTAAAACAAACGTTTGTGTGTGTGTGTGTGTGTGCCTGATGTTTTCCTCTTATCTTTAGAATCTAAATGACACTGATCTCCTTGGTGATGGAACATTAGTGCCAGGTATCCCTGGTGACTCTCTGCGGCGTAAGAGATCATCTGACCTCAGCCTGACCACCTCTCCACCTGCATTCACGGTCACCCTGCCCTACCACACGGTCGTCACTGGCATGACCATGACCGCAACCAGCCGCACACACAGCGGTTCAACCCCCCCTGACCTTAACCCTAACCTTGACCACAACAGTTACACTGTCCCCACAGTCACTGAGAGTCCCAGTCTGACCAGTATGGGCCCTGTGACTGGGACTGACCAGACCTCTGACTTGCCAGATTCCTCCCCTCTGACCTTTGACGCTGTAACTTCAGGGACATCTGCCCTCTCCCTGACCTCTTCAACCCCGGCCACACCCCTCCCCTGGCTCACAGCCCACTCACAGCCCAGCCAGCTCACCTCTGGCCAGCCACGCCTCTCCACCCGCTCTGCACCTGCAGCCACTGGACACCTCCAGACACACCCCTCCACCAGGGCTGCAGCCTCCAGCACCCCGGGAGGTACTGCACTCATCTCTAACTTATAACCATTTAACCTTTTAACCTCTAAACCCTTTTAAAGGTGCAATATGCAGAAATGTCTCTGCCATCTCCTGGTTACTAAAATTCTAATAATTTGCCTTATTTCAGTTTATATGACAAAACAAGCACTCAGAGTGTAGAGAATCATTGTACCATCTAAACCGCTGTAAAATATATTTTCAATAACCAAAAATATAGTATTTTCAGCTGTTTGAAGCTGGTGTACAAAACCAAACGTAAAAGACACAAACACGAAACGTAAGAACGGGAAGCATAGAAATAGCGCACATAGAACAGATCCACCGCATCTTAGACTTGCTTTCAATAAGAATGACAGATCTATCCATTTCTATGTGAATTTGGTCAGGTCGCCCAAAAAGTGACATATTGCAGCTTTAACACTATACATATCTACCTCTATCACTCCAGTATCCCTGCACGTTGTAAATATGGTACTGGAACTGACTAACCCTGTATATAGCATACTTACTTACTTCCTTGTGTTCTCTTATTTCGTATTTTTATTTCTCGCGTGTTTTTGTTCTACCTTATGTTATTTTTAGTATTGCATTATTATTGATTACTGCATTGTTGGGTTTAGAGCTGGCAAGAAAGGCATTTCACTGTAGTTGTGCATGTGACATTACAACTTGAAACATGATTGAAGACTACAGGAGTTGATGAGTAGAATGAGGTGTGTTACCATGCACTACAGTCTGTCCTCTATACTGTGTGTGTTCCAGGAGTGTATGTGAGAGAGGAGGTGATGGACATGCAGTCTGAGGAGCTGTCTTACCTAGTCTCTGGTCTTAGTCCCTTCACTGAATACACCTTCACCGTTACCGCAGCTACCTCTATTGGAGAGGGTCCTGCCTCACACGTCTCTGAGAAGACCCGCGAGCAGAGTACACACAGATACTGTATATACATTGTTTTTTAATAGTGTCATTGTTGTTTATTATTGTTGTTGTTTATTGTTGTGTGTTGTTGTTGTCATAGTTCCTAGCTCAGTGGTGGGTGTGTCCTATCAGAACGTTAGCTCCACCTCCATCCTGGTCAGCTGGAATCCGCCCCTCTACCCCAACGGACTAATCACACATTACACCATCTACGGACTCAACCTGCACAGCAACCAGGCCCTGCAGAGAGTTACACACAACACAAGCATACTGCTCACAGGTAACACACACCCATACTGTATATACACATATACACACATGGTACAGGCCTGGTTCAAGCCTGTAAATATGTATTGGTGTTAAGCTGCTTGCTGTGTGTTTCAGGGCTGGAGAAGTATACAGGTTATAAGCTGCGAGTGGCTGCATCTACTGCTGTAGGAGAGAGCTCTCTGTCTGACCTAGACAATATCTTCGCTGTCACACCCGACGATGGTACCAGGCACACACACACATCCTCTCATTATGTGGTTTCATGATAGAGAGTCCAATGTATCCCTCTCTCTCTCCCTCTCAGAACCTGACTCCCCACCCTTAGGGTTAACAGTGGTAGACACCTCTCCCTCCACCACCACCCTCTCTTGGTCACCCCCGGAGAGAGCCAATGGGGTGATCCAACAGTATGAGGTCCTGTACGAGAACCAATCGTATGTGGCAGTGTTCAACAGCTCTGTCCCCAGAGTGACTCTGACAGGGCTGATGCCATTCTCCTACTATAACGTGTCTGTCAGGTCATACACACGCCTCGGACACGGGAACCAGACCTCAGACACACTCACTATGCTGTCTGGGGAGGACGGTGAGTCTACACACACACAAACATACACACACATACACACACACACACACACACACACACACACACACACACACACACACACAAACTAGGCACATGCACACACTAACGCCTCATGTTGAAGTGTGTGTGTGTGTCCCCTCTCTAGTACCGGGAAGTCCTCCCTACGGCCTGTCCTATGTGTCCGTCAGTCCCAATGAGGTGAATGTGACCTGGGAGCCCCCCCTAGTGCCCAATGGAGTTATCACGCACTACAGGTACATCTCTGCATGACTTCTGGATTTTTACTGTCTCGTGATGAAAATGCACTTGAGATGAAGTTTGATTTGATTTGATTTACAGCCTTGAGCTGCGAAACTCTTCTCACTTCCTCAACCTGACCACACCCATCAGCCACGCCCAGATCACATACCTAAGGAAGTTTGCACAATACACTCTGGTGGTGAAGGGACACACACGCATGGGCCCTGGAAACCACAGCAGTGACCCACTCAACATCACCACACTGGAGGATGGTGAGAGCCTCTCAAACACACAAACACACCCCAGAACCACCGCAGTAAACCACTATACATCACCCCAATGGAGGGAGGGATCCGGGGTAAGAGGGGGGAGGTAGAGGGAGACCATGGTTAGGGTCATTGTGTTTCAGGTGGCCGCGTAGTGGACTATGGTGTTAACGTGACCAGAGACCCTGGACCACAGCAGGTTCATCATCACCTCTCACTTCCTCTCTCTGTCTCAAGTCCTCCTGATCCTCTGACATCACAGGTCAGAGGTCAGGGGTTACCACAGAGTTATTTAACAGCACCAAAAACATCACTTTTAACCAACCAGCTTTACTTCACAGGGATGTGCTTGCAGATGAGCCAGCATGCAGGCGGTATTTCCAACGATCAAGGAGCGTTTAGCGAACGTTCTCTCCATTTCCCCTAGGGGCGTGGTTATCAGTGTGTCTGTGTTTGGTCTTAAATAATATGAAGTGTGTTTCAGACCCAGATACTCCCCCTCAGTTCCTGTTAGCCAGGAAGTTGTCAGACTACGAGGTAGAATTGTCATGGGAACCGCCGAAAGAGACCAACTCTGAGATCCTCTACTACATAGTCAGAGTTTGGTGAGTTTTATTTCAATATTGATCGTTAGTTTGTGTCCTACTGCTGATGTGATGTTGAAAAAGGAGATGTTAAGGGATGAGGCATTCTGATTGAAGCATGAGTTACAGCTCCAACATGGCCTCTTCTTCTTCTTCCTCCTTCCGTCTCTCTCCTGGAGGAATGAGTCATCTGAGGTGTGGCAGAATGTAACAGGTACAGCGGTGGTGATCAGCGTTGACTCAGAAAGTCGCTACAACGCCTCTGTCTCCAGCTGGACACGCCTGGGGGACGGGGGAGTCCTCATATACATCAGCTTCAGTATTATTGACGCAGGTACACACCCACACACACACACACACACAAACCTTTGAGAAAATCTTGTAGTCCCAACTGAGCATTGCTACATGCCTCCAGTTCATTTTTACTAAACACAAGTGACATGCAACTTGCACCAAATCACTCCTGCAATTCTCTTCCGCAGTGCCATTTGACCCTCCCCAGAATGTGTTGTTGGTGAACCTGACCTTTTCCTCAGTGACCGTCCTCTGGCAACCCCCCACTCAGCCAAATGGAATCCTCCTGCACTACACTCTGTACTACTCAGACAATACCACTGTCACAGAACAGGTGAGTTATACAGCATTACATTGTATCCTACACAGACAATAACGCTGTTATAAAGCAGGTGAGTAACACACACACACTGTACGCTCATGTGTAAAAGTGTGTGATTTTCTACTTTAAAGGCATTGTCTCTCTCTCCCCTCTCCATCAGCATATCCCAGTGTCAGAGCTGGAGCCTGTCTCTCTGGGGGAGGACCTGTCCTACTGTCTGTCTGGCCTGAGAGGAGGACAGAACTACAGCCTCTGGCTGACCTCCAGCACCATGCAGGGGGACGGAGGGGTCCGTACTGATCCTTTAGATCTACTCACCCCAGATGGCGGTCAGTTTCACACACACACACACACAGACACTGACACACACACACACACACACAGAGTCTGCACTGTTTTTTCCAACCTCTTGTTGAACTTGATAAAATCACGTAAAAATTCTGCGATTTAAGTTTAACTTTCAGCTGGCTAGTGAAAGGAGGTAAGTCTGTCAGTCTGACAAACTGGCCCTTTTTGTCCCTCCGAGGCCTCCGTACCTCAGACAACCAGTTTGTATCTCCTTTTACTGAACCCTGTGGAAGTTTACTCTTTGACCTGTTGGATATCTGAGAATGTCTTGTATTCCAAACAGAGCAATGCTACAGGCATCCAGTTATTTTGTAAACGCATTGGCTATCAACAATGTCACAATGCTGTCAACATACATCCAGTAGAGATGTTTCATCCTATAGTTTTGTGAGTAGGTCATTATTGTATTAGTGTTAGTAGTTTAGTCTGTAGCTTAAGATGCAGATGAATCACTTTCAAGTGACAGTATCTGGATTATCACAAGAAGTAGCAATGTTCCTGTCAAATAGATTATGTAAATAAAAATAGTAGCTCAGTCTGGTGTTATTCAAAAGAAATGTAGCTATTGTTCCTATTTGACGATGATCTCTTAGTTTTTATGTGATTTTGGGAAAAATTGTGTAGACAGACTGCTGCCTCCATCTGACGTATAATAGTGACTGACTCTTGTTTCGGTCTAAAGATGTCTCTAATACTGACTGTGTGTCTCTGCCTCTGTGCTCCAGCCACGGGACCTCCAGCTCACCCTGCCTCTCCTGCCCTGCCAAGCCCAGCAGGGCTCACTGCCCTGGGCTCAGACACCCACACACCGCCCTCTCTCCTCCACCCATCCATCCACTTCACCAGCCTCTCAATCTGCCTTCACTGAGGTCTCCCCTCCCTCCTTATATCCTCCATCTCCGCGTCTCTCCTTCTTTCCATCCCTGTTTCCCCTGTTGCACATGCTCAGTTTGCTCTCTCCATATGGTCAGACTCAGTGACCGGAGCTTAGAGGATGGACACCGAAAGTGGGTGTGGCCAGGATGAGTATCTGCTATTCAAAATGTCTCTGTTTTTTGTTTCTCGATTTGAAGTTTCTCTGTTCAAAGATTCTCAAAACAAAGTTTCCCTGTTCAAAGATTCTCAAAGCAAAGTTTCTCTGGTCAAAGTTTTCTTGTTTTTTTTCACACTGAGGTTATTCTCTTCATATGAATCATGGGGTGATGATGATGTTAATGATGATGTTGTTGTTAATGATGATGATGATGATGACGATGATGAAGTGCTGTTTTGTGTTTGTTGATGTGTTTCTCTCCCTGGGGTGGCTCAAGTGTTTGATTGGTTGATAATGTTGCTGGTTTGGGTGTAGATGTATTATTATGTGCATAAATCACTTGTAGTGTTCTTCTAATGCTAGGACTGAGTCTGAAGAATGATGTAGTTCAGTCAGTGATACTAATTCCCCCTCTCTCCCAACAGTGCCCAGTGATCCGGTCCACAATCTCAGTGCTCAGATCTTCAGTTCTACGGCCATCATAGTAAGCTGGGACCCCCCTATGGAACCCAACGGACGCCCCTTCTACCTGCTCACCCTGCAGGAGGCAGTACACCCCCAACCCCCTAAACCTCTGAACCCCTCTTATCCTAACACCAACTCCCCCGGACCACCCGCTGTCAACAATACCATCACCAAGACAACCAACGATAACGTCTTCCTGTTTACAAAACTCAGGAAGTACTATCCCTACATCCTCACTGTTACCCCGGCAACCAGCGCTGGCCTGGCCCACAACCACACCAGCCTGCTGCACGTGAGGACTGATGATGATAGTGGGTCTACAGACACACACACACACACACAAATGCACACACCATTTTTTAAAACATATACACACACATACTATTTACCCACTCTCTCCCTCCAGTCCCCAGTTCAGCTCCAGTGCTGGTGTCCAGTAGGAACCTGTCGTCCTCCTCTGTGTCTGTGGTGTGGCAGCGCCCCCTGGAGGCCAACGGAGAGATAACAGAGTATTCCCTCACAATGTTCAGCTCTGCCGGCTCCAACACCACACACACTCCCAACACCACCCTCATACTCACACAGCTCCTGCCCTACACAGCCTACAACCTCTCCATCACCGCAGCCACCCGCAAGGGCTCCGGACCACCGCTACTACTGATGCTGCACACAGATGAAGCAGGTAATCTTTAACCTCTCACCTCTCACCTTTAACCCTTACTAACCTCTAACCTCTCCCTACCATAACCCCTCCAACTGCTGCTGCATACAGACGAAGGCCAGTAATGCACTCTAACATTGTGTTCCACCAGGTCCGATGTCTCCTCCCCGTAACCTGTCTCTGTATAACCACACAGCCTTCTCTGTGTGGCTGACCTGGGAACCCTCTCTGGAACCCAATGGTGTGGTCACAAACTACGGCTTCAGGATCTGGGAGATCAACACAAACACAATCAGATACCAGGTACTGCACACACACACATAAAGACACACACACGCACACAGGCATGCGCACACACACATTCACAAAGAAACGTTAACATTTTTAAAGTGCTCCTGCAACTTTTCTATGTTCTGTCTATAAGATTTCCACACAAAAAAATATCTCTCTCTCCCCTCCCCCTCTCACTTCCAGAACTCTACAGGTCCATGGACAGAAGGACAGCTGAGTGGGTTCAGACCTCACCGCTCCTATGAGATCAGTGTGTTTAGCTACACCAGAGTGGGTCATGGAGACCAGTACAGCACTCCTGTGTCCTTCACAACCAATGAGTCAGGTACGTATGTGGGTGTATGTGGGTATGTGTGTATGGGTATGTGTGGTTGTGGAACTAGAAATCAAGTGCCATATGCGTGTGGAATTGGCTATTAACCCTTTTGCATAAACCCTGTGTCTCCTGGCTCCAGTGTCTGAGGCGGTGGGTAACCTGTCCTGCTCTGGTCTGGGCTGGGACTCTGTGTTTCTACACTGGGAGCCTCCAGCCAACCCCAATGGACTCATCCTGTACTACCAGGTCCAGGTGGACACACACTCAGACTCACAGTCATACATACACCAGGCTGACACAAACCAGTACACGGTCAGCGGGCTGGCGCCGGACGCAGAATTCACACTCACTGTGACGGCTGTCAACTCTGCCGGCCCAGGAGACCAGATCAACTGTACTGCCTACACACACCCTGAGTCAGGTACACACACACACACACACACACACACACACACACACACACACACACACACACACACACACAAACACACTCACACTCACACTCATACTCATACTCATACTCATACTCATACTCATACTCATACTCATACTCATACTCATACTCACACTCACACTCACACTCACACTCACACTCACACTCACACACACACACACACACACACACACACACATACACACTACACCAGGAGACCAGATGAACTGTATCACCTCAACCCACCCTTATATCCTCCTGCAGTGCCTGGTGTCCCTCGCTTCCTGAGTGTGTCAGAGACCATGTCCACCAGCGTGACGCTCCAATGGGCTGCTCCCCTCTCTGCTCCGGGCATGCTCATTGAGTACCGCATCACTGTGCAGCTGCTTTCACCGGACTGCCTGTCCAACACACCCCTTTCTGAAGCCACACCTCTCCCAGAGCCGACCCCTTCCCTGGCTCCAGGCTGCGTGGATCAGGAGGTACGTTTACCTGGATATCTGAATGTAAATGTTGTTGTGCTGCTGTGTCGTACATCTGTCTACATGTATATCTGCATGCTGTATGACACAGAAGGAATTTCCTAACATTGAACTCAACATCATCTTCATCTTCATGATCTTCCTGGTCAGGTGTTGGTGTCAGTGAATGGTTCTGATGGTGGTGAGGGCAACAGGAGCATCACTCTCCAGTCTCTGGCCAAGTACCGCCTCTACCGCTTCAGAATCATAGCCCTTACTAATGCTGGGCCAGGAGAACACACACCCTGGAGATACACGCACACACTGGCTGGGAGTAAGTACACACACACACCCACGCACGCACACACACACACACACATATAGTCACATCCAAAATTATTGGAACCCTTGATAAAGATAAGCAAAAAATACTGTTTAAAATAAATAATTCAAATACCGAGCTACAGTATATTGTATGCTCCAAAATATTAGAAAATTCAATTATTTTATACTAATACAATGTACTAATACAATGGCGAATGTGCATAAAGATGACAGAATTCAGATATGATGTAATTGTTTTAGCACTATTCATAACATTTTTAAACTACGGTGCGCGACATGGTTCAATGAGCCAATATATCAGCACAATCTACGTTGTCGTTTTTTTTCTAATTGCTGGCATCTTGGAGCTAGAATTGGGATCATGTATATTGTGCTAATGACGATACAAAAAAAGATTCAATGCTGAGACCAAGGTCTCTTTTCCAGATGAGCCCTGTATAGCACAACAATACACATCAAAATACAATAAACACATGAAACTACACATTCATATACACAATAAAACACACGTTATTATACACAACAATACATGAAAAGCAAAACACAATCATAAAAAACAGATACATTGTTCAGTAAAAAGCTCCCCTAACAACCGTCTGAAATGCACTAGAGGCACCAATTCCTCACATTTTAAAGTGTATTGTAGATCATTCCACACGTAAGGCGCAAGGAAATTAAAGTCTGATCTACCTAACTCTCTAGACACCAAAGGAGCCTCTGTCACGATCGTCGGATACAGAGGACCAAGGCGCAGCGTTGAAGGCGAACATACTTTTTATTTAATGATTACACGAACAAAACAACAAACGATAACGTGACGTCCTCGGTCTAACACAAACCACACTGGAACAAGAAACCACACCAAATGAATGCCAAACGGCTACCTAAGTATGGCTCCCAATCAGAGATAACGAGCTACAGCCGTCTCTGATTGGGAGCCACCCTGGCCAACATAGAAATACAAAACTAGACTATCACCCTAGCACACAAAACACAAAGAAACAACACACCCTGGCTCAACATAACAGAGTCCCAGAGCCAGGGCGTTACAGTACCCCCCCCCCCCCCCCCAAAGGCGCGGACTGCGACCGCGCCAAACATAAACCGAACAGGGGAGGGCCGGGTGGGCATTCCTCCTCGGAGGCGGATCCGGCTCCGGGCATGATCCCCACTCCCTCTCTAACCCCCCAAAGTACCCCTGGTCCGGTCTGGCCCTGCTGACCGGAGCTGGACTGCACACTGGTGGAGCGGATTGCTCTAGCTCCGGCGTGAAGCAGCTGACCCGTGCCGAACCAGGCACCGGTGGAACAGGCACGGGCTGTGCCGGACTGACGACGCACACCACTGGCTTGGTGTGGGGAGCAGGAACGGGCCGAGCCGGGCTGACGAAACACACCCCTGACTTGGTGCAGGGAGCAGGAGCGGGCCGGACCGGGCTGACTAAGCGCACCACTGACTTGGTGCGGGGAGCAGGAGCGGGACGAGCTGGGCTGACGAAACGCACCACTGACTTGGTGCGGGGAGCAGGAGCGGGCCGGACCGGGCTGACGAAACGCACCACTGACTTGGTGCGGGGAGCAGGAGCGGGCCGGACCGTACTGGGAACACACCACTGGCCCTACGCGGGGATCAGGAACAGGCCGGACCGGACTGGCAACACACCCCAGTACCTCTCGCCGTGCCTCTACATCCTCTTTCCCCCTGGTGACCAGTGACTCCCGTAACCTGGCGGCCTCCTGCTGCCCCGTCGTCCACGGCGTGAGCCCCCCCCTAAAAATGTTCTGGGCATCTCTCCTACCCGTGGACCAGGTCTCCATGTCTCTCGCCAGACTTTCGCCCTTCTGCTTCCAGGTCCAGCCTCTCTCTTCCTCACACGGCTTGACCCAGTCGAGGAGGCGAAGGAGATCCGCTAGAGATCTCCCTGGCGATGGCTCCTGGACACGCTGCTTGGTCCAGTCTTGGTGGGATCTTCTGTCACGATCGTCGGATACAGAGGACCAAGGCGCAGCGTTGAAGGCGAACATACTTTTTATTTAATGATTACACGAACAAAAGAACAAACGATAACGTGACGTCCTCGGTCTAACACAAACCACACTGGAACAAGAAACCACACCAAATGAATGCCAAACGGCTACCTAAGTATGGCTCCCAATCAGAGATAACGAGCTACAGCCGTCTCTGATTGGGAGCCACCCTGGCCAACATAGAAATACAAAACTAGACTATCACCCTAGCACACTAAACACAAAGAAACAACACACCCTGGCTCAACATAACAGAGTCCCAGAGCCAGGGCGTGACAGTCTCCAGAATTAACCAACCCTGTGAACAGGTTTGATAACTTGTTATTTTAAATCTTAACAGTAAGTCGGAAGTTTGTGGAGCAGGGCTTTGTAAACAAAAAGAGTGTAATGATGTGATCTACATGACTTCAAGGAGGTTCAGCCAACCTTTTGGTAAAGAATACAGTGATGAGTAATAAAACTGTCTCCTGTGATAAAATGAAGGGCGCTATGAAAAACGGCATCCAGGGGTTTAAGAGTAGAGGCTGCTGCTCTTTGATAAATAGTATATCCATAGTCAAGAACAGATAGAAAGGTTGACTGCACAATCTGCTTCCTGCTGACTAGAGAGACAAGATCTGCTTCTATTTTTAAAAAAGCCCACTTTAATGTTATGGGACTGCTTTGCTTCCACTGGTTCTGGGGCCCTTGTTAAGGTCAACGGCATCATGATCTCCAGGTCATTTTAGCCAAAAACCTGGTTGCCTCTGCCAGGAGGTGGAAACTGGCCATCTCAGTCTCTGGAGTTGAACCCCATTGAAAACCAGTTGTTTGAATTGTAGAGGGCAGTCCATATGCGTAGACCGGAGGATAACAAGGATCAGGAAAGATTCTGTATGGAGGAATGGTCTAAGATCCCTCCCAATGTGTTCTTCAATCTCATAAAACATGATAGAAAAAGGCTAAGTGCCATTACCCTTGCAAGGGATGGTCCAATAATCTTGACACCTATCTTTTTGAGATTTTTTAAAATAACTTTTTAAGCAAAATCTTTTTCTCTGAGCAATTGTATTAGTATAAAATAATATAATTTTTTTAAATGTAGCATACAATATAGCTCAGTATTTGTATTATTTATTTTATAGTATTTTTTGATAATCTTTATCAAGGGTGCCAATAATTCTGGATGTGACTGGACATACAACAGAAGTACCCATACACCCAAGCAGTATGGGTATATTTATACCTGTCTCTCCCCTCAGACCCTGATGCCCCTCCCAGCGACCTCTCGTTGACCATGTCCTCCAACAGCCTCCGTATCGAATGGCAACTCCCAGATGTGATCACCGGCCCCACTTCCTACCTCATAGACGTAATCTCTGTGAGTATACACGCACACACACACACATAATAAAATAATAATGATAATAAAGGAGTTTCTTACTTCTATATGTTGTGTTGGTGTTCAGCTGGATAGCGAGGGGTTAAACCAGTCTGTAGTACGCGGTCCAGAGGAGCTGAGGACCGTAGTTGTGTCGAACCTGACTGCGTTCACTCGCTACTCTGTGACCGTGACTGCCTTCACTGGACGACTGGAGAACGCACGGCGGGACGGACAAGCCACTGAGCCCACTGTCATCAGAACAATGGAGGAGGGTGAGGAACACACACAAACAGCAATACAGTAGCTGCTTTATTAAACTGCTAGAAAATAGTTAAGCACTTTCTCTCTCCTCTTCCTCCTCATCCTCCCTCCAGAGCCCAGGGATCCTCCTAAGAATGTGACCCTGCAGGTGATTCCAGAGGAAGTGACCCGTGTGTTTGTGACCTTTGCCCCCCCGGAGGAGCCTAATGGGAACATCAGTTCCTACACGGTGCTGGTCTACCGCCAGGGTCAGCTAGAGATGACCATCGACCGCCTCACCGTGGTCCAAAACAAGAACCGCACCCTGACCGCAGTCATCGACGGGCTAAAAGGAGGCTACAACTATAGTATACGGGTGAGGATCACACACACACACACACACAGGCACAACTACACAAACACATGGGTCACAACTATAATATATGGGTGAGGAACACACACACTGTCACAGAACACTTGTGCTTTCTGAAACACTCCGACCAACTCTCTCTCTCTCTCTCTCTCTCTCTCTCTCTCTCTCTCTCTCTCTCTCTCTCTCTCTCTCTCTCTCTCTCTCTCTCTCTCTCTCTCTCTCTCTCTCTCTCTCTCACACACACAGATTGCAGCAGTAAACGGAGCAGGTTTAAGCCCCCCCAGCTCAGAGGTTCAGATCACTACAGGGATCAAAGGTACAGTGCTACATAAACACTACATAAACCATTCATAACCCCTACATAACCCCTGCATAACCCCAATAGCCTTAGAAACTTAGTCGTAGGGGGTGTCATATTGCGTGTATGCACTACGAACACTTCATGATACAGAAATGTCTTTATGTGTGTCTGTGTGTAGCTCCTGCCAAGCCCACACAGAGACCCCAGGCGGTGCTGGACCGAGGAGGAGTTGCAATGGTAACCTCCAGGAGCATCATTGTTCGCATGCCAACCTGTTTCTACAGCAATGACAACGGACCAATCAGAGGCATCCAGGTCATCATGTCCGAATCTGGGGGTACGACATCACACACACTAACATGCACAGACACACACACATAAACACACATCTATCACACAGAAAATATATCCTAAACTAAAATATGTAGGAGCCACTGCTATAGGTCTAGTCTGACATCTGTCTGTCTCTCTGTCTCAGTGATGGACAGCATGAATGTGACCAACTGGAAGACAGCATTTCTCTCTCATCCCGCCCCCTACCTGACTGACAATGGCTTCCCCAACCCACTCTGTGTGAAGGACCGTATGAGCAGGGACACACACACACAAACCAGCAGACTCACTGACTCACACATTAGACACAGCATTGTGAGGGACAGGGTTCTGGAACATAGAGACTCAGTGGGGGAGCGCATAGACCACCAGGATGATCACTATGTCATCGGAGAGGAGGACAACTGTCTGACTAAAGAGTACAGTAACACACTCTGTAACGGACCCCTCAAACCAAACACTGTCTACGTGTGAGTATACACAACACAAACATGTAAACACACACATGTACACATAGATATAAACACATACACACACATACGTACAAAGTTCAATAAAGTGCATGTCTTTGTCTGTGTGGCAGGTTTAAGTTCCGAGCCACCAACATCCGGGGCCAGTACACAGACTCTGACTACTCTGAGCATATCAGAACCGCAGGTAAGCACTCCTCTTCTCTCCACAAACTCACACACACCTTTCCTCTACAATGCAAACTGATTAAACAACACCACTGTCACTCCTTCATTAGAATGTTTTACATTTTAGTCATTTATCAGACTCTCTTATCCAGAGCAACTTACAGTTAGTGCATTTATCTTAAGATTGCTAGGTGGGACAACCACATATCTCAGTCATAGTAAATACCATTTTCCTCAATAAAGTAGCTATCAGCAAAGTCAGAGCTAGTAAGTTTCAAGTTAATGTAACGTGCAGAAGTACAGTGAAATGCCTTTCTTGCAAGCTCCAAACCCAACAATGCATTAATCAATATCAATGTAGTGCTAAAAATAACAAGGTGCTGTTAAACAAAAACACACAAGAAATAGAAATAAGAAGAACACGAGAAAATAAGAATCTATATACAGGGTCAGTTCCAGGGTCAGTTCCAATACCATATTATTTACAATGTGCAGGGATACTGGAGTGATAGAGGTAGATATGTATAGTCAGTGCTTGACTTTGACTGAAATAGGTTCCGGTAGTCATTTTGGGTTCCGGTACTCTTTATATTTAGGTGCAGGAGCTCCACAATACTTTTGAACTAATATTCTATAAGAGGAACAGGAGCTCAAGCAGCGTAAATTATGATTGTATGTGAGTGTGTGTACGTGTGTGTAGAGTCAGTATAAATGTGTGTGCATGATATGTGTGTGTTGGAGTGTCAGTGTGCGTGAGTGTGTAGGGTCCTGTGAGTGTGCATAGAGACAGTGCAAAAATAAAATACAAGGGTCCACTCACATAGTCCGTGTAGACATTCTGTTAGCTATTTAGGAGTCTTATGGCTTGGGGATGGAAGCTGTTAAGCACCTTCTTCACGACTGTGCGCGTGTGAGTGGTCCATAGTGATTTGGACACTGAAGAACTTGAAGCTCTGGACCCGCTCCATTGCAGCCCGCCGATGTAAGTGCGAGTGTTAGTTCACAAAAGGCTCTTTTTTTCTCTCTTCCCTTCACCCCCTCCTGTCTGTCAGTGGATGGTTTGTTGACCAGAGATGAACAGATCCTTCTGGGAGTTCTCCTCTCCTTCTTCCTGACCCTGCTGCTCATCCTCATCATCTACGCCTCTGTCAGGTAAACTGGTGTTGGATTCTAGCTTGAAATACACTTATTCATGTTAATAATTGATTACTTTATATGGGGTCAATGGAGGGTGGATAAGACCTAGGTGTATGGAAAGTTACTGAGTGAGGAAGGGGGAGTGCAGAAAGTTTACATTCTGTTAAAACATGGTATTGTTAAATCTCATGGCTCCTAAGGAGGGGGGCAAAGGACAACAGTCTGGTTTCAATCACTGAAAAGGTAGGACAGCCGTGGAGTAGGGAGGAGTGAGGAATTCAGCCCGAGGTCAGGTCAGATGAAGTGAGGAGGAACAGTCAGTCCTCTCACTCATATATTTCCACGCCCATGAAGGTTCTAGCAGGAGGCTACACCAATGAGAGGAACCAATTAAGTTCCTGACTAGCAACAGAGATGTATTGGCTGTCTAGATGTGCAAGGAGTTGACTCCGCCTAGTAGGAGGGTATAAATATATGTGCTTGTGTAAACATGTTTTTGTCTTTGCAGCTGTATGACCCAGTGGGGAATAAACTTGGTTTGAGCTTTTCCTAGTCATCCGTTTGAGTTTTTACTCTGTTTGTCAGAACCTAACACTGGTTATAGCTGATGGTTCTAGCTGACCCAGGTGACCCAGCCAGCCATAGTCAGTTGTGTCAGAGTGATTGACATGTCCCTCATCCAATGACAGGATCCGTCAGCGTCAGAAGGAGGGCGGGACCTACTCTCCCCGGGAGGCGGAGATTATAGAGACAAAGTTTAAACTGGATCAGCTGATTGCTGTGGCCGACCTGGAGCTGAAGGAAGAGAAACTACACCGGTCAGTGTGTGTTTGCCTGTGTGTGTGTGTGTCTTTTTCTCACACATACACACTCCCTCTCTCTCATTCGCACACACCTTCACAAAGGTTTACCCACTGTAACATTATGCTCACTCTGCCTCTACGACTCTACCTGCATGCCCACAGAATGTGCTTGGCTGCTGCTAACACCCACATACACACACACACACACACACACACACACATAAACACACACACAACCACACACAAGGCTGTCTGCACTCTCCACTCTCTCACTCTAACCCAGGGTTCTCCAAACTCGGTCCTCAGGACCCCAAGGGGTGCATGTTTTGGTTTTTGCCCTAGCACTACACAGCTAATTCAAATAATCAACTAATCATCAAGCTTTGATCATTTTAATCAGCTGTATATTGTAGGGCAAAAATCAAAACGTGCACCCTTTGGGGTCCCGAGGACCGAGTTTGGGAAACTCTGCTCTAACCCCTCTCTCAAACTCTCTCTCTCCAGGTATTCCTCCTTCTTCTTTAGACGGAAGGAGATATTTGTCATCCAGTAAGTTGTAGTGGGCAGTGGGTGTACCCCTTCAAGTGTGGAGCACTCAGTGTGTGTAGCCCTTGTTATATAGCACTCCATGTGTGTGTGTTGCTGTGTTGCATTGGTACAGTTGGCAGTGTGTATTGTTGTCTCATGTCTTTAGTCTACTGAAGTGCTGTTATTCATTGAGTGTGTCAGTCTGTCTGTAACTGTACAGTAATGGAAAGTAAAGTCTGCTGTACTCACAGTGTACTGGTGTGCCTCATATTGTTCTGTCAACTCTGTTTCAGACTTCTCAGCTACAGAAAGTCTCTCAAGTAAGTCACGTAATGAGTGTGTGTGTTGTTCTATGTGTACAGTATGTGAGTGTGTTGAGCAGTAATAGTTTCTGCCCTGTGAAGGATTTATCTTCCCCCATCTCGTTTGTTTATTCTGTTTTTTCATATTTGTTTTATGTATTCATGTGTGAGCTGTGCCAAGATGTTCCTCTTGTAGGACAATAAACGTGATTCTGATTATCTCTGTCTCTCAGGCCGGTCAATAAGAAGTCTTTCCTGCAGCATGTAGAGGATCTATGTGCCAACGAGAACACCAAGTTCCAGGAAGAGTTTGCAGTATGTAACTCTGACCTCTGACCCCTGTGAAAACCTGCATGTTTGTATGTGTGTGCATGCATGCGCATTTGTGTTGTGTGTGTGTGTAGAGTGACAGCATTAACCCTGTCCTCTCCAGGAGATGCCCAAACTGCTGCAGGATCTGGCTACATCAGACGCTGACCTTCCCTGGAACAGATCCAAGAACCGCTTCACTAACATCAAACCCTGTATGTACACACACGCACGCACACACAGTGAGCGTAACAAACACACACAGCCTAACACATTCTCTCCTCTACAGACAACAACAACCGTGTGAAGCTGCTGTCTGAACCTGGCATGCCTGGATCTGACTACATTAACGCTAGCTTCATCTCAGTGAGTCACACACACACATACACACACACAGAAAAGGGAACGGGGCGGCAGATAGCTTAGTGGGTAAGAGCGTTGTGCCAGTAAACGAAAGGTTGCTGGTTCTAATCCCCGAGCCGACTAGGTGAAAAATCAGTGGATGTGCCCTTAAGCAAGGCACTTAACCCTAATTGCTCCTGTAAGTTGCTCTGGATAAGAGCATCTGCTAAATTAAAAAAAGAACACTCATGCTTTCAGAGATCACATTTCTAAACACTCCAACTTTTGTGTTTACTACAAAACTGGAGACCTGTGACTTTACTCTGTTCTGACTATAAGATTCTCCCTCTCCCCCCTTAGGGTTACCTGTGTCCTAGTGAGTTCATAGCGACCCAGGGTCCTCTCCCCGGCACTGTGGCTGACTTCTGGAGGATGATCTGGGAGACTCGCACACGAACCATCGCTATGCTCACACAGTGCTACGAGAAAGGAAGGGTAAGGACCGGACCAAGGTTTTAGTAGTGTCAGGGTTGTATGTCTGTTTAGATCTGCTGTCACCAATTTTGTGTGTGTTCGTGGGTGTGTGTGTGTGTGTGTGTGTGTTTAGATCCGGTGTCACCAGTACTGGCCAGAGGACAATAAGCCGGTGACAGTTTTTGGGGACATCATCATCACCAAGCTGACAGAGGACATCTATCCTGACTGGACCGTCAGAGCTCTCAAAGTGGAGAGGGTAACACACACACACATACAGGGCATTCAGAAAGTATTCAGACCCCTTGACTTTTTCCACATTTTGGTATGTTACAGCCTTATTCTAAAATGGATGAAATAGTTTTTTTCCCCTCATCAATCTACACACAATACCCCATAATGACAAAGCAAAAACAGGTTTTACAAAAATATATAAATTAGCACAAATGTCAAAAAACCTGTTTTGGCTTTGTCATTATGGGGTATTGTGTGTAGATTGATGAGGATTTAGATTTATTTAATTCATTTTAGAATAAGGCTGTAACATAACAAAATGTGGGAAAAGGGAAGGGGTCTGAATACTATAGAGTACATTCAGTACACACTGTAGAGTGTACAAAACATTAGGAACACCTTCCTAATATTGCGTTGCAGTTCACAGCCCCGTGTAGCTCAGTTGGTAGAGAATGGCATTTGCAACGCCAGGGTTGTGGGTTCGACTCCCACGGGGGGGCAGTATGAAAATGTATGCACTCACTAACTGTAAGTCGCTCTGGATAAGAGTGTCTACTAAATGACTAAAATGTAAAATGTTGACACACTCAAACCGGTGCACCTTGCACCTATTACCATACTCCGTTCAAGGGCACTTAAATATTTTGTCTTGCCCATTCACCCTCTCAATAGCACACATACACAATCCATGTCTCAATTGTCTCAAGGCTTACAAATCCTACTTTCAATTGTCTCCTCCCCTTTAACTATACTGATTGAAGTGGATTTAACAGGTGACATCAATAAGGGATCATAGCTTTCACCTGGATTTACCTGGTCAGTCTATGTCATGGAAAGAGCATGTTTTGTACAATCCGTGTTTTTCCAGAGTAAACAAGTTCAGTTTCCCTCTTGATAATCAAAACATTGTTCTCTCTCCCATCTCTCGCTTTCTCTCGCTCCCTCTCTTTCTCTCTCTCTCCTCTCACCTTCTCTCACTCCCCCTCTCTCACTTCCTGTCTCTCCCTATCTCCCCCTTTTTTTCTCTCTCTCTCTCTCTCTCTCTCTCTCTCTCTCTCTCTCTCTCTCTCTCTCTCTCTCTTTTTCTCTCTCTCTGTTTTACTCCCTCTCTATCCCTAGCATGGGGACTACATGGTGGTTCACCACTTCAACTTCACCTCCTGGCCAGAGCATGGCGTTCCAGAGTCCAGCACCACACTCATACAGTTTGTTAGAGCCATCAGAGCCAACAGGCATGAGAACACCACTATAGTGGTACACTGCAGTGCTGGCGTAGGCAGGACAGGAGTGTTTATAGCGTTGGACCACCTGATCCAACACGTGAGTGATCATGACTTTGTGGACATCTACGGTCTGGTGGCTGAACTACGCAGTGAGAGGATGTGTATGGTGCAGAACCTGGTGAGAAATATGTATTTATACAACATGTATAAGTGTTCTTACTGTGATATGGATATGATACTTTATAGTATGATCTAGTTTCACCATGTTTTCTTGGTGCATTCAAACCTGCCAGACAGAATCTTAGAGAGTGTGTTCATGCATGTCCCCAGACCCAGTATATGTTCCTACACCAGAGTACTCTGGATCTGCTGAACAGTAAAGGAAACAGCCAGTCCATCTGGTTCGTCAACTACTCTGCTCTGGAGAAAATGGACTCACTGGAAGCTATGGAGGGTGAGCACACGCACGCGCACACACACACATATACAAGAACACACACTAGCATACACACACGTCATAAACGCACATTTCACATATCTACTGTTTTGTGCTCTTGCAGGTGATGTTGAGCTGGAATGGGAGGAGACTACGATGTAAAGGCTGAGAATTTATCAGTCAACTTCACACCTGATAAACACACATCTATCCCTGGGTCATGGGGGGCCAAATCCTGGACACACTGACTGTTTGTCAGATGGATTGCTTCACCAGAGATAGAGGGAGAGAAAGAGAAGGAGAGATGATAGAAACAGTGAAAGAGAGAGAATTGTGTAGTCCAAACAGAGTAATGTTTCCTCCAGCTTCTTTGGGAACACAAGTTGCCCTTTTCTGGCAGGAGGGTCAAAACAACACAACAGAAACTTAGTTGTTTACCTGGCCTGAATCCTCACACCATTACAGTCCTCTTGGAGCCCTGCGTCTTTTGTGTAAGTCCACAGGTAGAAAAGAGAGGGATATATATCACACATGTAAGTTTACAGGTTGCACTAGTCATTCCACTGTGTATTTTATTGGATTCTTGTATCATGTTCTTGTATATTAAGTTCTTCAGCCAAATAGTGTTGTGTCACTGTGTTCAGAAGTTTGCTTCGCTGTGTTACTATGTTTATATCACGTGTTGCTATGTTTGTCATTGTAATTGGGGGGTTTGAGGTATAATGTATTTGTGGGGTAATCTAGTGTATTTGATGTATTTTCTCTGAGTGTTCCACATCTGTGTTTTGGACCAGAAGTAAAATCAACTCCAGTACTCACCTACTCTGTCTGTCTGTCTGTCTGTCTGTCTGTCTGTCTGTCTGTCTGTCTGTCTGTCTGTCTGTCTGTCTGTCTGTCTGTCTGTCTGTCTGTCTGTCTGTCTGTCTGTCTGTCTGTCTGTCTGTCTGTCGTGTCTGTCTCTGTCTGTCTGTCTGTCTGTCTGTCGGGTCTGTCTGTCTGTCTGTCTGTCTGTCTGTCTCTGTCTGTCTGTCTGTCTGTCTGTCTGTCTGTCTCTGTCTGTCTGTCTGTCTGTCTGTCTGTCTGTCTGTCTGTCTGTCTGTCTGTCTGTCTGTCTGTCTGTCTGTCTGTCTGTCTGTCTGTCTGTCTGTGAGCTGTTTAGTAGATAAAAATGACACCCCTAAAAGATTAAAGCATGAAACACACTGAGAATCTCACTGCTGATAGACTGCTAGGTGGGAGGCCGTTCCTTCTCTTGCTAGAACAAAAGCGGTACCTGCTGCGTGCCGACCCGGTAGCGACGAACCTATCGATTCTACTTGTAGAATCGCAGTGCTCGTCAGTAGCCAACAACTTGACTTTGAGCCAATCAGAAAGCACAAACCCCCACGTGGGGGAGCCAACAAAAAAAATTAACAAATCAGGCTAGTATCAACAAGGGCTTTCTACAAAATAGGATCTAGACCATAAGCAATACGCACGGATATGCATTGCCAAACAACGCTACTGCCACCTTCTGGTTTGGAGTATTTTAACAAGGCTGAGTGGCTGACGACTTCGAAAGTCTTTGCTGTGTGAACACAAAAGAGATTGACTGGTGACACTGTTCAGAGGTGCTAAGTACTGTCGGCAGGCAAACTTTTCACACACACACACACAGACAGGACCCAGGACTCAAGGCAGAGTACAAACTACTTTATTATGTAATTCTCTTCAAACAGAAATCTTTAGTAAACACTGTAATTGTTATAAACATATCTTAGTAAATACTTAATAAATGTGACGGTGCACAGCTGCTCTTTTCAACAGTGTAAGACATCTCCAAGATGGGTGCAGGACAGGCGAGCCAGACTCAGGGCTAGGGTTAGGGTGATGATATGTTAGGGCTTTAGAACATGCTAAATTGTCAACTATGACTCCTGTTTGTTTTCCACTAAACCATCTAGCTAATTCTAACGCTAGCGTGATCACAGCTATAGCATAGCCCTTTACACAGAGCCCTAATTATGATTATGTAGTGATGCCATCATGTAGATGTGTCATCATCTCTGTGTGTGTTTCCATGGTAACTGTCTCCCGTGGTAACAGTGGGGTTCTGTTGCCCCCATAATCTGAAAAACAAATAGATTTCCTCCTCTCCGTACAAATACATAAATACACACATCGGCAGTCCGTCCATTCCTTTTACATTAAATCTATATATACAGTACCAGTCAAAAGTTTGGACACACCTACTCATTCAAGGGTTTTTCTTTATTTTTACTATTTTCTACATTGTAGATTAATAGTGAAGACATCAAAACTATTAAATAACACATATGGAATCATGTAGTAACCAAAAAAGCGTTAAACAAATAGCCACCCTTTGCCTTGATGACAGCTTTGCACACTCTTGGCATTATCTCAACCAACTTCTTGAAGGAGTTCCCACATATATTGAGCACTTCCTTCACTCTGCCGTCTGACTTATCCCAAACCATCTCAATTGGGTTGAGGTCGGGGGATTGTGGAGGCCAGGTCATCTGATGCAGCACTCCATCACTCTCCTTCTTGGTAAAATAGACCTTACACAGCCTGGAGGTGTGTTGGGTCATTGTCCTGTTGAAAAACAAATGATAGTCCCACTAAGCCCAAACCAGATGGGATGGCGTATCGCCGGCGAATGCTGTGGTAGCCATGCTGGTTAAGTGTGCCTTGAATTCTAAATAAATCACAGACAGTGTCACCAGCAAAGCAACCCCACACCATAACACCTCCTCCTCCATGCTTTATGGTGGGAACTACACATGCGGAGATCATCAGTTCACCCACACCGCGTCTCACAAAGACACATTTCCACCGGTCTAATGTCTATTGCTCATGTTTCTTGGCCCAAGCAGGTCTCTTCTTCTTATTAGTGTCCTTTAGTAGTGGTTTCTTTGCAGCAATTCGACCATGAAGGCCTGATTCACACAGTCCCCTCTGAACAGTTGATGTTGAGATGTGTCTGTGACTTGAACTCTATGAAGCATTTATTTGGGCTGCAATTTCTGAGGCTGGTAACTCTAATGAACGTATCCTCTGCAGCAGAGGTAACTCTGGGTCTTCCATTCCTGTGGCGGTCCTCATGAGAGCCAGTTTCATCATAGCGCTTGATGTTTTTTGCGACTGCACTTGAAGAAACGTTCAAAGTTCTTGACATTTTCCATATTGACTGTCCTTCATGTCTTAAAGTTATGATGGACTGTCGTTTCACTTTGCTTATTTGAGCTATTCTTGCCATAATATGGACTTGGTATTTTACCAAATAGGGCTATCTTCTGTGTACCCCCCCTACCTTGTCACAACACAACTGATTGGCTCAAACACATTAAGAAGGAAATAAATTCTACAAATTAACTTTTAAGAAGGCACACCTGTTAATTGAAATGCATTCCAGGTGACTACCTCATGAAGCTGGTTGAGAGAATGCCAAGAGTGTGCAAAGCTGTCATCAAGGCAAAGGGTGGCTATTTGAAAAATCTCAAATATAAAATATATTTTGATTTGTTTAACACTTTTTTAGTTACTACATGATTCCATATGTGTTATTTCATAGTTTTGATGTCTTCACTATTATTCTACAATGTAAAAAATAGTACAAAATAAAGTTTTGACTGGTAGTGTATATATACCACCTATATACACATATACAGTATTCCGATATACTCTAATAATATTGTGCAACACGAAGAAGATCAGCCTCAGTGGGTCACCACGTGTCACAGCCCTCAGAGAGAGGGGAAGGGAAGGGAAGGAAAAGATGTAACAACAATCAATAATAATAATAGTCAAACATATTCAATATTCTAATAAATAAACTTAATTCATAAGTCATTCTGTGGTTTAATGCTATGTGTGTGTGTGTGTGTGTGTGTGTGTGTGTATGTGTGTGTTCATATACATTCCTATGTGACATGCAGTCCAGTGGAGAACAGGTTAATCATGTGAGAATGCGTAATAGTTAACCCTTTAGGGATTCAGAACGTGAGATTGAATATTCAACAGGACAAATTAGATAGAATGTTAGAACATTATCAATTGAAAGTTGATGTTTTTACTGATCAAATGATATGTTAGAATGTTGAACAGTTTGTTGTCATTACTGGTATTTTCCTGAGTGTGAGGCTTGGACCCATGTTTAAAACCTCAGAGAATATAACAATGGTATTCGCACACACATGCAAACAAGCACACACAGACACACTCTTTCACCCGCACACACACTGACAGACCCTCATACTCTCACACACATGCACACGCAGATATGATAATCAGGGCAGAAGTCAGACATTACGAATAGCGATACAGATTGTAATCATCTGTAAGCCAGGACTCAGGAGACACAGTCTTCACTCCCTGCTACTCTGGAACTCACTTCTTCAGGATCAGAAGTATTATTAGCATCTCATTAGCATATTTTACCACACATCACCAAAACATAGTGTGCCAAAGAGGAGGGCTAAACCCTAGATGATCTTGATGATATCATTGAGGTGACCTGTCTCCATGTCCAGACAGCTCCACACATGGAGGAGATCTGTTTGTTCCATCAGCTGTGTGATATCAGGGCAGGGTTAGAGTCAGGGATCAGGGGGTGAGAGGGTGCATCCTAAATAGTTATTTCTAAAGCCAGGTACAGATATAGATATGTACAGATGACACTGTGTCACAAGAGCTGTATGATTAGAAAATCTATGTTTAGAAATGTTGTCAAAACTACATCCTATTCAAAAATACACATTAAATCATTAGATTACTTTGATTTTATATTGATTTGAATCCTCTCCATTATCTCCCACTCTCTTTATCGGCTTATTCCCTCTCTCTCAGCCGACTTCCTTACCTCCCTCTTTCTCTTCCTCATCTCACCCTTTCTCTATCTTTGTCTTTGAGTGTTTGTGTTGTGTGTTTCTCCAATACAGTACATGACTATTTAACAAAAGGTCAGAGGGCACATGATAAGGTGTGGTAGGGTCAGGGGTGAGGGGTCATATGTCAGACGAGGCTGCGGGAGCCACTAGAGTTGCGTCTGCGGAGGGGTTGAGGCAGGGTGTGTGAGAGGGGGCAGGGGGAGTCGGGGGGACAGTATTGGTGGGGGTGGTTGTAGGGGGGAGGAGGGGGAGGCAGAGGTGGCTCAGATCCCTCTCTGACCCGTACTGGCGTGGACATCGCTGATTGGATGAGGCGGTGGTGGGAGGCGGGGCTTCCTTGGTTGAGGAAAGCTTCCATTCGCCCCAGGCCGCTCTGGTCCATGACAATCACCTTGACGATCTGCTGGCATTGAATGAGGGTGTCTGGGCGGAGCTCTCCGGGGTGGGTGGCACTTAGCATGGCCGGGGGGGCTGCCAGAGCCAGTTGGGTGGAGTCAGGACTGGTCACATGGTAGGTCTGGAGCAGCCTATCAGGGCTGGGCTGGGTCATGTGGTAGGTCTGCAGCAGCCTATTGTGAATTGACACCTAGTTTAGAAACAGCCAGAGAATGGCATGAGGAGTTACCATCCTGAACGCAGCCTACAGCAGCCCTCTGGTGGGTTAGACACACTGGCAGCATGCAGGCATGCAGGCAGCGAGCGCATGCTAACACGCACGCCAAACATACACACACACACCAGCCCAGAGACACACCTGTGTTTGGGTGGAAGGACGTTTCAGGGTCAAAATTTGGGCTCCAGTGGGTGGGTGTGTTTGCGTGTGGAGGAGGGGGAGTGTGTGTGGAGAGGGTAGAGTGTGTGGGGGGAGATGACACCTAGGGCGGGGTGTCTCCCCAACACAGATATATGCAACTCTAAAGGACTAAGAGTTAGGGGTTGGTGGGGGGGGCTGATAGGTCTGTCGAGAGGGCATTTAGAGCAGAGGAACTGGGCTTGAGTCATACACGTGCATGCATTCACAGATACACACGTACATCAACCCTGAGTCTGGCCATGGAGATGGTTTTCTAGCAAGCCAGCAGGGCTTAGAAAAGCTTATGATGGCTGGGAAGCAGATGTTGTGTTAGCAGGAGGCGAATACCCCTACTAGCACGAGGCTAATAGCTCATAGCTAACCCTGCATTGGCAGGTGGCTAATAGCTAATTACTGGTCCCCGTTAGCAGAAGGCCGATGGCTAAAGCTAGCCCTCCAGTTGCAGCTGTGTTGCTCTGAGGCACAAAGAGCTGGAGGGAGCTGAGGAGGGTCTCCCTACTCCTCGCCTGTGTGCATCTTTGCTAACAAACACAGACACACTTACCTGAGGCATAGTGTGTATGTGACTCACCTCCACAGTATTGTTGCCAGTCTTGCAATACAGATCTTGCTGGGCTGAGGGGAGAAACACACAAGTGACACTCAGAGACACAGCATGATGTGTGGGTGCTAGTCGCTAACTTAGTGTTTGTTACCGGTGGGCGATCCTGTGTGTCGACTGAGTGTGTCCATCTGTCCTCCATTGGTGTGGGGGGTGTGAGTCTGCACACCCTGTTCTCTTTCCAGCTCCCCTACAGAGAACGAGATATGACCATATCATTACATAAAGAGCATAAAGAGCATGCGTGTGTGCATGTGTGTGTGCGTGTGCATGTGTGTGTGCGTGCGTGCGTGCGTATGTGTTTGTGCTCACATTGGATGTGTATCTGTTCCATCTCGTTGACCTCAGTGATGGACTCACGTAGCTCCTCTGTGAAATTCCTGAGCTCCTCACCGCTGGGGGAGCAGAAACTCACCAGCTGCTTCTTCTCTGAAGAGAACGGACTCAACATGGTGATGCCATGAGCATAGTCTGGACACACACACACACACACACACACACACACACACACACACACACACACACACAGTTAGCTATGTAACTAGAATGGTGATGCCATGGGCATAGTAGGACTATGGACAGACAATGTCATTGCTCATAGTTAGCTATGTATGGAGCAGTACAGTGTAATAGTATAGTAGTAGTAGTAGTAGTAGTAGTAGTAGTAGTAGTAGTAGTAGTAGTAGTAGTAGTAGTAGTAGTAGTAGTAGTAGTAGTAGTAGTAGTAGTAGTAGTAGTAATAGAGTCGTAGTAGTAGTAGTAGTAGTAGTAGTAGTAGTAGTAGTAGTAGTAGTAGTAGTCCTCTGTAGCTCAATTGGTAGAGCATGGCGCTTGTAATGCCAGGGTAGTGGGTTCGATCCCCTGGACCACCCATACGTAAAAATGTATGCACACATGACTGTAAGTCACTTTGGATAAAAGCGTCTGCTAAATGGCATATTATTATTATTATAGTAATAGAGTAGTAGTAGTAGTAGTAGTAGTAATAGAGTCGTAGTAGTAGTAGTAGTAGTAGTAGTAGTAGTAGTAGTAGTAGTAGTAGTAGTAGTAGTAGTAGTAGTAGTAGTAGTAGTAGTAGTAGTAGTAGTAGTAGTAGTAGTAGTAGTAGTAGTAGTAGTAGTAGTAGTAGTAGTAGTAGTAGTAGTCCTCTGTAGCTCAATTGGTAGAGCATGGCGCTTGTAACGCCAGGGTAGTGGGTTCGATCCCCGGGACCACCCATACGTAAAAATGTATGCACACATGACTGTAAGTCGCTTTGGATAAAAGCGTCTGCTAAATGGCATATTATTATTATAGTAATAGAGTCGTAGTCGTAGTCGTAGTAGTAGTCGTAGTAGTAGTAGTAGTAGTAGAAAAGTAGTAATAGAGTTGTAGTAGTAATAGTAATAGTAGGAGTAGGAGTAGGAGTAGTAGTAGTAGAGTAGTTACATTCATTGCTGAAGAGGTGAAACTGCATGCCCAGTAGACCCATGGCTTTACAGAAGGTGTAGGAGGCAGAAGTCTTCTTCTTTGGACACAGCTTCAGGATCTGTGTGAGGAGATAACAGAATGGACATAAGCCATACAGTGAGTACAAACACACACACACACTGTGAGTACACAAATAAACACTACTCATGCCTTAACGTGTGGGTGTATGTGGGCATGAGTCCATGCGTGCGCGTGTGTGTGTTCTCACCAGTAAGAGGTCATTGAAGAGGAACACCTCTCTCTGGGTGTTGGCCAGTTTCTGTTTCAGAGGTTTGTTGAAGTCTGCCACCTCGAACAAACGACAGCAACAGACCAGTCTACGGTGGGGCACAGACAGGATCTACAGAAGAACACACACATACACACACACACACACACACCATGGGGTTAACACACACACACACAGACTCCCCTCTCTCATTCTACCTTTCTCTTAGTCACACAACACACTCACAGTCTTCATCCCCAGTATGGACTGTTCCACACGGCTGACGTAGGTGACGTGGTCTTCATTGGAGCGTAGCTCTCTCTGCTGGGTCCTCTCATAGATCCCTGCCACCATCTCGCTGGGGATGTCTGCTCCGTCGTCCACTCCTGAGGGAACAGGGACACACACTACCAGTCACACAGGAGGAACTAGAGAGGGAATTCAGAAAATGAATTGCAAACTGAATTGACTCCATCCCTGGTTCAGACTTGTTGCAGGACAGGGCAGGAGTGGCTGATGTCAGGATCATCAGGGACCTCAGCCATTCGAGCCACGGCCTGTTCTCCCTGCTTCCATCACTCAGACGCGGGCAGTACAGGAGCATCATGGCTAAAAACTAACAGACTGGCCAATAGCATCTACCCCCAGACCATCAGACTCACCATCCCTGATCCCCCACAATTCAACCTGTCTCCTTCAACCAGCTGTCACTCATTCCATATGAAATAGGTCCTGTGTTGTATTAAAATATACACTGAGTATACAAAACATGACATTGACTGACCAGGTGAATCCAGGTGAAAGCTATGATCCCTTATTGATGTCACTTTTTAAATCCACATCAATCAGTGTAGATGAAGGGGAGGAGACAGGATTTTTAAGCCTTGAGACATGGATTGTGTATGTGTGCCATTCAGAGGGTGAATGGGCAAGACAAAATATTTAAGTGCCTTTGAACAGGGTATGGTAGTAAGTGCCAGGCGCACCGGTTTGTGTCAAGAACTGCAACACTGCTGGGTTTTTCACGATCCACAGTTTCCCATGTGTATCAAGAATGGTCCACCACCCAAAGGACATCCAGCCAACTTGACACAACTGTGGGAAGCATTGGAGTCAATATGGGCCAGCATCCCTGTGGAACGTTTTCGACACCTTGTAGAGTCCATCCCCAAACGAATAGAGGCTGTTCTGAGGGCAAAAGGGGGTGCAACTCAATATTAGGAAGGTGTTCCTAATGTTTGGTTCACTCAGTGTACCAAGCATTGTCTGTGCGCCTCTGCGTGTTTGTGTGCCTGTTCTATAAATAACTGCTCCAGTGTCTCTAGTCCAGGGGCGGTGTGTTTCAATAGGGCGATATGGGCGACGCACTGCCAAACGGGAAAAGGAAGGGATTTTTTTTCTAATCAATTATATCACGGCAACAGTAGTTATCAGTGTTGTAATCTAGACGTCTGATCTGCCACAGTGCCACTAAATGTCCAATCAGGCTAAAGTCGTGCTTCAAATGGCCCCCCCCCCTTTTGGGGCGATTTCAGTCAGGTTGAAAATCGCCCAGAAGTCTGTCATAGACTCCCATGTAAAATCTATTTTTTTCAAATATCAGAGCTTTCAATACAATCTCTATGGGTTTCTGAGGGCTTGCACTTACGCGCTTTCGTCATACGTAACGTAACCATGAACGTAACTAAGAAAAGAGCGGGTAGCAGCGTCAATCAATTCACTATTACTGTCAAAATGGCTAGGCTTCAGTGCAACTCGATTGTGTCTTTGAAAGAAGTTCCTTTTTGTCGGCGAACAAATGAAGATAAATTGGCAACGAAACAATTAGGACCTCCCAGACCAAATTTAATAATTCAACAGGTTTCTACTAAAGGGGGGAAGTCCTACACCCGAGGATTTTCAAAAAATTGGTACGAACGAAAAACCTGGCTAGCAGGCTGCGATGTAGCTAATGCAGTCTTCTGCTACCCCTGCTTACTCTTTCACCCTGAAGGCGGCACGGCAGACAGCACCGCTTGGACAGCGACTGGTGTGTAACGGACATGCACCATCTTTCAGGAAAGATTAAGAAACATGAGCTGTCAAAGACCCACATGGATAGCTGTTTGAGATTGTCTGCTTTGGGGAGAGTGAACATTCCCACTCAACTGGATGAGGGATACAGGCTAGCTGTCCGCCGCCACAACGATGAGGTTAGTGTTGATAATCACAAGTTTACTGGAGAACTGAAACTGACAAGGCTGACAAGATAGGACCCTTTTGTCCATTGTTATTGGATAGGAACAGAACTTATAACCAGCTCCTGACCTAAATAGATCTTAGCACAACATTTTACTCAACATATCATATCTAACACCAGGCTCAGAAACGCTGTCATAAATGTTGCAAGGCTTCTGCAGCTCATTATACTGAGTCACACACACACAGGCACACACTGTCCATAATTTACCACCGTGGTCTTTGGATTATTTTGATTCTTTCTTCTATCTGTAGGCTCAAAAGAAAATCACACCAAAGGGAGCAAAAACAAAGACACAACCACTCTAACAAGCTAGGTACCGTTTAACAAGCTAGGTACCATTTAACAAGCTAGGTACCGTTTAACAAGCTAGGTACCGTTTAACAAGCTAGGTACCGTTTGTAGACACACACAAACAACACACAGACAGACAAACACAGACACACATATACAAAGACAGCCAGTCACCTCGTAGGTTGCGTATGAAGTCGTCGAGGCCCATCTTGCGTTGAGGTTTGATGTTAGGGGAATACATGTCAGTGTTGAGGAGGACCACAGCAAAGGCCAGGATGAATATGGTGTCTGGGTTATGGAACTGCTGCACCACCTCGGGATTACACATACAATACCTCTGACTGGAGAGATGGAGGGAGAGAGATGTAAAGAGAGTTGTTGTTACACATATAGTACCTCTAAAAGGGGGCAGAGGGAGATATTGAAAAAGAGACAGAGAAGGAGATAGTGAAAGAGACACAAAGAAAAAGAGAGTGAAATAATCATAATAATTTGGTGGATGCATATATTTTTCCTATTTCACACATGTGAAATGCCTTGCTCAAGGGCACATCAACAGATTTTCCATTTTGTCGGCTAGGGGATTCAAACTAGCAACCTTTCGGTCACTGGCCCAACACTAAACGCTAGGCTATCTGCCGAGAGAGACAGAAAGCTGTTCTGTTGTAATGGCCTCAAGAGACAAACTGCTTGTCCATTAGTGTCATTAGTTAGTAACTATTTAATGTTTCTTTCTTAACTTCAGACATTATGTAATACTGTTGTATTTGTGGGTTCTTAGATCCTGAGAAGAGATATATAAGCTTCCTCCCAAGATAAATACACACATACAAGCTTCCTGAGTTTTCAGTTTCTTGAGAGTCCTGCTGCACATCAAATACTCTGACACTGGGGATGAGCAGTGTGTGTGTGTTTGTGTGTGTTCAGAAGCTGATCTCTACTTGAAAACATTCCCAGTTTCTCATACCTAGGTAGCCACCTCTCCACCAATATCCTAATTGATGATGAAATCCAACATCGGATTGCTTGAACAAGTGCTGCCTTCGGCAAACTCAGAAACAGGGTCTTCGAGGATCGCAACACTACCACCAGGAACAAAGTGGACGTGTACAACGCTGTGATCATCCCTACCCTGCTATACGGTGCGGATACCTGGACCGCATTTTGAAAACACATGAAACCCCTTGAAAGATTCCACCAACGCTGCCTCAGGAAAATACTTAATATCAGCTGGGAAGACAGACAAACCAACATCAGTGACCTGTAGTGAACAAACTCCTCCAGTATAGAAGCCATCATAATAAGACCAACTCCGATGGGCAGGTCACCTCATGAGGATGAGCGACTCAAGGCTTCCTAAACAGATCTTCTACTCACAGCTAGACCTGGGCAGAAAATTGTTGTATTTTGTAGTTTATTTGAAAATACCAACTTTTCAAATACTCAAGGTAGTCGAATATAGAGAATCAACTAAAGGCCACTTTTGGCATCTATTTCCTTTGATATTCAAATACAGGTCTCAGAAAAACAAATAATATTTGAAAGTATTTTGAATACCTCTCAGAAAAACAAATAATATTTGAAGGTATTTGAATATATGCAAGTTATTTGAAAAAATCTATATATATTTGATGGCTGCCAAATATTTGATGAAGAACGAAAAACTAGAACAGTTAGTTTAATTAGTCTAAATACATGATCATTAGTACACGGTTTCGAGGGCATTCAGATATGAATCTTAATATATAGCCTAGAATTAAATACTTGATGATTGAAGAAAAAAATGGTAGAAAAATGCTAAACTTTAACCTTTATCAATCAAAATAATGGAAAGTAATACAAATATAAACCAAACAGATTTTGTTTTATTGTTTAACATACATTTTTCATGCATTACATTACTCTTTACATCATTGTCATAGCCTATGATTCTTTAACAGTAATTTTAGATCTTGGTTAATCATTTAAGATGGCAATTGCATTTGATGAACATCAGGGTCTCAAATGTTTTGTCACTCATTGAGCAACGGTCAGGCCAGAACGTTCTTCCAGCGATGCTGAAACAAACATAATTTAATTATTCCTCCATTAAAATGCATCTGTCCAATGCCATCAGTTATATAGGTTCAGGTATATCCCTCATTACCAAATGAATGGAAAAGAAAAGCACAGAATAAAACCAGGGAATTATATCGCACTTATCTTTCCATTTAGTATTGAGGTATAAAACGTGTTGTACTGAGTGTACAAAACACACATGCTCTTTCCATGACATAGACTGACCAGGTGAATCCAGGTGAAAGCTATGATCCCTTATTGATGTCACTTTTTAAATCCACTTCAATCAGTAGATGAAAGGGAGGAGACAGGTTAAAGAAGGATTGTGTATGTGTGCCATTCAGAGGGTGAATGGGCAAGATAAAATATTTAACTGTCTGGCTTTGAACGGGATATGGTAGTAGGTGCCAGGTGCAACAGTTTGCATCAAGAACTGCAACGCTGCTGAAACTTTCATGCTCAACAGTTTCCTGATTTATATCAAGAATGGTCCATCACCCAAAGGACATCCAGCCAACTTGACAAAACTGTGGGAAGCATTGGCGTCAACATGGGCCAGCATCCCTGTGGAACGCTTTCAACACCTTGTAGAGTCCATGCCCCGACGAACTTAAGCTGTTCTGAGGGCAAAAGGGTGGCAGGTGCAACTCAATATTAGGAAGGTGTTCTTAATGTTTGATATACTCAATGTACAGTACCAGTCAAATGTTTGGACACATGTACTCATTCAATGGTCTTTATTTATTTTTACTATTGTCTGCATTGTAGAATAATAGTGAAGACATCAAAACTATGAAATAACACATATGGAATCATGTAGTAACCAAAAAAGTGTTAAACAAATCAAAATATATTTTATACTTGAGATTCTTCAAAGTAGCCACTCTTTGCCTTGATGACAGCTTTGCACACTCTTGGCATTCTCTCAACCAGCTTCATGAGGAATAAAATTATATTCATTTATTTATCATTAGAATAAACAGACCAAACCAAACAAACACAGAAACAACGAACGGTGGCAGCTAGTACTCCGGGGACGACGACCGCCGAAGCCTGCCCGAACAAGGAGAAGGAGCAGCCTCGGCAGAAACCGTGACAGTACCCCCCCCCCTCCTTGACGCGCGGCTCCAGCCGTGCGCCGACCCCGGCCTCGGGGACGACCAGGAGGATGCGGAGCAGGGCGCGTGGGATGACCACGATGGAACTCAGTCAGAAGGGACGGGTCTAAGATGTCTCTCCTCGGCACCCAGCACCGCTCCTCCGGACCGTACCCCTCCCACTCCACGAGATATTGGAGACCTCCCATCCGGCGTCTCGAATCCAGGATGGACCGAACTGTGTACGCCGGAGCCCCCTCAATGTCCAGCGGGGACGGAGGAGTCTCTGCTATCTCACAGTCATGGAGTGGACCAGCTACCACCGGCCTGAGGAGAGACACATGGAACGAGGGCTTAATATTCTTATAATCAATAGGAAGTTGTAATCTGTAACACACCTCGTTCAACCTCCTCAGGACTTTAAAAGGCCCCACAAACCGCCGACCCAGCTTCCGGCAGGGCAGGCGGAGGGGCAGGTTTCTGGTCGAGAGCCAGACTCGATCTCCCGGTGCGTACACCGGTCCCTCACTGCGGTGGAGATCGGCGCTCGTCTTGTGTCGACGGATGGCCCGCTGCAGATGTACGTGAGCAGCGTTCCACGTCTCCTCCGAGCGCCGCACCCACTCATCCACCGCAGGGGCCTCGATCTGGCTCTGATGCCAGGGTGCCAGAGCCGGCTGGTACCCTAATACACATTGGAAAGGAGTGAGTCTGGTGGAGGAGTGGCGAAGGGAGTTCTGGGACATCTCGGCCCAGGGAACATACCTCGCCCACTCCTCCGGCTGGCCCTGGCAATACGACCTCAGAAACCTACCCACATCCTGGTTTACCCGTTCAACCTGCCCATTGCTCTCCGGGTGGTACCCCGAGGTAAGGCTCACCGAGACCCCCAAGCGCTCCATGAACGCTCTCCAGACTCGAGAGGTAAACTGGGGGCCTCGATCAGACACTATATCCTCAGGTACCCCGTAATGCCGGAAGACGTGAGTGAATAGTGCCTCAGCGGTCTGTAGGGCAGTGGGGAGACCCGGCATGGGAAGGAGACGACAGGCCTTCCAGAACCGATCCACAACGACCAGGATGGTGGTATTTCCCTGGGAGGGGGGAAGGTCGGTAACGAAATCCACCGAAAGGTGAGACCAGGGTCGTTGTGGAACGGGCAGGGGCTGTAGCTTACCCCGGGGCAGGTGTCTGGGTGCCTTACACTGGGCACACACCGAGCAGGAGGAAACATAAACCCTCACATCCCTGGCTAACGTTGGCCACCAGTACTTAGTGCTAAGGCAGTGCACCGTCCGGCCAATCCCTGGATGTCCAGAGGAGGGTGACGTGTGAGCCCAATATATAAGTCGATCCCGAACCTCGAGCGGAACGTACTTCCGACCCACAGGACACTGTGGAGGGCTAGGATTGGTATGCAACGCCCGCTCGATTTCGTAATCGACCTCCCACACCACCGGTGCCACTAGGCAAGACGGCGGGAGTATGGGCGTGGGCTCAACGGACCTCTCCTCCGTGTCATACCGCCGGGACAGGGCATCTGCCTTACCGTTCTGGGACCCAGGGATGTACGTGATCTTAAAAACGAACCGGGCCAGAAACATGTTCCACCTAGCCTGGCGAGGGTTCAGTCTCCTAGCTGCCCGGATGTACTCCAGGTTTCGGTGGTCAGTCAAAATGAGGAAAGGATGTTGAGCCCCCTCAAGCCAATGCCTCCACACCTTTAGGGCCTGGACCACGGCTAGCAGCTCCCTGTCCCCCACGTCATAATTTCGCTCCGCCGGACTGAGCTTTTTTGAGTAAAAAGCACAGGGGCGGAGTTTCAGTGGCGTGACAGACCGTTGCGAGAGCACGGCCCCTATACCGGCTTCCGACGCGTCTACCTCAACCTGGAATGGTAGCGCGGGATCCGGATGCGCCAGCACCGGCGCCGAGGTAAACAGGTCCTTCAGTCTCCCAAAAGCCCTATCAGCCTCAGCAGACCACTGCAAGCGCACCGGACCTCCCTTTAGTTGAGACGTTATGGGAGCTGCCACCTGTCCAAAACCCAGGATAAACCTCCTGTAGTAATTCGCAAAGCCCAAGAACCGCTGCACCTCTTTAACAGTGGTTGGAGTTTGCCAATTACGCACGGCCGACACACGGTCAACCTCCATCTTTACCCCTGACGCAGACAACTGATAACCCAAAAAGGAGACAGACTCCTGGAAAAACAGACATTTCTCTGCCTTGACATACAGATCATGCTCCAACAATCTCCTCAATACTCGGCGCACCAGGGCTACATGCTCGGCTCGGGTAGAAGAATACACTAGAATGTCGTCAATGTACACGACCACTCCTTGCCCCTGCATATCCCGGAAGATCTCATCTACGAAGGATTGGAAGACTGAAGGAGCATTCATTAAACCGTATGGCATGACGAGATACTCGTAATGACCCGAGGTGGTACTAAATGCTGTCTTCCATTTGTCTCCCTCCCTAATACGCACCAAGTTGTATGCGCTCCTGAGGTCCAATTTTGTGAAGAACCGCGCCCCGTGTAAAGACTCCGTCATAGTCGCAATCAGAGGGAGTGGATAACTGTATTTCACAGTAATCTGATTGAGACTGCGGTAATCAATACACGGGCGCAAACCTCCATCCTTTTTCTTCACAAAAAAGAAACTCGAGGACGCAGGAGAGGTGGAGGGCCGTATGTATCCCTGTCTCAGAGACTCAGCTATGTAAGTCTCCATAGCTCCCTTCTCCTCTTGAGACAAAGGATACACATGGCTCCGCGGAAGCGCAGCTCCTACCTGGAGGTCTATCGCACAATCCCCCTGTCTATGTGGTGGCAATTGCGTCGCCTTCGCCTTACTAAACACAAGTGCTAAATCCTCATACTCGGGGGGAATGTGCAATGTGGGCATTTGGTTTGGACTTTCCACCGAGGTCGCCCCTACGGAAACGCCCAGACATCGCCCTACACACTGGGCAGACCACTCCTTAAGAGCCCTCTGTTGCCACGAAATAGAGGGATTATGAGTAATCAACCAGGGAAGCCCCAGCACCACCGGATACGCAGGAGAGTCTATAAGATATAGCTGAATAGTCTCCTCATGACCCTCCTGCGTGACCATAGCTGTGACCTCCCTAATCAACCCCGATCCCAACGGACGGCTATCTAGAGCATGTACAGGGAAAGGATTACTGACAGGAAGGAGGGGAATCCCTAACTCTGCACAAAAACTCTGATCTATAAAATTCCCAGCTGCGCCTGAATCTACTAGCGCCTTATGCTGGGAACGAGGTGCAACCTGTGGGAAGCAAACAGGTATGGTTAGGTGCACAACAGAGAGCTCTGGGTAAGTGGGGCGCCTACTCACCTGGAAGGACTCCCCAGTGCGTGGCCTGCCGTCTCTTCCCCTAGGAGACCCCCCCCCAGCACCTGGCCGCAGTGTGTCCTCCACGGCCACAGTAGGTACAGGGGTTGGTCCCCCTGGGGCTCCTTTTCCTCTCCTCTCTAGCGCCAGCACCCCCGAGCTCCATAGGACTAGGCTCGGAGGTGCTGGAGGGTGGAATGGACGACCCCCACTCAGGACGTCCGCGGGTGGCCAACAGGGTGTCTAGGCGAATGGCCATGTCTACCAACTGGTCAAACGTGAGGGTGGTGTCCCTGCAGGCCAACTCACGACGGACGTCCTCCCGTAGGCTGCAGCGGAAGTGGTCTATGAGGGCCCGCTCATTCCACCCTGCGTCTGCCGCTAGAGTCCGGAACTCCAGTGCAAACTCCTGGGCGCTCCTCCTCCCCTGTCGGAGGTAGAATAGACGTTCTCCCGCCGCCTTCCCCTCAGGTGGATGGTCGAATACAGCCCTGAAGCGACGGGAGAACTCCCGCATAGGTGATCGTTCGCGGGGTCTATTCTCCTCCATTCGGCGTTGGCCCATCCAACGCCTTGCGTGAGACGAGATGAGGGCGAAACGCCTCGTGTCCGAGGCACGGGTTACGGTGGCGAGTAGAGTTCTCTTGTGAGAAACCTTGACACTACCATTACGCCCTCGGGAGGAGAGCGAATCCACGGTTCCGGAGCGTGGATAGGGACTGACTGCTGTGTACTGTAGGAGGGGTTTGGTTCAGGCGATTATTCTTATCCCTGTAGAGCGTTGGGATTGGCATCCGTCCCTGCGCGACGCCTCCTCCATGACCGGTCGCTGCTGCTCTGATGATTCTGAATTGTGTAGTTCTTCAGGGCGAGTGTGGTGTGAATCAAATGCAGGATGCAGATGCAAGTCCAAAAACACTTTAATAAAGTCCACAGAATGAACGGCTACAAACAGAGCCGGAGGCACAAGGAAAATAACGCACACGTAAAAATACAACAAACGCACAACAGTGCGGACTCTCTATAAAGAATAGAGCACAAACTGACTGGCAACACCTGCTGACATGGAACAACTACACACAACCACAAGACAGAAACAACGAGAACTTAAAGGACACATAATCAAGACAAAATGAGAAACAGGTGTACCAAAACAGACCAAACCAAACAAACACAGAAACAACGAATGGTGGCAGCTAGTACTCCGGGGACGACGACCGCCGAAGCCTGCCCGAACAGGGAGAAGGAGCAGCCTCGGCAGAAACCGTGACACAAATGGCCTAGAACATGGACTTTTGTGTAAATAAAAATATAATTAATAAAAATAATTAACACAGAAAGTGTGGAGTCTGTGGACCCATATAGACAACGGAAAAGTGTTAAATTAACACACTCCTTAGTGTAAAGCCTTATTCAAATATTTTCTATGTTAATTGTCAGTGTTAATCATTTATTTATTATATATTATTATATATATATATTATATGTATTTTTAACACTGGAGAATTTACTGTGCAGTATAGTGTCCCATCTTATTTATACTTACATTGCATTCGGAAAGTATTCAGACCCCTTCCCTTTTTCCACATTTTGTTACGTTACAGCCTTATTCTAAAATTGATTAAATACATTTCCACATCAATCTACATACCCCATAATGACAAAGCGAAAAAAAGGTTTTTAGAAATGTTTGCAAATTTATAAAAAATTAAAAACTGATATATCTTATTTACTTAAGAATTCAGACCCTTTGCTATGAGACTCGAAATTGAGCTCAGGTGCATCCTGTTTCTACAACTTGATTGGAGTCCACCTGTGGTAAATTCAATTAATTGGACATGATTTGACAAAGCACACACCTGTTTATATAAGGTCCCACAGTTGACAGTGCATGTCAGAGCAAAAACCAAGCCATGAGGTCGAAGGAATTGTCCGTAGAGCTCTGAGACAGGATTGTGATGAGGCACAGATCTGGGGAAGCGTACCAAAAAATGTCTGCAGCATTGAAGGCCCCCAAGAACACAGTGGCCTCCATCATTCTTAAATGGAAGAGGTTTGGAACCACCAACACCCTTCCTAGAGCTGGCCGCCCGGCCAAACAGAGCAATCGTGGGAGAACGGCCTTGGTCAGGGAGGTGACCAAGAACCCAATGGTCACTCTGAGAGAGCTCCAGAGTTCCTCGGTGGAGATGGGAGAACTTTCCAGAAGGACAACCATCTCTGCAGCACTCCACCAATCAGGCCTTTATGGTAGTGGCCAGATGGAAGCCACTCCTCAGTAAAATGCACATGACAGCCTACTTGGAGTTTGCCAAAAGGCACCTAAAGAACTCTCAGACCATGAGAAACAAGATTCTCTGGTCTGATGAAACCAAGATTGAACTCTTTGGCCTGAATGCCGAGCGTCACGTCTGGAGGAAACCTGGCACCATCCCTACAGTGAAGCATGGGAGACTAGTCAGGATCGAGGGAAAGATTAACAGAGCAAAGTACAGAGAGATCCTTGATGAAAACCTGCTCCAGTGCGCTCAGGACCTCAGACTGGGGCAAAGGTTCACCTTCCAACAGGACAACGACCCTAAGCACACAGCCAAGACAACGCACGAGTGGCTTCAGGAAAAGTCTCTGAATGTCCTTGAGTGGCCCAGCCAGAGCCCGGACTTGAACCTGATCAAACATCTCTGGAGAGACCTGAAAATAGCTGTGCAGTGACGCTCCCCATCCAACCTGACAGAGCTTGAGAGGATCTGCAGAGAACAATGGAAATTTCACATGAAGTTTCACATGTGGATGTACACAACCCGGACCCATGACACCTGGAGGAAAATCATACTCGACTACGAGGGATCCCAAAGGAAGGAGGTGTTTGTGTGTGTGTGTGTGTGTGAGTGAGATTACATAACAGAGTTTTTCTACACCAGCTAGGTCTCTTATCTTCAAATCTGCATACAGTATGAGAGAAGCTCAGCAGCTGGTACGGAATAACACTTATGGAAAAAATCACGTTTTGCACATGTGAAATCATGTAAAACTAATTGCTTTTGGAACACTTCACATGTGATGATTTAGATTTTCACATGTGAAATCATGTGAAACCATGTGTTTTGGGAACCCTTCACATGTGATATTTCACATGAAGTTTCACATTTCACAATGTGTTTTTGGAACATTTAAAATATTTTATATTTGAGATTCTTTAAAGTAGCCACCCTTTGCCTTGATGACAGCTTTGCACACCCTTGCCATTCTCTCAACCAGCTTCATGAGGAATGCTTTCCAACAGTCTTGAAGGAGTTCCCACACATGCTGAGCACTTGTTGGCTGCTTTTCCTTCACTCTGCGTTCCAACTCATCCCAAACCATCTCAATTGGGTTGAGGTCGGGGGATTGTGAAGGCCAGGTCATCTGATGCAGCACTCTATCACTCTCCTTCTTGGTCAAATAGCCCTTACACAGCCTGGAGGTGTGTTGGGTCATTGTCCTGTTGAAAAACAAATGCTAGTCCCTCTAAGCGCAAACCAGATGGGATGGCGTATCGCTGCATAATGCTGTGGTAGCCATGCTGGTTAAGTGTGCCTTGAATTCTAAATCCATCACTGACAGTGTCACCAGCAAAGCACCCCCACACTATCACACCTCCTCCTCCATGATTCATGGTGGGAACCACACATGCGGAGATCATCCATTCACCTACTCTGCGTCTCACAAAGTCACGGCGGTTGGAACCATCAGACCAAAGGACAGATTTCCACCGGTCTAATGTCCATTGCGCGCGTTTCTTGGCCCAAGCAAGTCCCTTCTTCTTATTGGTGTCCTTTCGTAGTGGTTTCTTTGCAGCAATTTGACCATGAAGGCCTGATTCACGCAGTCTCCTCTGAACAGTTGATGTTGAGATGTGTCTGTTACTTGAACTCTGTGAAGCATTTATTTGGGCTGCAATCTGAGGTGCAGTTAACTCTAATGAACTTATCCTCTGCAACAGAGGTAACTCTGGGTCTTCCTTTTCTGTGGCGGTCCTCATGAGAGCCAGTTTCATCATAGCGCTTGATGGTTTTTGCGACTGCACTTGAAGATGCTTTCAAAGTTGTTGAAATTTTCCGGACTGACCTTCATGTCTTAAAGTAATGATGGACTGTCGTTTCTCTTTGCTTATTTGACCTGTTCTATTATGGACTTGGTCTTTTACGAAATAGGGCTATCTTCTGTATACCACCCCTACCTTGTCACAACACAACTGATTGGCTCAAACACAAATTAACTTTTAAAAAGGCACACCTGTTAATTGAAATGCATTCCAGGTGACTACCACATGAAGCTGGTTGAGAGAATGCCAAGAGTGTGCAAAGCTGTCATCAAGGCAAAGGGTGGCTACTGTGACAGAACATTACATATTTACCTGATTTGTTGGATATTTAACAATTATTTACTTAACAAACAGTAAGACATTTCTGTCCTACTAATGCTGTGTTTTATGGTCTCCACTCCAGCACCCTGCAGCTAATCTGGGTTTATGGTTTTACTAGAGATAGATTGAGCTGACAATTGACTGATATCTTGGTGATAAAAATTAACAGCCACAAGTCAATAAAACGTGTGATTATCTAACAACATTGACGAAAATGTAGCAGCTCTCTGGGACACTTGACATTAAGACCTACAGTGGCTTGCGAAAGTATTCACCCCCCTTGGCATTTTTCCTATTTTGTTGCCTTACAACCTGGAATTAAAATAGATTTTTGGGGGGTTTGTATCATTTGATTTACACAACATGCCTACCACTTTGAAGATGCATCAATTTGGACTATTTTGTGTATGTCCATTACATGAAATCCAAATAAAAATCTATTTAAATTACAGGTTGAAATGCAACAAAATAGGAAAAACGCCAAGGGGGATGAATGCTTTTGCAAGGCAAAGTGCAGAAATGCATTCTTGCCAATAAGTCTGTGGCCATATCTCTTTCACGCTCACAGATCTGGTGGTGTAGCTGCACTGTAGCAAGCTATTTCAGATTGCTAGTAACCAAGCAGTTATTAGTTCAAATCCCATTTAAGGCCCAATTGTGTTCACAGTACAAGATGTTACAGTAATTTAAATCTATATACAGTAGCATACTGTCATTTTCTAGAATTAAAACCTTGAAGTTGTTGTATATATTTACTTTATTTTTACTGTAACTTTACTTTATTTTTAGTGCAGAAATGTTATCTCGGCAATAAATATATAGCCAATCTCCAATATGTCCATAGACCTGGTGGCTCAGCAGGAACTTCAGGAAGCTAGCAACCAAGAGGTTGTGAGTTCAAATCCCAAATGAGGTTGAGTTCCAAGTAATCAGCATACTGTCTATTAATAACACCTGAATTTAGCTGTAAAAATACAGTAACTTGTAGATTTACTGTATTTTCACTGCAACTACACAAAAACCTCTAAGGGGCCATGACACATCCCTACGTTGTCACATTTATTACGTGCTCACATGTTGTCACGTGCAGTTTTATGTTATTATTATTTGTATTTATGTTACTTCACATGGTTGTCACATGTTATCACATTAACTTCACATTAAATCACATGTGATCACATGAGATCCCACAATATCACGTGTTCACATGCGGAATTCATGTGGTTTTTCCGTAAAGGAATACCTCCTTTAAAATGACTTCTTATGTCACCCTTATGACAGATAATATCTGTTATCTACCAGACCTGTAACAGCATGTCTACCCTACTACCCACTCCCAGAGGGGTAGGACTTTGTCCCTACAGGTCAAGACACTGGTCCTGGATGCAGGACACTTCTTGTTTTAGACCTGGGAGACCACTCGGTAGGTGGAATTGAGCTAATCTCTAATATATTATTTTAGCTGCTGAGGTTATTAGTAGTTAGGTCAAATGTGGTGCTAGGTTGGAACCTGCTGTTTTTTTTGTCATTTAGCTGACGCTCTTATCCAGAGCGACTTACATGAGCAATTAGGGTTAAGTGCCTTGCTCAAGGGCACATCGACAGATTTTTCACCTAGTCGGCTTGGGGATTAGAACCAGCAACCTTTCGGTTACTGGCACAACGCTCTTAACCACTAAGCTACCTGCCGCCCTGTTCATGGCACTCCAGAACCAGAGTGCCTAACCCTGGAGTAACCCTGATCGGCTGATCAGTTTAAGGGTGTGATGTGATTGGTTGGTGGGTCTGACCTGAAAGCTTCAATGAGTCTCTCCACCTTCTGGGCCTCTCCCTGGACTCTTATGTGAGACTGGAACTTCCTCAGCGCCTCATCCAGCTCCATCCCAGAGAAGTCCATCTCATCCACCACACAGCTAAAGAGACAGAGGGGGAGGAGAGGTTAGTTGTGTATGTCTCGCTCATGTCACTGTTGACGTCATTGTTTTGTGTGTGTGTGTGTGTGTTTGTGTGTGTGTGTGTGTGTGTGTGTGTGTACGAGGGTGAGTGTACAACTGCTCTTGGTGGTCATAGTTTAATTACAGAAGCACTGACCTGGAACACATTTACACACACACACACAAAAACACACACACAAACACACACACATGCTCACACACTTAACAAATGCATATATCCAATACATATTCCATCCAATGGATAAGGGCAATGAAAACTGTGTGAGACAGAGAGATAGAGAGAGAGGGGGTGTAGAGAGAAAAGAGTGGGAGATAGAGGGAAAAGAAGAGAGAGAAGGTTGAGAGATGTAGAGAAAAACATTGTGCTGAGAGCTGTGACCTATTTTTTCTCTAAGCAAAACACACTCTCTCCTGGCTCTCTCTCTCTCTGCAGTATGAGCACATGCATCCATCCATGTGTGTGTGTGTGTGTGTGTGTGTGTGTGTGTGTGTGTGTGTGTGTGTGTGTGTGTGTGTGTGTGTGTGTGTGTGTGCAGTGGGATCCGGAATTACTGGATCCCTTGATAAAGATGAGCAAAAAAGACTGTATAAAATAAATAATACAAATACTGAGCCATATTGTATGCTCAAACTACATATACTAATACAATTGCTCAGAGAAATAGATTTTGTTTAACAAGTAATAAAATAATCTGAGAAAGATAGAGGTCAAAATTAGGGATGAGGTATTTTCTGCAAATGTGACTGGTTTCAGGAAACTAGGTGTATGTCGCGCGTCACTCCTTTACAGGAGCGCCATTTGAACGTAAACTTTATTTTGATTTTATTTTTTATGCGTTTTTGGGCAGAAATGCCTTCTGGAACGTGAATTTTCATGTGCCTCAATAACGAACTTGTATGCCATCTGTAAATATGAATAAAATTGTTAAATTACGAGCCTAGTTGGTTTAGCCACGGAAAAAGACAGCAACCTTCCTGCTAGCCATGATTGGCTGAAATAATGAGTGGGCTGGACATGCCGAGAGATGAGTTTGGATTGGTCTGCCACGTAGCACGCTTCTGTCTATAATATGAGCTGGTCAGTATGTGTAGGTAATCCTTTCTAATGCAGCTTTTTAAAAAGATGCAGACGGAGTCAAAAAGAGAACACACAGAAGGCTGTTGTATAAAACACCTGTGTCCGGATTACATCTTCAAACTAAGGGCAACCATGGCATCTGTGACAGAGAGGGAGAAGTGTCCATCCATGTATACGGGTAAGAGAGTCTAGCTAGCTACATTTTCAGATATTACACATTTCTAATTTTGCCAGAAAGTCATTTTTATTTCAAGTTAAAGTGTATTGTTAGCTAGCTAGCTAATGTTAGCTGGCTGGCTAGCTAGCTAACGTTACGTGTATGATCTGTGTAGTAATATTATTCGTATCTCAGAGCATTGCTAGTTATAGCCTAATGTTAGCTAGCTAGCATTGAACTAGGTTGGTTAGCTACCTGCAGATTCATGCAGGGTAGTAACGTTATGAGTTGGGATTACATGTCTAAACAAAAGACTCCACTATGCAAGTAACTATTTAAATAGAATGTTTATGATGTCACTGCGACAACTGTCGATAGACGTAGCTGGTAAATTCGTTCTGGCGATCTACTCCGATTTCAGAGCACTTTCGTCTGAGTGCAGCTGAATAACTGACGAATTTACAAACACTCAACACCCGTTGAATATGGCCAGTGTCAGTAAACGTTGGCAAACAAGTGCAATTACATTTTTGCCAGCAGCACAGTTGCAGTCACCAACGCTCTGGATAACATAAAAACAGCCTAACCATCTCTGCTAGGGCGAGTAAAATGGTCAGAGTGAGCTGTTTCTCTCATTTGGGTCTGGAAGTAGCTAGCAAGCTAGCCAACGTTAGCCAGTTAGCTTGGTTGCTTGACTGCTGTTGTTAGGCAGAACGCTCAGATCAACCCTACTCCTCGGCCAGAGCGTCCAGTGTGCGCTCTGAATTTACGAATTAACAATCTGACAATGCTCTGAGTTTACGAACGCCCAGAGCACACTCTGGCACTCCAGATTAAATTTACGAACACACCCGTAGTATAAGCCAGCCTTTAGTCTTGAAATGTTTTGTTGTTTAGTACATAGCCTCACATGTGAATCCTTAAAGAGATGGGTGGGGATAAAGCTTAAGAGGTTGTGAACGATGCTGAATGGGTGTAGACAAAGAAGAGCTCTCCAGTAGGTACCAAAACATTCAAGGGCCATTTTCTCAAAAGTGAGGTTCCAAGTTTATCAACTTTCATAGCAGAATTGCTTTCCCATTGTTCTTCAACTAGTGTATGATATTCCATTTTCAAGCTCTGAGTCTCTACTTTTATCCAATGTAAAAAACACAATTTCACATTTTGCTACATATTGGATTGGAACCGGTGCTATGTCATATGACATGAAAATAGAGATCTTTGGCCACACACACCAATGGTGGGTTTGGCCTTCAAAAGAACAATGCATATGCAGAAAATACCTCATCCCTACTGCAGAATATGGTGGTGGATCTTTGATGTTATGGGGAAATGTAGCTTCCACTAGTCCTGGGTCTTCCAACAGGACAATAACCCCTAGCACACATCAAAATCCACAAATAAATTGCTAATTGACCACAAAATCAACATCACACTCCGGACATGAACCCCATTGAAAACCTGTAGTTTGAATTGAAGAGGGCAGTCCATAAGCGCAGACGAAGGATGTCAAGGATCTGCAAAGATTCTGTATGGAGGGATGATCTAATATCCCTCACAATGTGTTCTCCGATCTCATAAAACATTTTATAAAAAGGCTCAGTGTCATTATCCAAAAATATATTTATCTGAGCAATTCTATTAGTATAAAATTAAAATTAAATTGAGCATACAATATTTTTGGAGCATACAATATACAGTAGCTCACTATTTTGCTCATCTTTATCAAGGGATCCAATCATTCCGGACCCTACTGTACGTGTAAAACATATTGTATATGCCGTATGCATGCATTCAAGTGTGTATGTGTGGTTATCTGTGCGTGTGTGTGTGCTATATTTTGGGTGTGGACTCACTCCAGGACGTCTCTGTTGAAGAGTAGCTTACTGTTCCCCAGGAACTCTCCAATCATCTGTCGGCTCAGGCCCTTCCTCTGTAGCAGGAAGTGGGCCACGCCCATGGGCGTGTCTGGGACAAACCCCCCAAAGGCCCCCCAAACCCCCCCCTTTTTTTTAAAAAAAAAAAAAAAAAAAAAAAAAAATTTTTAAAAAAAAAAAAAAAAAAAAAAAAAAAAAAAAAAAAACAAAAAAAAAAAACAAAAAAACCCCCCCCCCCTTTTCCCCCTTTCCCCCCCCTTAAACCGGGGAAAAAAAATTTTTTTGGGCCCCAAAAAAAAAAAAAAAAAAATTTTTTTATTTTTTTTAAACCTTTTTTTTGGGGGAAAAATTTTTTTTTTAAAAAGGGGAAAACCCCCCCCAAAAAAACCCAAAAAATTTTTTAAAAAAAAAAGGGGGGGCCCCCCCCCCTTTAAAAAAAAAATTTTTAAAAAAAAAAAAAAAGGGGTTTTAAAAAAAAAAAAAAATTTTTTTTTAAAAATTTTTTGGGGGTTTTTTTAAAAAAAATTTAACTAAATTTTTTGGTTTTAAAAAAATTTAAATTGGGGAAAATTTTTAAAAAAAAAAGGGGTTTTTTTCCCCTTTTTTTGGGTTCCCCCCCCCAAATTTTAAAAAATTTGGGGGGGTTTGGGGAAAAGGGGGGGTTTTGGGGTGGGGGTTTTTGGGTTTATTAAAAACCTTCCTTTGAAGGGGTTTTTTTTTTTTTCCCCCCCCCCCGGGGGGGGGGGGGGTTTTTGGGGGGGGGGGGCCGGTTTAAAACCCCCCGGGGAAAAGGGGGCCCCGGGGCCCGGGGGAAAAGCCCTTTGGGTTCCCTTTTTTTTTGTTTTTCCCCCAAAAAACCCCCCCCCAAAAAAAAAATTTTTAAACCCCCCCCCGGGGGTTTTTTTTTTTTTTCCCCCCCCTTTTTTTTTTTTCCCCCCCCCCCCAAAACCCCGGGGGGGTTTTGGGGGTGGAAAAAAGGGGGGTTGGGTAGGGTTGTGCCCCTTTAAAAAAGGGGGGGTTTTAAAAAAAAAAATTTTTTGAAAACCCCCCCCCCCCAAAAAAATTTTTAAAAAAACCCCCCCAAAAAAAAAATTTTTTCGGGGGGCCCCCCTTTTTTAAAAATAAAAAAAATTTTCTTTAAAATTAAAAAGGTTTTTAAAAAAAATTTTTTGGAAAAAATTTTCGGTAAAAAAAACCCCCCCGGGGGGGAAACCCCCAAAATTTTTTTGGGGCCCCAAAAGGGGGGGGAAAAAAGGGGTGTGGGGGTTTGGGGGTTTTTTTTTAAATTTTTCCCCCTTCCCCGGGGGGGGGGTTTTTTTTTTCCCCGGGTTGGGGGGGAAAAACCCCAAAAAATTTCCAAAAACCAAAAATTTTTTGGAAAAAAATTGGGGGGGGGGGGGGAAAAAAAAAAAAAACCCCCGGGAAAAAAAACCCGGGGGTTTTTTCCCCCCCAAAAAAATTTTTTTTTAAAAACCCTTTTTTTTTTAAAATTTTTTTCCTTTTTTTTTTTTTAAAAAATTTCAAAAATTTTTTTTTTTAAAAATTAAAAAAAGGGCCCCTTTTTTTTCCGGTTAAATTTTTTTCCCCCCCAAAAAAAAGGGGGGGAAAAAAAAGGGGGGGGGTTTTTAAAAAAAAAAAGGGGGGGGGGTTTAAATTTTTTAAAAAAGGGGGGAAAAACCCCTTTTTCCCGGGGGAAACTTTTTTTTTTGGGGGGGGGGCCCCCTTAAAAAAGGGGGAAATTTCCCCCCCGGGGGGGGGTATTTTTTTTAAAAAAAAATTTTTTTTTCCCCCAAACCCAAAACCTTCCCCCCCCCCGGGGGGGTTGGGGAAAAAAAAAAAAAAAGGGGGGGGGGGGAAAACCCCCCCCAAAGGGGGGGGGGGCCCCCCCCCCCCCCTTTTTTTCCTCCCCCCCCCCCCCCGGGGGTTTCCCTTTCCCCCCCCCCTTTTTTTTTTTTTTTTTTTTCCCCCCCCCTTTTTTTTAAAAAAAAAAAAATTTAAAAAAAAAAACCCCCGGGGCCCCCCAAAAAAAGGGGCCCCCCAAAAAAAAACCCCCCCCCTCCCCCCCTTCCCCCCACCCCCCCCCCCAAAACCCCGGGGCCCCTAAAAAAAAAAATTTTCAAAACTTTTTTTTTTTCCAAAAAATTTTTGGGGAAAAAAAGGGGTCGCAAACAAAACCCAAAAAAAATTAAAACCCCCCCCCCCAAAAAAGGGGGGGGCCCCCCCCCCCAAAAAAAAAAGGGGGTTTTGGGGGGGGGGGTTTGGGGGGGGGGCCCCCCCCCCCCAAAAAAGGGGGGGGGGGGTTTGGGGGGGGGGGGGGGGAAAAAAAAAAAAAAACCCCCCGGGGAAAATTAAAATTTAAAATTTTGGGTTTAAAACCCCCCCCCAAAAAAAAAAAAGGGGAAACCCCCCCTTTTTTCCCCCCCCCAAAAAAAAGGGGGGGGGGAAAAGGGGAAAAAAAGGGGGGGGGGGAAATTTTAAAAGGGCCCCCCCCCCCTTTTTTTTCCCCAAAAACCCAATTTAAAATTTTAAAAAAACCCCCCAAAAAAAAAAAACCCCCCCCCCCAAAAAAATTTTCCCCAAAAAAAAAACCCCCAAGGGGGGTTTTTTTTTCCCCGGTTTAAATTTTTTTTTTAAAAAAAATTTTAATTTTAAAAAAAAAATTTTTCCGGGGAAAAAAAAAAAACCCCCCCCCCAAAAAATCCAAAAAAAATTTTGGGGGGAAAAAAAAAATTTTTCCCCCCCCAAAAAATTTTAAAAAAACCCTTTTTAAAAAAATTTTTTTCCCCCCCCCGGGGGGGGGGGGGGGAAAAAGGGAAAAAAAAAAAAAAAAAACCCCCCCCCCCCCCCCCCCCCTTTTTCCCCCGGGGGGGAAAATTTCTCTTCCCCCTCTCTCCCTCTCCCCCCCCCCCCCCCTTTTTTTCCCTCCCCTTCTTCTCCTCCCCCCCCTTTTTCTCCCCCCCGGCCTCTTCTCTCCCCCCCCTTTTCCTCTTCTTTTTTTTTTCTTTTTCCTCCCTTTTTTTTTTTCCCCCCCCCCCCTTTTCTTTTTTTTAAAACCCCCCCCTTTCCCCAAAACCGGGAAAAAAATTTTTAAAAACCCCCCCCCCCCGGGAAAAAAAAAAACCCCCCCCCCAAAAAGGGGGGCCCCCCTTTTCCCCCCCCCGGGGTTTTTTTTTTCCCTTTTGGGGGTTCCCCCCCCCCCGGGGCCCCTTTCCCCCCCCCCCCCCCCCCTTTTTTCCCCCCCCCCCCCCCGGGGGGGGGGGTTTTTCCCTTTTTAAAAAAAAAAACCCCCCCCCCCGGGGCCCCCCCCTTTTTTGTTTTTTTTTTTCCTTGTTTTTTTTAAAAAACCCTCAAAAATTTTTCCAAAAAAACCCCCCAAAAATTTTTAAAATTTTTTTTTTCCCCCTTTTTTTGCAATTAAAAAAAACCCCCCCCCCCCGGGGGGGTTGTGTGTGTTTTTTGGGGGGGGGGGGGGGGGTTTTTTTTTTTTCCCCTTTTGGGGGGTTTTTTTTGGGGGTTTTTTTGGGGGGGGTTTGGGGGGTTTTTTTAAAAAAAAAAAAAAAAAATTTTTTTTGGGGGTTTAAAAAAAAAAAAATTTTTTTTTTTGGGGGGGGAAAAAAAAAAAAATTTTTCCCCCCCCCCCCCAAAAAAAAACCCCCCCCCCCAAAAAAAAACCAAAACCAAGGGCCCCCCAAAAAAAAACCCCCCCCCCCCAAAAAAAAAAAAAAGGGGGGCCCCCAAAAAAAAATTTTTTCCCCCCAAAAAGGGGTTTCCCCCCAAATTTTTTTTTTTTTGGGGTGGGGGGGGGGCCCAAAGGGGCCCCTTTTTTCCCGGGGGGGAAAAAAAATTTTAAAAAACCCCTTGCAAAAAACCCAAATTTTTCCCGCCCCCAAAAAAAAAATTTTTCCCCCCCGGAAAAAAAAACCCCCTTTTTTTTCCCCCAAAATTTTAAAAAATTTCCCCCTTTTCCCCCCCCCGGGGGCCCCCTTTTTTTTTTTTTTGGGGGGTTTTTTTTCCCCCCCCTTTCTTTTCCCTTCCCCCGGCCTTTTTTTCCCCCCCCCCTTTTTTTTCCCCGGGTTGCGGGGGCCCCTTTTCCCCTTTTTTTTTGGGGGTTTTTCCCCCCCCCCTTTTTTTTTTTTTTTTGGGGGAAAAAATTTTAAAAAGGGGAAAATTTAAAAAAAAAAGGGGGGCCCCCCTTTTGGGGGTTTTTTTAAAAAAATTTTTTAAAAAAAAAAAAAAACCCCTTTTAAAAAACCCCCCCCTTGGGGGCCCCTTTTAAAAAATTTTTTTAAAATTTTTTTGGGCCAAAAGGGGAAATTTTTTGGGGAAAATTTTTTTTTTTTTTTTTTAAAAAAAAAACCCTTTTTCCCCCAAAAATTTTTTTTTTTTGGGAAATTTTTTTTTTTTTTTTTAAAAAACCCGGGGGTTTGTTTTTTTTTTTTTTTTGGGGGGGGGGGTTTTTGGGGGGGGGGTTTTAAAAGGGGTTTTTTTTTTAAAGGGGGAAAATTTAAATTGAGGGCGATGACCCCCATCATATTTTAGATAGATAGTGTTGTAGTAGGCCGTCTCGAGTCCGGTCTTGAGGCCACATATTGAGTGTCTCGGTCTTGTCTCGGTGTCGGGTATATTTTTACTGAGCCTTGACTCGGTCTCGGACAATGAGGACTCGTAATTTCTTCCCGAGACCAGCGGAGTAAAAAACCTCCTAATTATCAGCTCCCATTCAGTCAGAACATAAAGCCAACATGCTCTCACAGTCCCACTGCATAATTAGACGTTAATACACATTCCCCGAACGTCAAATGTAGCGCACGCATGTTTTTGTTGCTCCCGCTGCTCTGTATCGTTCCTCCCGCTGCTCTGTATTGTTCCTCCTGCTGCTCTGTATCGTTCCTCCCGCTGCTCTGTATCGTTCCACCTGCTGCTCTGTATCGTTCCTCCTGCTGCTCTGTATCGTTCCTCCTGCTGCTCTGTATCATTCCTCCTGCTGCTCTGTATCGTTCCTCCTGCTGCTCTGTATCGTTCCATTTCTCCAAACATCAAATTTCGAAGTTAAGGGTTAAGTTTATGCACTCATTCCAAATGGTTAAGGTAAGGGTTAAGATTTGGGATAGGGTTAAAACATTAAGATTAGGCACTCATCAACACCCTATCAAAACCCACTACTTGATGGGAATAGCGCTCACTGTTGCCCTTAGTGGCTGGTTTTGAAGGCATTTCCCGACCTCCTTGGGACATGGATAAACGTCAAATTTTGACTGCATAAACGATCTCCCTGCATAAAACCACTTCGCCAGGCCAAATATCCACACTAATTTCATGACACATTCATTTCTTATCGCCTATTGAAACCTGTGCTTCCTACTTTACTGGTAACATTACTGTCCTTTTCTTTTATTGAAAAATATCCTCAAACTTTGTCGTGCTCATCAGAATTTCCTTGGCAGTGAAGAGTGGGAGAAATTGGCTATAGGGGAGTGGGGGAAATAGTTTGAAAGTTGGCGCTCACTATTAGTAAGGGGAGACCTGGGGAGGTTTGTATTTTTATCTATTATAAACCTGTTTGGGATTGGATCATTGTAGAGTGGCTTCCATATTTGCCAGGATGCATTTTTTCACCATTCTAAATGTTTAACAGACCATTTGGTCTTCTGAAACATGAACACGAACTTTGAACGCTTATGGTGGCTATTTGACACAATACAATTGGAGTCGAAATTTGTTTGGTCTCCGCCCATTCCGTCCCACTCGAGGGTGCCTCGTCCCCACACCCCCCAACTCTTCAGGACTAGAGAGCTTAGCTTGAATCAGTCACGGGGCAGCACTTTCATAGACGCAGGACCTCCGGAGGTTCAACAGACAGGTCATGCACCACAGACAGAGAGAGGGTGCTTTGAGAGAGAGAGACGAGACGACGCTGAGGAAAGACAGAGAGAGATGAGAGTGACGAAGGTGAGAGAGAAGAGAGAGAGAGAGTTTCCCGGAGAGGAGGTCCGGACAGAGGGAGAGAGCACCGAGTAGAGGAGATGAGAGAGGAGAGAGAGAGAGACGAGGAGAGAGAGAGAGAGAGAGAGAGAGTTCAGAGTGGGGAAGCCACAACCTTACCTGGAGGAGCCAGTGGGAGCAGCCTCTGGAGCCTCTGGGGCAGGACAACAGAACTGATGTAGTATTGTCTGACTCCTGGAGAGGAGAGGGGGCAGAGGAGATAGGAGTAAGGTGAGAAGGGTAGAGGTGGGTGGAGAAAGAGGGGGAGAAGAGGTGGTAAAGTGTGAGTGTTTCTTTTACTCTTATAGTATTAGTAAAACAGCAGAGGTGGCTCAGAACCAAACTCTCTCAACACCCACACACACAAACCTTATTAACTACATAAAAATAATTCTGACATCAGACATATCTGTTGTTTTAGTAAGACATAACAAATACAGACGGTTACTCAGATGGTTACTCCCTCTCTCACACAAACACACACACACTCATTCAAACGCACACGTGCAGGGACAAGTAACAAAACAATGATGCCCTGATAGACCAGGACAGTCACACAATAAAACATTATACGATATACATTACAAACAATACAACTAAAAATAATAATAAGTAAAACATTATTTATTTTTTTAAGTATCACATGCTTCGTAGACAACAGGTGCAGACTAACAGTGAAATGTTTACTTAAGGGTCCTTTTCCAACAATGCAGAGTTAAATATATGTTTTTAGTTAAAGATATGTTTTTACTATTATAAAAAATTGAAATAGTGACACAAGGAATAAATACACAGTGAATAACAAATAAAAATAAAGAGTAAAAATAACATGGCTATATATAGGGAGTAGAAAATAACATGGCTATACAGGGAGTACCAGTACCGAGTCGATGTGCAGGGGTATGAGGTAATTTAGGTACAGTTGAAGTCGGAAGTTTACATACACTTGGGTTGGAGTCATTAAAACTTGTTTTTCAACCACTCCACAAATTTCTTGTTAACAAGTTTTGGCAAGTCGGTATTATATATATGTGCATGACACAAGTAATTTTTCCAACAACTGTTTACAGACAGATTATTTCACTTATAATTCACTGTATCACAATTCCATTGGGTCAGAAGTTTACATACACTAAGTTGACTGTGCCTTTAAACAGCTTGGAAAATTCCAGAAAATGATGTCATGGCTTTAAAAGCTTCTGATAGGCTAATTGACATCATTTGAGTCAATTGGAGGTGTACCTGTGGATGTATTTCAAGGCCTACCTTCAAACTCAGTGCCTCTTTGCTTGACATCATGGGAAAATCAAAAGAAATCAGCCAAGACCTCAGAAAGAAGTCTGGTTCATCCTTGGGAGCAATTTCCAAATGCCTGAAGGTACCACGTTCATCTGTACAAACAATAGTATGCAAGTATAAACACAATGGGACCACGCAGCCGTCGTACCACTCAGGAGCGTTCTGTCTCCTAGAGATTAACGTACTTTGGTGCGAAAAGTCCAAATCAATCCCAGAACAACAGCAAAGGACCTTGTGAAGATGCTGGAGGAAACAGGTACAACAGTATCTATATCCACAGTAAAACGAGTCCTATATCGACATAACATGATAGGCCGCTCAGCAAGGAAGAAGCCACTGCTCAAAAACCGCCATAAAAAAAGCCAGACTACGGTTTGCAACTGCACATGGGGATAAAGATCGTACTTTTTGGAGAAATGTCCTCCGGTCTGATGAAACAAAAATAGAACTGTTTGGCCATAATGACCATCGTTATGTTTGGAGGAAAAAGGGGAAGGCTTGCAAGCCGAAGAACACCATCCCAACCGTGAAGCACGGGGGTGGCAGCATCATGCTGTGGGGGTGCTTTGCTGCAGGAGGGACTGGTGCACTTCACAAAATAGATGGCATCATGAGGAAGATTATGTATATTGAAGCCAAATCTCAAGACATCAGTCAGGAAGTTAAAGCTTGGTCGCAAATGGGTCTTCCAAATCGACAATGACCCCAAGCATTCTTCCAAAGTTGTGGCAAAATGGCTTAAGGACAACAAAGTCAAGGTATTGGAGTGGCCATCACAAAGCCCTGACCTCAATCCTATAGAAAATGTGTAGGCAGAACTGAAGAAGCGAGCAAAGAGGCCTACAAACCTGAATCAGTTACACCAGCTCTGTCAGGAGGATTGGGCCAAAATACCCCCCCAACTTATTGTGGGAAGCTTGTGGAAGGATACCTAAAACGTTTGACCCAAGTTAAACAATTTAAAGGCAATGCTACGAAATACTAATTGAGTGTATGTAAACATCTGAGCCACTGGGAATGTGATGAAAGAAATAAAAGCAGAAATAAATAATTATCTCTACTATTATTCTGACATTTCACATTCTTAAAATAAAATGGTGATCCTAACTGACCTAAGACCGGGAATTTTTACTAGGATGAAATGTCAGGAATTGTGAAAAACTGAGTTTAAATGTATTTGGCTAAGGTGTATGTAAACTTCCGACTTCAACTGTAAGTGGTTCAGTGAACTTAAAAAATAAATAAAAAATCAGTTATGTACTATTTTGGTTTGTTGGGGTGTTTCAGGTCTCTCAACATCAGTCTGGGAAACTGAGCTGCCTCCCGAAGTTGACCTTCAGCTAACAGTCTTGTGCTGTCATGAGGAGACCAGTGTCCAGGCAACTGGCTTGGGCTTTTCCCCAGCTCTGTTAAATGGAAGGCCCTGCTTTGATGCACGGAGGCGATTTCAAGGACGGAACTCTGTTACAGGAATAGTTCAAACCCAGCTGGTTAGAAAAGCTCATAGGACCAACCCAGACCTTTAGCTCCGGTAACAGTGGAGTTCTCTTTCTGTCTGCCATAGCAAGGTCACCTCTCTGTCTCTACACACAACACACACACAACACCTCTAACACAGAGAGCAGGTGAATATTTTAACACTACACATCTCCCTCTTCTCTCTCTCCTTCTCTCTGCTCTCTCACTCAGTCTCTCTCTCCCCTAGCCCCTTGCCCTAGCCTAGACACTCCAACACATGATAAATTATCCAGGAGAGGGGGGTCAGAGCGGACAGTTTCTCTTTCTCCCTCTCATCTCTATTTCTCTCTCTCTCCTGAGAGTAGCTGATTACAGTTCGCTCCAAGGGCTAAGTGGGCCTGATACATGTAGATAGGCTGGAAGGAGGAGGGGGGAGAAATAGGGGAGGAATTGGAGGAAGGGATTCTCTCACCAATAAGCAGACCCCCCCCCCCACACACACACACACACACAGACTATTTTAGTGTGTACTGTATGTTATATAGTGTGCCGATTCCACGTGATCTTCCACGTCATCCCCCCACATTTGCAGTTTGTACACTGTGTAATATGAGAGTATTGTCAATCATATGGAGAGACGTAGTGGTTGTCCCGTGTAGCTCAGTTGATAGAGCATGGCGCTTGCAACGCCAGTGTTGTGGGTTCGTTTCCCACGGGGGGCCAGTATGAAAATGTATGCACTCACTAACTGTAAGTCGCTCTGGATAAGAGCGTCTGCTAAAATGACTAAAATTAAAGGAGAGAAATGGAGAGGGAGGTAGAGAGAGCTCTGAACACTAACCCCTAGACATGGTTGTTATCATCAGGGGAAACCGATTGTAAAATTGATTTTAAAACTACCCCCCAATTTTTTATTGATATCCAATCTCAACTCCCCAACGGGCTCAGGAGAAGCAAAGGTCGAGTCATGCATCCTCTGAAACATGACCCACCAAACCGCGCTTCTTAATACCCGCCCGTTTAACCCTGGAAGCCAGCTGCACCAATGTGCCGGAGGAAACACTGTTCAACTGATGACCAAAGGCAGCCTGCAGGCACCCGGTCTGTCACAAGGAGTCGCTAGAGCGCGATGAGCCAAGTAAAGCCCCGTGGCCAAACCCTCCCCTAACCCAGACGACACTGGGCCAATTGTGCACCGCCCTATGGGACTCCCGTTCACAGCCGGTTGTGACACAGCCTGGGATCAAACCCGGGTCTGTAGTGATGCCTCAAGCACTGTGATGCAGTGCCTTAGACCGCTGCGCCACTTGGGTGACTATCCCCGATTGTAACCCAATCTTAACACTAACCTCAAATTAAGACTTAAACGCTAATATTCTTGTTCTTGAATATTCACAGTATAGCAAATGTTGATAGAACAAACAGAAGTTGATGCTGGATAATGAACAATGCCAAAAAAGCCTTTGTGCAAAAAACTTCCAGAAGTAATTAATGTAGTGGAAACATTTGAAAGCCTTTATTTTCTACGGTTTATGCATAGCAAGAATAAAATGTTTGACTTAACCTAATTGGATATTTTCTACCATAGTTTCTGTATATCCCGTGAGCCAGAGCCTCTATGCTTCCAAAGACAAACAGCAGTCTAAATATCAGTAACAGTCTACAGGTCCAACAGCCTCATGGAACCCTGGATATTCCTCACAGTCAAGCATCAACAATCTCCCCTCCTCTCTTCCCTCTTTCTCTCTTCTACTCTGTTCTTGTCCTCAGTGGGAGAGGAGTCCCAGAGAGCATAATCAGCAGTCCTGCTGGGATTTCACTCATAATCAGAACATCACACACACACGCACACGCACACACACACAGGGTTTTATTCAAATTAATTCCGAACCATGGACAGGGACGCTGAAGCTATACCAGTAGAGCTGAGCTGCAGCTAAACCAACTACAGTAGGTCTACAACAGTTGTAACTGTAACCTACACAGCTACAACAGTAGAGATGTATTCAATCCAACTACAGTCTGATATTTAAACCTCACCCAGGTTTCAAAGCAATGTTTCTTTGACAATGGTGTAGCATGCATTTGAGCCTTATCACTCCAAATATATCTTATATCTTACAGCCTGATCCCCCATGGGCCTACTCGAGTTGCCATTGATGTTGGCACACACACACACAATGTAAAAAATAATCTAGTGTTTTCAACTAATTATTATTAAGTAACTGATTCCACAGCCTTTTTTTAGTTTACTCAACTTTTTGGTCCAAGTGTTACCAAAAAATAATAAACGTTTGACCAAAAACAGCTTCTGAACATCAGAACAGTGATCATGAACCTCGATTTGGATGAAGATTTCTACTTCAACGAGTCAGCAGCTGTGGATGTACTGCTCATTCCAGACCAGGCCCTAATCTCTGGGACTTGAAAGAGGAAGAGACGGCGCAAGACGAGCGGTCTCCCTGACGAGACTACGTCGGTGAGTAAATAAACCGCCTCCACCCTCCGTTCTATTGGCGAAACATATAATAACTAGAGAACAAACTGGACGAGCTCCGTTCAAGACTATCCTATCAACGGGACCTGAAGAACTGTAATATCCTATGTTTCTCTGAATCGTGGCTGAACAAGGACATGCCGACTGGGCACACACTGGTTGAATCAACGTTGTTTCCACATCAACACCATAGTACCCTCCAAGCTCATCATTAAGCTCAAGGCCTTGGGTCTGATCCCCACCCTGTGCAACTGGGTCCTGGACAACACCTCCACTTTGCTGATCCTCAACACTGGGGCCCCACAAGGGTGCATGCTCAGACCACTCCTGTACTCCCTGTTCACCCATGACTGCGTGGCCAAGCACGCCTCCAACTCAATCACCAAGTATGCAGATGACACAACAGTAGTAGGCTTGATTACCAACAATGACGAGACAGCCTACAGGGAGGAGTTGAGGGCTCTGGGAGTGTTGTGCCAGGAAAATAACCTCTCACTCAACGTCAACAAAACAAAGGAGATGATCGTGGACTTCAGGAAACAGCAGAGGGTGCACCCCCCTATCGACATCAACAGGACCACAGTGGAGAAGGTGGAAAGCTTCAAGTTCCTTGGCCTACACATCACTGACAACCTGAAATGGTCCACCCACACAGACAGTGTGGTGAAGAAGCCAGGAGGCTGAAGAAATTTGGCTTGGCACCTAAAACCCTCACAAACTTTTACAGATGCACAATTGAGAGCATCCTGTCGGCCTGTTTCACCGCCTGGTACGGCAACTGCACCACCCGCAACCGCAGGGCTCTCCAGAGGGTGGTGCGGTCTGCCGAACGCATTACCTGGGGCAAACTACCCACCCTCCAGCACACCTACAGCACCCGATGTCACAGGAAGGCCAAAAAGATCATCAAGGACATCAACCACCCGAGCCACTGCTGGGCCAACTGTGCGCCGCCCCATGGGTCTCCCGGTCACGGCCGGCTATGACAGAGCCTGGATTCGAACCAGGATCTCTAGTGGCCTTAGACCACTGCGCCACTCGGGAGACTATCTCAAGGCCATCAGACTGTTAAATAGCCATCACTACCACATTAGAGGCATCTGCCTATAGAAATAGACTAGAAATCACTGGCCACTTTAAGAAATGGAACACTAGTCACTTTAATAATGTTTACATAGCTTGCATTACTCATCTCATATGTACGTATATAATGTATTCTATAATATTCTACTGTATCTTAGTCCATGCCGCTCTGTCATTGCTCGTCCATATCAAGTAAGGAAAAAAAATCACATTGTAGGATTTTTAATGAATTTATTTGCTAATTATGGTGGAAAATAAGTATTTGGTCACCTACAAACAAGCAAGATTTCTGGCTCTCACAGACCTGTAACTTCTTCTTTAAGAGGCTCCTCTGTCCTCCACTCGTTACCTGTTTTAATGGCACCTGTTTGAACTTGTTATCAGTTTAAAAGACACCTGTCCACAGCCTCAAACAGTCACACTCCAAACTCCACTATGGCCAAGACCAAAGAGCTGTCAAAGGACACCAGAAACAAAATTGTAGACCTGCACCAGGCTGGGAAGACTGAATCTGCAATAGGTAAGCAGCTTGGTTTGAAGAAATCAACTGTGGGAGCAATTATTAGGAAATGGAAGACATACAAGACCACTGATAATCTCCCTCGATCTGGGGCTCCACGCAAGATCTCACCCCGTGGGGTCAAAATGATCACAAGAACGGTGAGCAAAAATCCCAGAACCTCACGGGGGGACCTAGTGAATGACCTGCAGAGAGCTGGGACCAAAGTAACAAAGCCTACCATCAGTAACACACTACGCCGCCAGGGACTCAAATCCTGCAGTGCCAGACGTGTCCCCCTGCTTAAGCCAGTACATGTCCAGGCCCGTCTGAAGTTTGCTAGAGTGCATTTGGATGATCCAGAAGAGGATTGGGAGAATGTCATATGGTCAGATGAAACCAAAATATAACTTTTTGGTAAAAACTCAACTCGTCGTGTTTGGAGGACAAAGAATGCTGAGTTGCATCCAAAGAACACCATACCTATTGTGAAGCATGGGGGTGGAAACATCATGCTTTGGGGCTGTTTTTCTGCAAAGGGACCAGGACGACTGATCCGTGTAAAGGAAATAATGAATGGGGCCATGTATTGTGAGATTTTGAGTGAAAACCTCCTTCCATCAGCAAGGGCATTGAAGATTAAACATGGCTGGGTCTTTCAGCATGACAATGATCCCAAACACACCGCCCGGGCAACGAAGGAGTGGCTTCGTAAGAAGCATTTCAAGGTCCTGGAGTGGCCTAGCCAGTCTCCAGATCTCAACCCCATAGAAAATCTTTGGAGGGAGTTGAAAGTCCGTGTTGCCCAGCGACAGCCCCAAAACATCACTGCTCTAGAGATCTGCATGGAGGAATGGGCCAAAATACCAGAAACAGTGTGTGAAAACCTTGTGAAGACTTACAGAAAACATTTGACCTGTGTCATTGCCAACAAAGGGTATATAACAAAGTATTGAGAAACTTTTGTTATTGACCAAATACTTATTTTCCACCATAATTTGCAAATAAATTCATTAAAAATCCTACAATGTGATTTTCTGGATTTTTTTTCTCATTTTGTCTGTCATAGTTGACGTGTACCTATGATGAAAATTACAGGCCTCTCTCATCTTTTTAAGTGGGAGAACTTGCACAATTGGTGGCTGAATAAATACTTTTTTTCCCCACTGTATGTATATATTCTTAATTCCATTCCTTACTTAGATTGTGTGTATTGGGTATATGTTGTGAAATTGTTAGATATTACTTGTTAGATATTAATGCACTGTCGGAGATAGAAGCACAAGCATTTCACTACACCCGCAATAACATCTGCTAAACACGTGTATGTGACAAATAAAAATTGCTTTGATTTGATTTGATTTCAATGAAATTACATAGAACCAACGTGGACTAGACGTTGAATTGACATCTGTGCCCATTGGTTGGATAATACAGTGCCTTCAAAAGTATTCACACCCTTTGACCTTTTCCACATTTTGTTGTGTTACAAACTGAATTTAAAATGGATTAAATTGAGATGTTGTGTCACTGGCCTACACACAATACCCCATAAAGTGGAATTATGTTCTTTTAGATTTTTACAAATTAATAAAAAATTAAAAGCTGAAATGTCTTGAGACAATAAGTATTCAACCCCTTTGTTATGGCAAGCCTAAATAAATTTAGGAGTAAAGTTTTTCTTAACAAGTCACATAATAAGTTTCATGGACTCAGTCTGTGTGCAATAATAGTGCTTAACATGATTTTTGAATGACTACCCCACACATATAATTATCAGTAAGGTCCCTCATTCGAGCAGTTCATTTCAAACACAGATTCAACTAAAAAGACGGTTTTCCAATGCCTTGCAAAGAAGGGCACCTATTGGTAGATGGGTAAATATAACAAAAGAAGACATTGAATATCCCTTTGAGCATGGTGAAGTTATTAATTACACTTTGGATGGTGTATCAATACACCCAGTCACGACAAAGATACAGGCGTCCTTCCTAACTCAGTTGACGGAGAAGAAGGAAACCGCTCAGGGATTTCACCATGAGGCCAATGGTGACTTTAAAAGGGGTCTAATGGCTGTCATAAGAGAAAACTGAGGATGGATCAACAACATTGTAGTTACTCCACAATCCTAACATATATGACAGAGTGAAAAGAAGGAAGCTTGTACAGAATAAAAATATTCCAAAACATGCATCCTGTTAGCAAGGCACTAAAGTAAAACTGTAAAAAATGTAGGTCCTAAAGCGTTATGTTTGAGGCAAATCCAACAACACATCAATGCGTATCACTATTCATATTTTGAAGCATGGTGGTGGCTGCATCATGTTATGGGTATGCTTGTCTTCGGCAAGGACTAGGGAGTTTTTTTATGATAAAAATAAACGGAATAGAGCTAAGCACTGGCAAAATCCTAGAGGAAAACCTGGTTCAGTCAATTCAATAAATGTTAATCCCACTTTGTAACACAACAAAATGTGGAAAAAGTGAAGGGGTGTGAATACTTTCTGAAGGCACTTTATAGCCACATTATCGTTACTCATTGTGTATTTTATTCCTTGTGTTAATATTTTTCTATTATTTCTATTTTTTCACTCTCTGCATTGTTGGGAAGAGCTCAGAAGTAAGCATTTCACTGCTAATCTACACCTGTTGTTTACGAAGCATGTGACACAAAAATCTGATTTGACTATTTTATTTGACATAGGCAAAAATTCAGTCAACTTAAAATGATGTGGTTGCTCAAATTGTCTCATATGTTCATTCAACTACAAATTATTATTTGGAAATTATGACTTACCTTAAAAAAGGCTGTGGAACTAGTTACACACACACGCCGTGCTTTTAACATACAATGTTTTCAATTTACATATTTGACACACATGATTACATTGTGCATGTTCAATTATACAGTAATTAATAGTGATGTTACGTTTGATACCGGATACTCCATGCGTCAAAATCGCTAAGCATCTAACTCCGAAGCAGTGTGCCGATGCGTGTATAAGCTTCGTTTGATCACATGCTTTTTCAAACCATGTGTTCCAAACTGAGAGATCCCACAGATTTTCGCCGTGGTTCTGGTGCTTTCTTCGATTCCAAGCTACTTTCAACCGCGGACCTCTACTGGACTCCGTACTTACAAATATTCTCAACATGTCTTCACCTGGGATTTGAACTCACAACCTCTTGGTTCACAGCATTCCAATCTTCCTGCTAAGCCACCATGTCTGCGTCAATTAGTGATTTCACCTGTATTACTACACTTTGCACTTCAAAGTACATCTCAACTCTGTTAAAAGTACACTCAAGAAAAACGATTGTATTTATCATAGTGATTAAGGAGTAACATTAAATATGCCCCACAAACATTAGACAACTATCCAATAAAACCTACAATTGCTTAAATAAGTAAATCAAATCAATGATGAGAGAATAGTCAGATTAACTGATAATTGAAACAGACATGGTGGAGTAGCAGGAAGCTCGGAATGCCATGAACCATCAGGTTCAAATCGGGGGAGAAAAACTGCCCACTCTCATTGAAGCCATGGAAATTCCTGCAGTACCGCAGTCGGCCTTCAACTTCCGTGGCTTCAATGAGAGGGGGCAGTCGTTCTCCCCTGATGTAACTAGTTCCACAGCTTTTTTTAGGTAAGATGGACAAATAATAATTTCTACTTGAATAAACATGAGACAAGTTGAGCAAAAACATAATTTTAAGTTAACTGAATTTTTGCCTACGTTTTCTCAAGTTGGAGCAAAATTTGGGCCAACTAATTTATTTTAAAACTTCAGTTAATATCCCACCGTTTACTTGATTAAATCACTGAACACAACAGGCGCCTATTAGAGACAGGCTTCTATTTGAGACAGGCATCTATTTTCTTAATGCACACAGCTTTTACTAATTTGCATATTTAATTGTTAAATTCCAGCATTCACTTCCAATATTTTAATCAATTTCTTCATTTCCTGCACTAATGTATTATCATTTACACACTGTGTCACGTTTATTTTGTCTTAGGATGCCTCTATAAAATAATATATTTTTAAAGACTGTGCATTTTCAGCAGTTTTTACTTTCGCCACTAGAGGGCGATCAGCCGATTTCTGGGGGTCTGTACTTCCGAAGTTGTTGACTGTTCTTGTGCTTGCCAGTTTGCTAGCTGTTCTCAGCAGAAGGAAATGGCAAGAATAAGGGCTGTCCAGAATGTCTCCTATCCAGAGGCGTTGAGAAGAGTGGAAGAAAGGAGTGAAGTTGAAGAAATAATGGTAGTAGGAGTTGAGACACAAGATGATATTCCTTGTCAACAGAGGGATCCTGACATGTTGCATATTAAGAAGGTGGACTTTGTTACTTTGGTTATCAACTGCACAGCGCAAACGGAGAGGAAATCGAAGAAAATAGGCATCATTGTGAGTGCGGCTGAGCGTTTTTTGGGAATAAGGGATTTTTCTGCAGAGGCATTATAAGGAATCCTGTCGATGAATGCTCAGTCCAGATGTGATTTCAATGTGACTGAAGGAGTGGGATGGTTGTTTGATTTATTTTTGTATTACAGTGTGTCGGGTCCCCCCCCCCCCATTGAATATTTTTTTGTTTCAATACCCCTTTATAGTAGGTGGCGGCAATACACCAACAGGTGTAGTCTGCCATAACAATGTAAAGAAGAAGAAGAAGAAGAAGAAGATGGCTAGCAGTTTCTTACTGGCGTTAAAAACGGATGATTGCCATAATTTTTCGAGTCATTACTGAATTATGTAATGTAACAAATCAAACATTGAAGCTCAAACAATTCATGGTAACCTCCTAAACAATTCATTTAGACCCGGCGTTTATTTGAAAGGGTTTTTATTTGCTGAAATGTGTGCTATTGCCTGGCTATTATAAAAAGGAACAGGTGGCTATTTGAGACTCAGCGTTTATTTGAAGTTTGATGTAAACAAAACAAAAAAAGTCTGTGGAACCAGTTACTTAATAATTAGTTGAAACAACTCGTTTTTTATGGTTTACAGGGCACACACATACTTTATCACATTCGCGTTGATAAAGGATAGTAAATGGACTCACTCTGATTGATTGGCGAGAGCCAGCGAGCGGCAGAGAGTGGTAGGAGTGAGGGGAGCTAGGGGAACCAGGGGAATCAGTGTGCGGCAGCCCGGGCTGGACCTGCCGTCCTCACCCTTTCCCGGGCTGGCCTCGCTTTGGGGAGGGCTCGGTGACTGTGGTTGGGGTTGGGCCGGTACCAGCTGCATGTCCTCCGGATTGGCGGGTTGAGGAGGTGGTTTTTCTTGGTCCGGGTGGATCTCAGGCAGAGGCTGGGCAGGCAGAGACCCGGTGTCATGAGGTTGTGTGTCTGGATGTTGGTGCTGAGGATGATGATGAAGGTTCAGGTTGGAGTCCGGGTGATGATGATAATGATGTTGTACTCCTCTTGCCTCGCGCAGATTCCTGTTCTCCCCGAGCAGCTCATCCACGCGCCGGTCCAGTTCGTCAATGCGCAGGCGCTGTGTCTGGATGAGGCTCTGCTGGTTCTGAACTATAGTGGTCAGTTCTCTAAGGTACAGAATCGCCTGGACCGGGTTCTCTAGCAGGCTGGTCCCCTGCACAGCCATGACCAGAGAGAGATAGAGCGAAGGAGAGAGAGATTGAGATTATCGAGTGTAGCCTAGAGGAGAGGTAAATTTCTCCTCTCTTCTCATTTGCTTTTTATTCCTCCATTAGTCTCTCCCTTCGTTGTCCTCTTCTCTTCTGTTCTTAATCCTCTGTTCTGTTCTGAGAGAGATGATCGGGTGTAGAGAAGAGACAGCTAAATAGGCTATTCCGTTTCAAAAGGAAAAAAGCGAGAGAGAAACAGACGGAAAAAAATAGATATGATGATCAGATGTAGAGGTACAAATTCCCGTCTTCCCGTGATGAGATTCTCCTCTCATCCCTCCTTGCGGCCACCGATACCGCTGTGCTGCTGATTGCTGCTGCAGGTGACAGGTTTCAGATCCAGATGCGACGCAAGACGAGTTGGGCGGGGGCGTGGGGCGTCATCACACATGAATGCGCACGCGCGTACACGCTCTGTATCTGAGTTATTTACTGAATTTCAGAATTATGCAACACATGCTCTGTCTGTGTACTATAGCCCTTCACACACGCAAGCACTCACGCGCACCCACAAACACACAAACACACACACACACACACAGAGGGAACCCAAATGTATGTTTATTTATTTTCCCTTTGTACTTGAACTATTTGCGCATCATTATAACACTGTACATAGCCATAATATGATATTTGAAATGTGTATATTCCTTTGAAACTTGCGAGTGTAATTTGATTGTTTATTTCACTTCTGTTTGTTATCTATTTCACTTGCTTTGGCAATGTTAACATATGTTTCCCATGCCAATAAAGCCCTTTGAATTGAATTGAATTGTATTGAATTGAGAGAGAGCGAGCGAGCGAGCGAGCAGGCGAGAGAGAGATCTGTATGTGGTTGTCTGTAGCTGTGTCTGTCTCTAGGTCATCATTGGAAGGCCTAATGGTTGAAATAGGTCACCTGGACAAAGTTGTAAAATAAAGGCAGAATGAAATCAAACTGGTGTTTGTAATCCAGCGCTATGTTGTTGCTATGGTAACCAAGTACTGACTGTTGTCATGGTTACCCCCTACTGACTGCGCTGTTGCCATGTGGCTGCTTGATTACAGTTATATTTTATTTTATTTTATTTCACCTTTATTTAACCAGGTAAGCCAGTTGAGAACAAGTTCTCATTTACAACTGCGACCTGGCCAAGATAAAGCAAAGCAGTGCGATAAAAACAGCAACAACACAGACTTACATATGGAATAAACAAAAACAAAACGTACAGTCAATAACACAATAGAAAATCTATATACAGTGTGTGCAAATGTAGTAAGTTATGGAGGTAAGGCAATAAATAGGCCATAGTGCAAAATAATTACAAGTTAGTATTAACACTGGAGTGATAGATGTGCAGAAGATGAAGTGCAAAAAGAGATACTTGGGTGCAAATTAGCAAAATAAATAACAATATGGGGATGAGGTAATTGGGTGGGCTAATTACAGATGGGCTGTGTACAGGTGCAGTGATCAGTAAGCTGCTCTGACAACTGATGCTTAAAGTTAGTGAGGGAGATAAGAGTCTCCAGCTTCAGAGATTTTTGCAGTTCGTTCCAGTCATTTGCAGCAGAGAACTGGAAGGAATGGCGGCCAAAGGAGGTGTTGGCTTTGGGGATGACCAGTGAGATATACCTGCTGGAACCCAAACTACGGGTGGGTGTTGCTATGGTGACCAATGATCTAAGATAAGGCAGGGATTTGCCTAGAAGTGATTTATAGATGACCTGGAGCCAGTGGGTTTGGTGATGAATATGTAGTGAGGGCCAGCCAACGAGAGCGTACAGGTCACAATGGTGGGTAGTATATGGGGCTTTGGTGACAAAACGGATGGCACTGTGATAGACTACATCCAATTTGCTGAGTAGAGTGTTGGAAGCTATTTTGTAAATGACATCGCCGAAGTCAAGGATCGGTAGGATAGTCTGTTTTACAAGGGCATGTTTAGCAGCATGAGTGAAGGAGGCTTTGTTGCGAAATAGGAAGCCGATTCTAGATTTAACTTTGGATTGGAGATGCTTAATGTGAGTCTGGAAGGAGAGTTTACGGTCTAACCAGACACCTAGGTATTTGTAGTTGTCCACATATTCTAAGTCAGACCCGCCGAGAGTAGTGATTCTAGTTGGTCGGGCGGGTGCAAGCAGCGTTCGATTGAAGAGCATGCATTTAGTTTTACTAGCGTTTAAGAGCAGTTGGAGGCCACGGAAGGAGTGTTGTATGACATTGAAGCTCATTTGGAGGTTTGTTAACACAGTGTCCAATGAAGGGCCAGATGTATACAAAATGGTGTCGTCTGCGTAGAGGTGGATCTGAGAGTCACCAGCAGCAAGAGCGACATCATTGATATACACAGAGAATAGAGTCGGCCCGAGAATCGAACCCCCATAGAGACTGCCAGAGGTCCAGACAACAGGCCCTCCGATTTGACACATTGAACTCTATCTGAAAAGTAGTTGGTGAACCAGGCGAGGCAGTCATTTGAGAAACCAAGGCTATTTAGTCTGCCAATAAGAATGCAGTGATTGACAGAGTCAAAAGCCATGGCCAGGTCGATGAAGACGGCTGCATAGTACAGAGTTAGTGCTACAGGATGCAAATTTCTGTTTGAAAAAGCTAGCCTTTGCTTTCCTAACTGATTATGTATATTGGTTCCTGACTTCCCTGAAAAGTTGCATATCGCGGGGGCTGTTCGATGCTAATGCAGTACGCCACAGGATGTTTTTGTGCTGGCCAAGGGCAGTCAAGTCTAGGGTGAACCAGGGGCTATATCTGTTCTTAATTCTGAATTTTTTGAATGGGGCATGCTTATTTAAGATGGAGAGGAAAGCACTTTTGAAGAACATCCAGGCATCCTCTACTGACGGAATGAGGTCAATATCCATCCAGGATACTCGGGCCAGGTCAATTAGAAAGGCCTGCTCGCTGAAGTGTTTTAGGGAGCGTTTGACAGTGATGAGGGGTGGTCGTTTGACCACGGACCCATTACGGACGCAGGCAATGAGGCAGTGATCGCTGAAATCCTGGTTGAAGACAGCGGAGCTGTATTTAGAGGGTAAATTAGTCGGGATGATATCTATGAGGGTGCCCATGTTTACGGATTTAGGGTTGTACCTGGTAGGTTCCTTGATAATTTGTGTGAGATTGAGGGCATCTAGTTTAGATTGTAGGACGGCCGGGGTTTTAAGCATATCCCAGTTTAGGTCACCAAGCAGTACGAACTCTGAGGATAGATGGGGGGGTAAGCAATTCACATATGGTGTCCAGGGCACAACTGGGGGCTGAGGGGGGTCTGTAGCAAGCGGCAACAATGAGAGACTTATTTCTGGAAAGGTGGATTTTTAGAAGTAGGAGCTCAAACTGTTTGGGCACAGACCTGGATAGTATGATAGAGCTCTGCAGGCTCTCTACAGTAGATTGCAACTCCGCCCCCTTTGGCAGTTCTATCTAGACGGAAAATGTTGTAGTTCAGAATGGACATTTCTGAATTTTTGGTGGCCTTCCTAAGCCAAGATTCAGACACTGCTAGATCATCAGGGTTGGCAGAGTGTGCTAACGCAGTGAATAACTCAAACTTGGGGAGGAGACTTCTGATGTTAACATACAAGAAACCAAGGCTTTTACGGTTACAGAAGTCAACAAATGATAGCGCCTGGGGGGTAGGAGTGATACTGGGGGCTACAGGACCTGGGTTAACCTCTACATCACCAGAGGAACAGAGGAGGAATAGAATAAGGATACGGCTAAAGGCTTTAAGAACTGGTCTTCTAGTGCGTTGGGTACAGAGAAAGGGGACAGATTTCCGGGCGTTGTAGAATAGATTCAGGGCATTGTGTACAGACAAGGATACGGAAGTATATGAGTACAGTGGAGGTACACCTAAGCATTGGGTAACTATGAAAGAGATAGCATCACTGGAGGTACCGATTGAGCCGGTCTCCGCGTGTATGGGGGGTGGGACAAAGGAGCTCTCTGAGGCTGGTTGAGCTGAACTTGGGGCTCTAAATTGTATAATAAGATCTAACCCAAACAGCAATAGGCTAGGCATATTGACATGGGAGAGAGGCATAATGCAATCACAGGTGTTATTAGAGAGGGCTAAGACAACAACTGGTAATGGCGACGAAAGTTTGGGCTGAGGCTAAACAGATAAACAGGATGGGGTACCGTGTAAAGGAACAGTCCAGCAGGCATTAGCTGTGTAGCTGAGTGATCATAAGGTCCAGTGAACAGCACTAAGTAAGTTCGGGAGCAGATCGTAGGCTGCTAAAGCACAGGAGAGCAGGAGGCACGGCTGTTGATTGCGCGTGCTAGCGGGCCGGGGCTAGCAGATGGATCTTTGTGGTCGTCGCAACGGGAAGCCTGTTGAAACCACATCAGACGATTACGTCGGCAGACCAGACGTGATGGATCGGCGGGGCTCCGTGTCGACACTAGGAGGTCCCGTCCGGTTGACAGAGAGGTAGATAGCCGGGAGATGGGCTCGAAGCTAGCTCAAGGCTAACTGGTACGTCGGGAAGTGGATATTAGCTAGGGTGACCATACGTCCTCTTTTTCCCGGACATGTCCTCTTTTTGGACCTAAAAAAATGCGTCCAGCCGGGATTTCTAAATCGCCCAAAATGTCCGGGATTCGGCTTTTGCTTTCTACAGTCGCCATTCATTGTGTGCGTTTTTGGGGTTTTGCATTGCTCTTTAGGTCCCGCCTTCTCACACGCCACCATTGGTCGGTCATGTAGGCCTACGCAAACATTGGTCAAACTGCATCTCAATCATTACCCTCACTATGGCAACAGCCAAGAGACAGAGCAGCAGCTTGCTTGTCAACAGTGGCACATGGCTCCAGAACAGCGTAAAAATGCCCAAACGCAAATGTAAATTCACAGATAATTTACAGAGAAAATTCCCGTGTTTTCATCTTGGTCGGGATCCGTGTGAAGCAGAATGCATGACCTGCAAAGCTGGCACGTACGTGTCAGTGTCAAATAAAGGTGCTAGCGACCTAGAAGCCCACATTAGCTCCGCAAAACACAAAATTGCAGCTAAAGGAGAGAGTTTGTCAGGTAAATTAACTGACTATTTTGTGAGAGCAGGTAAAACAGAAGATGCTGTTACTGCTGCGGAGGGAGTTTTTGCATTCCACACCATGAAGCATCACAATAGCTACAGATCAATGGACTGCACGTCTGCCTTGTTAAAAAAGGCTTTCCCTGATTCCGAGACTGCGCGAAAATGTGGTGTTTCTACTGATGGGAGCAATCACGGTGCTGTGAAAATATTCCCTCTGCTTATTCAGTATTTTGATTGGAAGAATGGTGGCGTGCAAAGTAAATTAGTCGAAGTTAAAAACACTCCAAATGAGACAGCTGATACGATCGCGCAATACATCAAAGAAACACTGGAAAATAATGGGATTTTTTCCAAATGTATTGCATTAACAGGTGACAACTGCAATACAATGTTCGGGGGAACCCGGCGTGATGAAGAAGGAAAGAATGTTTTCGCAAACTTAAAAAAGTCATTGCAGAACAATTCTTTAATCGGTGTGGGCTGCCCAGCACACGTCTTGAACAATTGTGTTCATTACGGGGCAGACACACTAGATGTCGATATTGAGAACATCATCTTCAAAATATGTCAAAACTTTCACATCTACACTGTGCGCACAGAGAATCTGAAGGAGTACTGTGAATTTGTTGATGTTGAATACAGAAGTATCCTTTCTCACAGCAAGACGCGATGGCTGTCATTATTCCCAGGTATTGAGAGGCTGCTACAGATGTTTCCAGCCTTGAAAGCATTATTTTTGTCACAGGAAAAAACGCCCTCCTTGATCAAGAAGTGTTTTGAAGATGAGTTCAGTGAAATTTACCTCTGGCACATGCACTCACTCATGTGTGTGTTTCATTCACACATTTAGGAGATGGAAAGGGAGAGCAATTCAATTGTGGAAGTGAAGAACCTTTTGAACAAAGTCCACACCATGCTTCTTGAACGCAAGACCAATAACTTCATGTCCCTTAAAGTTAAGGGACTATTGGCACAAAAGAACAAGGATGGACTTGGTAAGAATTGTGACCATTTCAGCTCAAGTACAACGTCTGTACAGTTCATGCCTGCAGTATCTGGAGAAATGGATGGCACCCATGGAGGAGTTCTCCTCTTTCATGTGGATGGATCTGAGTGAGACACCTGACTGGAATGACATAGAAGCCTGTATCAAACACCTGGGAGAAAAGGGGTTGCCAATTGATGATGCAAAGTGCTTTGATCAGGTCACCAACCTGAAGAAATTCACAGAAAGGTGTAACAGTGATGGAGAGTTCAGTAATCTGCAAGCACCCAATAATTATTTTGAAAGGTCCAAAAGCATAGATTTTCATTCAGAGCTACTGAAGATTGCACAGTTTTTATTTGCTATTCCTTCTCACAATGCAAATGTAGAGAGAGTTTTTTCACTGATGCAAAGTCAGTGGACAAAGGAAAGGAATCACTTGTCTGTTGAGTCACTGAAGGGGCTTCTGTGTACACAATACAACTTTAAAAACATGTCTTGCCTACTTGATTGGTAATTAAGGACTGTTGGGAAAGATTCGATCTTCGGGAAAGTATACCAGAGAGCATCAGGAGGACTGACATTATTTTTGACTGAAATTGTGGATTTTTTTATGACAACTGTTTTTTTTTACCTATGGCCATGAAAAGAAACAGTGTCATGTAAAAGGTGTTAAAAGCTAAACCATTTTTTATTTATTTGTTTGTTATTGTTCTATTGTTGAGGGCCAACAGTTGAATGGAAAGGATGTATTACTTTATGTATTAAAGTTCAATAACATAGTTGCATGGTTGTGAACGCATTTGTATTTACCACCCACTGCGGGTGTCCATCTGCCTCCCGCTCCCACTGTCCTCATTTTTGAAAACTAAAATATGGTCACCCTATATTAGCCAACAACAGCCATTCGGTTGCAGCTAGCTAGTTGCGATGGTCCGGTGTTAGGGTCCCGGGATTCAGTGATTCCGGCAGAAAATCCGATATGCTCTGGGTCAATAGCACGCTGTGCAGACTGGCCGATAATTGTCCAGGCTAGAGCTGGCTGGTAGGTAGTGTAGGCCACGGACAGTGGTGAAGACCGCTAACGGTGGCTAATAGCAAGTAGCTAGTTAGCTGGCTAGTTTCAGCCGTAGGTTCTTGATTAAATAAAGAAATAATAGAATCCATTCCACATTGGGTGAGGCGGGTTGCAGGAAAGTATATTTAGTTAAAGGATGGAAAGTGAGCTGGAGAAATATGTACGAATAAAATAAAAATAAAAAAATAAAAAGGCTATTTACACGAGGACACAACACAATACACGACCGCACTACTACACCATCTTGGAAACCACAATGCTAATTAGATGATGGTGATCTAGTGTAATAGCTACTGAATAGCGATGAGATATGATCAGCATATACCGGAGGGAGTATATATATTTTTCTCCCTCTTCTAGTTCTGACTGTGTTCCTCTGTGTCCTCCCAGCAACTCTGGGATTCCCCTTCTCTCTCTGTTCTTCTCTCAATCTCTCTCTTCGTCTCAGTCTCTCTCACTCTCTCTGTCCGTCTCTGTCTGCAGAGCTCAGTCAGTGTATTTGTCCATTCATGAAGTCCAGACTTTCCTACTGATAGTCTGTCCACTCAGTCCCTGTGGTTACTATATATATGTATATGTATATGTATATGTATGTGTGTGTTTGACCTGTCTCCTATCCTGTTGCTCATGATAATACTATTTCAGGTGTGTGTGTGCGTGTGTGTGTGTGTGTGTGTGTGTGTGTGTGTGTGTGTGTGTGTGTGTGTGCGCGTGCGCGTGCGCGTGCGCGTGCGCGTATGCGTGTGTGTGTGTGTGTGTGTGTGTGTGTGTGTGTGTGTGTGTGTGTGATGGGGAGTTGGGAGAGTGAAAGAGTCCTGTGTCCCTGATAGTTTCCATGGTGCAGCAGCAGACAAGATGAAAGACGAAAGGAGCACTTCTCTGTGAAATAACACTCACACGTGCCTATTCCCTTGCCAATCTTCCCTGCAATAATTATCTGTGACCCAGTCCTATCAACCCACACACATGGATAGATGGAAAGATCCCACATTCCATTTCTGGCACCAATGTAGTACACTAACAAATTTCTGTAAATTTACAGCAAAACTTGAACAGTTGGCTACTGTAATTCTATTTTACAGTACAGTACTGTAAAGAGCAATGCATTATGGGGGCACAATGGCATTCTGCTAAATTGTGTTGTAATAAAATTACAGCAATTGCTAACAGTGAATAAGTATTTATGTATTACAGCATACCAATGAATATTTTGTATTTTATATCAATTGCATTTGTAGAGGCCTTAATATAGGCTTCTAAACTGGCAGTGACTACAGGACAAAACAAATCAAAAGGACATGGCTAAACACTCAACCATTATATATATTTGTTATATATATTTGTTACAACCATTAGTGAGAATGCTGTACCCCACATAATACAGTATCATACTGTAATTTTGGAGCACCAAAAACCTTTCGTGGGTGCATGGTATTGTTGTAGCTTATTAACACATTTTGAATTGTGCCTTGTAAGAGGCTATACTTGTTGCACCCGCTAGTGAGAGTACTGTACCAATTTAAGTGGTACAGTTGAAGTCGGAAGTTTACATACACCTTAGCCAAATACATTTAAACTCAGTTTTTCACAATTCCTGATATTTAATCCTAGTAAAAATTCCCTGTTTTAGGTCAGTTAGGATCACCACTTTATTTTAAGAATGTGAAATGTCAGAATAATAGTAGAGAGAATGATTTATTTCTGCTTTTATTTCTTTCATCACATTCCCAGTGGGTCAGAAGTTTACATACTGTCACGGTTTCGGCCGAGGCTGCTCCTCCTCCTTGTTCGGGCAGGCTTCGGCGGTCGTCGTCCCCGGAGTACTAGCTATCACCGTTTGATGTTTTCGATGTCTGTTTGGTTTTGTCTGATTGTGTACACCTGTTTCCTGTTTGGTTGATTATGTCTCCTATAAGTTTCTCGTTTGGTTAGTCTTGTGTTGTGTGTTATTGTTCGCCTGTCATCAGGTCGGCTCGTTGTTTGTTTGTTGTTTTCCCTGTCGTCGCACTGTACTGTTTTCGTGCGCCTTGGAATACTAGCCTTTTGCGCATTGTTGCGCATCGTCCGCCTCTTGTTTGTTTTGAGGCCAGTGTTTTGTATATTTTTGGTCGTGTTCAGTAAAGTATTGGACTTAGCTTCTGTGTCTGCGTTTGACTCCTTCACCACATCTACATCAGCCGTTGTGACAGAATAACACACCACCATGGAGTCAGCAGAAGCAGCGGCGGCACCCAAGTCGCTGGAGGAACGGATCAGCCATCAAGACATGACTTGAGGCCGCCATGAACGAGGTGGCGAACACTCTGCACCGTTTGGTCACCAGAGAGGTGCCCACACCTCCGCACACCTTACCATCAACATCGACCAGTCCTCCTCTTCCAGCACCGGAACTCAGCGGTATTCGGCTCTCGCTCCCGAGGGCATATGATGGTACCGCAGCCGGATGTCAGGGGTTCCTCCTGCAGGTGGAACTCTACCTGGCCACCATACACCCGGCGCCCTCGGGATACGAGAGCGTCTCCGCCCTCATCTCCTGTCTCACCGGCAAGGCGTTAGAGTGGGCTAACGCCGAATGGAGGGGAATAGACGCCGCCACCATCACCTACGCGGAGTTCTCCCGCCGCTTCAGGGCCGTGTTTCGACCATCCACCAGAGGGGAAGGCGGCGGGGGAGCGTCTGTTCCACCTTCGACAGGGGAGGAGGAGCGCACAGGAGTTCGCCCTGGAGTTCCGGACTCTAGCAACGGATGCAGGGTGGAATGAGCGGGCCCTCATCGACCACTACCGATGTAGTCTACGGGAGGACGTCCGTCGAGAGTTGGCCTGCAGGGATTCCCATCTTACCTTCGACCAGCTGGTGGACATGTCCATCCGGCTTGACACCCTGCTGGCTACCCGCGGACGCACCGAGTGGGGGTCGTCCATTCCACCCTCCAGCACCTCCGAGCCGAGCCCTATGGAGCTCGGAGGTGCTGGCGCTAGAGAGAGGAGGAGGAGGAGCCCGAGGGGGGCTGTTCCCTGCACCGTGGCCGTGGAGGGCACACTGCGGCTCGGTGCTGGGGAGGGTCTCCTAGGGGAGAGGACGACAGGCCACGCACTGGGGAGTCATTCCAGGTGAGTAGGCGTCCCACTTACCCAGAGCTCTCTGTTGTGCATGTCTGTTTACCTGTACATTTTCCACAGGTTGCACCTCATTCCCAGCATAAGGCGCTAGTAGATTCAGGCGCAGCTGGGAATTTTGCTGATCGACATTTTTGTTTAAAACTAGGAATTCCCCTTCTTCCAGTCGACGCCCCATTTCCTGTCCATGCTTTAGACAGCCGTCCCTTGGGATCGGGGTTAATTAGGGAGGTCACAGCGCCACTTAGGATGAGGACGCAGGGGGGTCATGAGGAAACTATTCAGCTATATCTGATTGACTCTCCTGCGTATCCGGTGGTGTTGGGGCTTCCCTGGTTGATTACCCATAATCCTTCTATTTCGTGGCAACAGAGGGCTCTTAAGGAGTGGTCTGCCCAGTGTGTGGGGCGATGTCTAGGTGTTTCCGTGGGGGCGACCTCGGTGGAGAGTCCAAACCAGGTGCCTGCACTGCACATTCCCCCTGAGTATGAGGATTTGACAATCGTGTTCAGTAAATCGAGGGCGACGCAGTTGCCTCCTCATAGGCAGGGAGATTGTGCGATAGACCTCCAGGCAGGAGCAGCGCTTCCACGGAGCCATGTGTATCCTCTGTCTCAAGAGGAGAAGAGAGCTATGGAGACTTACATAGCCGAATCTCTGAGACAAGGATACATACGGCCATCCACTTCCCCTGCGTCCTCGAGCTTCTTTTTTGTGAAGAAGAAGGATGGAGATTTGCGCCCGTGCATTGATTACCGTAGTCTCAATCAGATCACGGTGAAATACAGTTATCCACTCCCGCTGATTGCGACTATGACGGAGTCATTGCACGGGGCGCGTTTCTTCACAAAACTAGATCTCAGGAGCGCATACAACTTGGTGCGCATTAGAGGGGGCGATGAATGGAAGACAGCATTTAGTACCACCTCAGGTCATTACGAGTATCTCGTCATGCCATACGGGTTGATGAACGCTCCTTCAGTCTTCCAATCCTTCGTAGATGAGATCTTCAGGGACATGCAGGGGCAGGGTGTGGTCGTGTACATTGATGACATTCTTGTGTACTCTTCTACCCGAGCCGAGCATGTAGCCCTGGTGCGCCGAGTGTTGAGGAGGCTGTTGGAGCACGACCTGTATGTCAAGGCAGAGAAATGTCTGTTTTTCCAGGAGTCTATCTCCTTTTTGGGTTATCAGTTGTCTGCGACAGGGGTGAAGATGGAGGTTGACCGAGTGTCAGCCGTGCGTAATTGGCAAACTCCAACCACTGTTAAAGAGGTGCAGCGGTTTTTGGGGTTTGCAAATTACTACCGGAGGTTTATCCGGGGTTTTGGACAGGTGGCAGCTCCCATAACGTCTCTGTTGAAGGGGGGTCCGGTGCGTTTGCAGTGGTCAGCCGAGGCGGACAGGGCTTTTGGGAGACTGAAGGACCTGTTTACTTCGGCTCCGGTGCTGGCGCATCCGGATCCCGCTTTACCATTTCAGGTAGAGGTTGACGCGTCAGAGGCCGGTATTGGGGCCGTACTTTCGCAACGGTCCGGCACGCCACCTAAACTCCGGCGGAGCGAAATTATGACGTAGGGGACAGGGAGCTGTTAGCCGTGGTACAGGCCCTAAAGGTGTGGAGGCATTGGCTTGAGGGGGCTCAACACCCTTTTCTCATTTTGACTGACCACCGTAACCTGGAGTACATCCGGGCAGCTAGGAGATTGAACCCTCGCCAGGCGCGGTGGAACATGTTTTTAGCCCGGTTCGTATTTAAGATCACGTACATCCCTGGGTCACAGAACGGTAAGGCAGACGCACTGTCTCGGCGGTATGACACGGAGGAGAGGTCCGTTGAGCCCACTCCCATACTGCCGGAGTCTTGTCTGGTGGCACCGGTAGTGTGGGAGGTCGATGCTGAAATCGAGCGGGCATTGCGTACCAACCCTAGTCCTCCACAGTGCCCGGTGGGTCGGACGTACGTTCCGCTCGAGGTTCGGGATCGACTGATATATTGGGCTCACACGTCACCCTCCTCTGGACATCCTGGTATTGGCCGGACTGTGCACTGCCTTAGCGCTAAGTACTGGTGGCCAACGTTAGCCAGGGATGTGAGGGTTTATGTCTCCTCCTGCTCAGTGTGCGCCCAGTGTAAGGCGCCTAGACACCTGCCCAGGGGAAAGTTACAACCCCGGCCCGTTCCACAACGACCATGGTCTCACCTCTCGGTGGATTTCGTCACAGACCTTCCCCCCTCACAGGGGAATAGTACTATACTGGTCGTTGTGGATCGGTTCTCTAAGGCCTGTCGTCTGCTCCCAATGCCGGGTCTTCCTACTGCCCTACAGACCGCCGAAGCACTATTCACCCACGTGTTCCGGCACTACGGGGTACCCGAGGATATAGTGTCTGATCGAGGTCCCCAGTTTACCTCCAGAGTCTGGAGGGCGTTTATGGAGCGTTTGGGGGTCTCGGTGAGCCTGACCTCGGGTTACCACCCGGAGAGTAATGGGCAGGTGGAACATGTGAACCAGGATGTGGGTAGGTTTCTTAGATCGTATTGCCAGGGCCGGCCGGAGGAGTGGGCGAGGTATGTCCCCTGGGCAGAGATGGCCCAGAACTCTCTCCGCCACTCCTCAACCAATCTAACCCCTTTCCAATGTGTGTTAGGTTACCAGCCGGTTCTGGCACCGTGGCAGCAGAGCCAGATCGAGGCTCCTGCGGTGGATGAGTGGGTGCGGTGCTCGGAGGAGACGTGGAACGCTGCAACACGTCCACTTGCAGCGGGCCATCCGTCGTCAGAAAGCGAGCGCCGATCTCCACCGCAGTGAGGGGCCGGTGTACGCACCTGGTGATCGAGTCTGGCTCTCTACCAGAAACCTACCCCTCCGCCTGCCCTGCCGGAAACTGGGTCGGCAGTTTGTGGGGCCCTTTAAAGTCCTGAGAAGATTGAACGAGGTGTGTTACAGGTTACAACTGCCTATTGATTATAAGAATATTAACCCCTCGTTCCATGTGTCTCTTCTCAGGCCGGTGGTAGCTGGTCCACTCCAGGACGATGAGATAAGAGAGACTCCTCCGCCCCCACTGGACATCGAGGGGGCTCCGGCGTACACAGTTCGGTCCATCTTGGATTCGAGACGTCGGATGGGGGGTCTCCAATATCTCGTGGAGTGGGAGGGGTACGGTCCGGAGGAACGGTGCTGGGTGCCGAGGAGAGACATCCTAGACCCGTCTCTCCTGACGGAGTTCCACCGTGGACACCCTACGCGCCCTGCTCCGCGTCCTCCTGGTCGTCCCCGAGGCCGGGGTCGGCGCACGGCTGGAGCCGCGCGTCAAGGGGGGGGGTACTGTCACGGTTTCGGCCGAGGCTGCTCCTCCTCTTTGTTCGGGCAGGCTTCGGCGGTCATCGTCACTGGAGTACTAGCTATCACCGTTTGATGTTTTCGATGTCTGTTTGGTTTTGTCTGATTGTGTACACCTGTTTCCTGTTTGGTTGATTATGTCTCCTATAAGTTTCTCGTTTGGTTAGTCTTGTGTTGTGTGTTATTATTCGCCTGTCATCAGGTCGGCTCGTTGTTTGTTTGTTGTTTTCCCTGTCGTCGCACTGTACTGTTTTCGTGCGCCTTGGAATACTAGCCTTTTGCGCATTGTTGCGCATCGTCCGCCTCTTGTTTGTTTTGAGGCCAGTGTTTTGTATATTTTTGGTCGTGTTCAGTAAAGTATTGGACTTAGCTTCTGTGTCTGCGTTTGACTCCTTCACCACATCTACATCAGCCGTTGTGACACATACACTCAATTAGTATTTGGTAGCATTGCCTTTAAATTGTTTAACTTTGGTCAAACGTGTCGGGTAGCCTTCCACAAGCTTCCCAAAATAAGTTGGGTGAATTTTGGCCCATTACTCCTGACAGAGCTGGTGTAACTGAGTCAGGTTTGTAGGCCTCCTTGCTCGCACATGCGTTTTCAGTCCTGCCCACACATTTTCTATAGGATTGAGGTCAGGGCTTTGTGATGACCACTCCAATACATTGACTTTGTTGTCCTTAAGCCATTTTGCCACAACTTTGGAAGAATGCTTGGGGTCATTGTCCATTTGGAAGACCCATTTGCGACCAAGCTTTAACTTCCTGACTGATGTCTTGAGATGTTGCTTCAATATATCCACATAATTTCCCTTCCTCATGATGCCATCTATTTTGTGAAGTGCACCAGTCCCTCCTGCAGCAAAGCACCCCCACAGCATGATGCTGCCACTCCCATGCTTCACGGTTGGTATGGTGTTGTTCGGCTTGCAAGCATCCCCCTTTTTCCTCCAAACATAACGATGGTCATTATGGCAAAACAGTTCTATTTTTGTTTCATCAGACCAGAGGACATTTCTCCAAAAAGTACGATCTTTGTCCCCATGTGCAGTTGCAAACCGCAGTCTGGCTTTTTTATGGCGGTTTAGGAGCAGTGGCTTCTTCCTTGCTGAGCGGCCTTTTAGGTTATGTCGATATAGGATTCGTTTTTTTCTGTGGATATAGATAATTTTGCACCTGTTACCTCCAGCATCTTCACAAGGTCCTTTGCTGTTGTTCTGGGATTGATTTGCACTTTTCGCACCAAAGTACGTTCATCTCTAGGAGACAGAAAGCGTCTCCTTCCTGAGCGGTATGATGGCTGCGTGGTCCAAATGAAATGAAATCAAATCAAATGTTATTGGCCACATGCGCCGAATACAACAGGTGTAGACATTACAGTGAAATGCTTACTTACAGCCCTTAACCAACAATGCAATTATTTTTTTATAAAAAAGTACAATAAAACAACAAAAAAGTGTTGAGAAAAAAAGAGCAGAAGTAAAATAAAATAACAGTAGGGAGGCTATATATACAGGGGGGTACCGGTGCAGAGTCAATGTGCGGGGGCACTGGCTAGTTGAGGTAGTTGAGGTAATATGTACATGTGGGTAGAGTTAAAGTGACTATGCATAAATAATTAACAGAGTAGCAGCAGCGTAAAAAGATGGGGTGGGGGTGGGGGGGCAGTGCAAATAGTTGGGGTAGCCATGATTAGCTGTTCAAGAGTCTTATGTCTTGGGGGTAGAAGCTGTTGAGAAGTCTTTTGGACCTAGACTTGGCGCTCTGGTACCGCTTGCCGTGCGGTAGCAGAGAGAACAGTCTATGACTAGGGTGGCTGGAGTCTTTGACAATTTTGAGGGCCTTCCTCTGACATCGCCTGGTATAGAGGTCCTGGATGGCAGGAAGCTTGGCCCCAGTGATGTACTGGGCCATACGCACTACCCTCTGTAGTGCCATGCGGTCGGAGGCCGAGCAGTTGCCATACCAGGTGGTGATGCAACCAGTCAGGATGCTCTCGATGGTGCAGCTGTAGAATTTTTTGAGGATCTGAGTACCCATGCCAAATCTTTTCACTCCTGAGGGGGAATAGGCTTTGTCGTTCCCTCTTCTCTTGGTGTGTTTGGACCATGATAGTTCGTTGGTGATGTGGACACCAAGGAACTTGAAGCTCTCAACCTGTTCCACTACAGCCCCGTCGATGAGAATGGGGGCGTGCTCAGTCCTCTTTTTTTTCCTGTAGTCCATAATCATCTCCTTTGTCTTGGTCACGTTGAGGGAGAGGTTGTTATCCTGGCACCACACGGCCAGGTCTCTGACCTCCTCCCTATAGGCTGTCTCATCGTTGTCGGTGATCAGGCCTACCACTGTTGTGTCGTCGGCAAACTTAATGATGGTGTTGGAATTTTGCCTGGCCATGCAGTCATGGGTGAACAGGGAGTACAGGAGGGGAATGAGCACGCACCCCTGAGGGGCCCCCGTGTTGAGGATCAATGTGGCAGATGTGTTGTTACCTACCCTTACCACCTGGGGGCGGCCCGTCAGGAAGTCCAGGATCCAGTTGCAGAGGGAGGTGTTTAGTCCCAGGATCCTTAGCTTAGTGATGAGCTTTGAGGGCACTATGGTGTTGAATGCTGAGCTGTAGTCAATGAATAGCATTCTCACATAGATGTTCCTCTTGTCCAGGTGGGAAAGGGAAGTGTGGAGTGCAATAGAGATTGCATCATCTGTGGATCTGTTGGGGCGGTATGCAAATTGGAGTGGGTCTAAGGTTTCTGGGATAATGGTGTTGATGTGAGCCATGAGCAGCCTATCAAAGCATTTAATGGCTACAGGCATCAGTCTAATGGTGTTTATATTGTTTGTACAGATGAACGTGGTACCTTCAGGCATTTGGAAATTGCTCCCAAGGATGAACCAGACTTGTGGAGGTCTACACATTTTTTCTGAGGTCTTGGCTGATTTCTTTTCATTTTCCCATGATGTCAAGCAACAAGGAACTGAGTTTGAAGGTAGGCCTTGAAATGCATCCACAGGTACACCTCCAATTGACTCAAATTATGTCAATTAGCCTATCAGAAGCTTCTAAAGCCATGACATCATTTTCTGGAATTTTCCAAGCTGTTTAAAGGCACAGTCAACTTAGTGTATGTAAACTTCTGACCCACTGGAATTGTGATACAGTGAATTATAAGTTAAATAATCTGTCTGTAAACAATTGTTGGAAAGATTACTTGTGTCATGCACAAAGTATATGTCCTAACCGACTTGCCAAAACTATAGTTTGTTAACAAGAAATGTGTGTAGTGGTTGAAAAACGAGTTTTAATGACTCCAACCTAAGTGTATGTAAACTTCCGACTTCAACTGTATGTGGTAGTAGTTCCCTAATGTACAGTGGGGAGAACAAGTATTTGATACACTGTCGATTTTGCAGGTTTTCCTTCTTACAAAGCATGTAGAGGTCTGTAATTTTTATCATAGGTACACTTCAACTGTGAGAGACGGAATCTAAAACAAAAATCCAGAAAATCACATTGTATGATTTTTAAGTAATTCATTTGCATTTTATTGCATGACATAAGTATTTGATCACCTACCAACCAGTAAGAATTCCGGCTCTCACAGACCTGTTAGTTTTTCTTTAAGAAGCCCTCCTGTTCTCCACTCATTACCTGTATTAACTGCACCTGTTTGAACTCGTTACCTGTATAAAAGACACCTGTCCACACACTCAATCAAACAGACTCCAACCTCTCCACAATGGCCAAGACCAGAGAGCTGTGTAAGGACATCAGGGATAAAATTGTAGACCTGCACAAGGCTGGGATGGGCTACAGGACAATAGGCAAGCAGCTTGGTGAGAAGGCAACAACTGTTGGCGCAATTATTAGAAAATGGAAGAAGTTCAAGATGACGGTCAATCACCCTCGGTCTGGGGCTCCATGCAAGATCTCACCTCGTGGGGCATCAATGATCATGAGGAAGGTGAGGGATCAGCCCAGAACTACACAGCAGGACCTGGTCAATGACCTGAAGAGAGCTGGGACCACAGTCTCAAAGAAAACCATTAGTAACACACTACGCCGTCATGGATTAAAATCCTGCAGTGAATGCAAGGTCCCCCTGCTCAAGCCAGCGCATCTCCAGGCCCATCTGAAGTTTGCCAATGACCATCTGGATGATCCAGAGGAGGAATGGGAGAAGGTCATGTGGTCTGATGAGACAAAAATATAGCTTTTTGGTCTAAACTCCACTCGCCGTGTTTGGAGGAAGAAGAAGGATGAGTACAACCCCAAGAACACCATCCCAACCGTGAAGCATGGAGGTGGAAACATCATTCTTTGGGGATGCTTTTCTGCAAAGGGGACAGGACGACTGCACCGTATTGAGGGGAGGATGGATGGGGCCATGTATCGCGAGATCTTGGCCAACAACCTCCTTCCCTCAGTAAGAGCATTGATGATGGGTCGTGGCTGGGTCTTCCAGCATGACAACGACCCGAAACACACAGCCAGGGCAACTAAGGAGTGGCTCCGTAAGAAGCATCTCAAGGTCCTGGAGTGGCCTAGCCAGTCTCCAGACCTGAACCCAATAGAAAATCTTTGGAGGGAGCTGAAAGTCCGTATTGCCCAGCGACAGCCCCGAAACCTGAAGGATCTGGAGAAGGTCTGTATGGAGGAGTGGGCCAAAATCCCTGCTGCAGTGTGTGCAAACCTGGTCAAGACCTACAGGAAACATATGATCTCTGTAATTGCAAACAAAGGTTTCTGTACCAAATATTAAGTTCTGCTTTTCTGATGTATCAAATACTTATGTCATGCAATAAAATGGAAATTAATTACTTAAAAATCATACAATGTGATTTTCTGGATTTTTGTTTTAGATTCCGTCTCTCACAGTTGAAGTGTACCTATGATAAAAATTACAGACCTCTACATACTTTGTTAGTAGGAAAACCTGCAAAATCGGCAGTGTATCAAATACTTGTTCTCCCCACTGTATATAGGGGACAGATAAGAGTGGCAGCAAGTCTCTAACCTTTAATGGTTGAGCATTTAGCCATGTCCTCTTGATTTGTTTTGCCCTGTAGTCACTGCCAGTTTAGACCCAAATGCAAGTGATATACAGTGCATTCGGAAAGTATTCAGACCCCTTTATTTTTTTCCACATTTTGTTACGTTACAGCCTTACTCTGAAATGGATTAAATTGTTTTCTCCCCTCATCAATCTACACACAATACCCCATAATGACAAAGCAAAAACGGTTTTTAGAAACGTTTGCAAATGTATAAATAAAATAAAAACAGGGAATATCACATTTACATAAGTATTCAGACCCTTTACTCAGTACTTTGTCTAAGCACCTTTGGCAGCGATTACAGCCTTGAGTCTTCTTGGTTATGATGCTACAAGCTTGGCACACTTGTATTTGGGGAGTTTCTCCCATTCTTCTCTGCAGATCCTCTCAAGCTCTTTCAGGTTGGATGGGGAGCTTCACTGCACAGCAATTTTCAGGTCTCTCCAGAGATGTTTGATCGGTTTCAAGTCTGGGCTCTGGCTGGGCCACTCAAGGACATTCAGAGACTTGTCCTGAAGCCACTCCTACGTTGTATTGGCTGTGTGCTTAGGGTCGTTGTCCTGTTGGAAGGTGAACCTTTGCCCCAGTCTGAGGTGCTGAGTGCTCTGGAGCAGGTTTTCATCAAGGATCTCTCTGCACTTTGCTCCATTCATCTTTCCCTCGATCCTGACTAGTCTCCCAGTCCCTGCCGCTGAAAAACATCCCCATAGCATGATGCTGCCACCACCATGCTTCACCGTAGGGATGGTGCCAGGTTTCCTCCAGACGTGACACTTGGCATTCAGGCCAAAGAGTTCAATCTTGGTTTTATCAGACCAGAGAATCATGTTTCTCATGGTCTGAGAGTCCTTTAGGTGCCTTTTGGCAAACTCCAAGTGGGCTGTCATGTGCCTTTTGTTGTATAGCACACTGTATTACTTATACAACTAATATAAGGACAGGACATGAGACGGGAGTAGAAATTAACGTGGGCATTGTTTTAATGCGTTTCACAGGAAGAACATTTCAAGCATTTCAACGTAGGTAAGCAAGGGGGGGTTACAGGTGCCCTAAAGGGACAAAACTAGAATATAAATTCACAACATATTCCTCCCCCTTTCCTTTTGATGACTCATAAGGAAAAAGTAAATATTCACTGTTTTGCCTATTGTTTTCTTAATGTAAATAAATGAACTTTTCAGTGACTAAACTAGTGATAGAGGGTAGACTGCTTCAGTCCCCAGACTTAACCCTGGGGTGTATTCTGCCCCAATGTCGGAGGTTAGTCTGAACTAACTGGTCAATCTGTCAGGGGGTTGTCTTTCTCTTGCAGGGTAATGACGACGTACAGGTGAGTCTACAGTCACATTATCTCTGAGTCTGAGTGGTGATGGTGTATGCTCAGACTGGGGTGCAACAGTACCCTGTGTAGGCACTCTGGCTGGTTCAGGTGAGTCTGGAGCACTTTCCACATTGGTAGGTTGCTGCAGTGGATGTTCAGGTGATAGCTCGTAGTCATGGTAGGTCTCCAGTAGCTGATCTTGGTTTGTCACTTGACAGGAGTCGTCTCTGAGGTTGGTTCCTGGCAACAGTTGATCCACGTGTCTCCTCCAGATGATGTTTTCCGGTGTGTGAACTGTGTAGGACACAGGCTCTGTTTGTGCAACCACTGTGGCTGGTATCCACGTTGGACCTTTGCAGTAGTTTCGAGCAAGAACTCTCTCTCCAGCAATAAACTTCTGTATTTTGCTTTGCTCTGTCTCTCCACCTGTGCTATCTGTTGTGTCTGTACAACCTGTCTCGTCTTTGGAGGTCTCAGGAGGTCTTTTCATCATGGCTGACGCGGGTGCCACTTTGGTTGTAGCGTGGGGAGTGTTTCTGTAGGTTAACAGGAAGGTGTTTAGACGCCTATTGAGGGAGCCGTTCCCTTGTGATGATTTTAAAGCTTGCTTCATCGTTTGGACAAACCTTTCAGCGAGGCCGTTCGTTGCAGGGTGATACGGCGCTGACTTGATGTGCTGTATTCCATTTGCTTCCATGAATGACCGGAACTCTTCAGACACCAGTTGGGGGCCATTATCACTAACGAGTTGCGTTGGCAAGCCGAAGCGACTGAAAATTGACCGTAGCTCTTCGATGGTTCTCTCCGCTGAGGTGCTCTTCATCACTGTGACCTCAGGCAATTTGCTGTGTGCGTCAACTACGACTAAGAACATACGATCCTCCAGTAGGCCTGCATAGTCTATGTGGACTCACTGCCAAGGCTCCTCTGGGAAGTCCCATGGGTGTAGTGGCGCTAGCTGAGGCATGTTCCTCATCTTTTGACATGCAGAACATGACTTGACCTTGTCTTCGATAGCTGCATCCAGACCTGGCCACCAAAAGTAGCTGCGTGCAATCTCCTTCATTCGCACCATGCCACAGTGCCCTGAATGGAGTTCTTCAAGCACCTGCCTTCTCAGTGGCGGCGGTATAATGACTTGAAAACCCCATAGCAAGCATCCAAACTGAACTGTGAGCTCGTTTCTCCTCACTAGGTAATGTTGTAGGCTGTCCGACATCTCTCCTTCTTTTCCACGAGTGACAATGTCCACGACCTCAGACATCACTGGATCAGTGTGGGTGAACTTTTTCACTTGGACAGATGTAACTGGGGCATTTGTCACTTCCTTGAAGTAGAAGATTTCAGCCTGGGAGTTCTCAGTGTGTGCGACAGGTAAGGGAAGCCTTGAGAGGCCATCTGCATTGCAGTGCTGCGCAGACCTTCTGTACTTGATATCGTACGGGTGAGCAGATAACAATAACGCCCATCGCTGCATGCGGCTGGCTGCAAGCGACGAAATGCCGGTGTGGGGACCAAAGATGGAGGTGAGGGGTCTATGGTCCGTCAGCAGTGTGAATCGTCGGCCAAACAGAAACTGATGAAATTTCTTAACTCCAAACACAATGGTGAGTGCTTCACGCTCTATCTGTGCATAATTGCTCTTGGCTTTACTTAAGGTCTGTGATGCGAAAGCAATTGGCCTTTCTTCACCTGATGGCATGAGCGATGCATCACATGCCAACTGTAATGGCAAGTTGGGGTTGAAGTGGGTTAGGGCCTCTGACTGAGCTAAGGCTGTTTTCACTTTCTTGAAGGCCTCCTCACATCTGTCTGTCCACTTCCACTGTTTGGTTTTGTTCAAAAGCTCATGCAGTGGCTTTAACATGTTAGCTAGGTTTGGCACAAACTTTGCGTAGTATGTCAGTAGTCCTAAGAATGATCTCAGCTGACTCACGTTCTGTGGGGATGGAGCTTCTGCAATGTCCTTAACCTTCGATGGCGCCTTGTGGAGCCCCAATCTGTCGATGACGTGGCCTAGGTACTCAACAGAGGGCCGGAAAAACTTGCATTTGTCCTTCCGGACCCTCAGACCGTACTCCACCAATCTCTGTAGTGTAGCGTTCAGGTTTCTCAGGTGCTCCTGCTCGTCTTTGCCGGTGATGAGTAGATCATCGAGGTAACATTGGACCCCAGTGAGCCCGCTCAGTATCTGGTCCATAGCTCTCTGAAACAAGGCCGGAGCTGAGGTGATTCCAAAAGGAAGCCTCCGGTACCTGTACAGTCCTTTGTGAGTCACTATGGTCAACAGTTCTTGTGACTCTTGGTCCACATGCATCTGTATATAGGCCTGACATAAGTCTATCTTACTGAATTTTTGTCCTCCAGCTAAACCAGAAAAGAGGTCGTCAATGAGGGGTAGTGGATATTTTTCAGCAGTCAAGACTGGGTTAATGGTGACTTTGAAATCACCACAGAGTCTGAGTGATCCATCTTTTTTTATGACTGGAACAACGGGTGTAGCCCATTCACTAACATTCACTGGATCCAATACCCTTGACTAGTCTGTTTAGCTCAATTTCAACTTTTGGTTTTATTGTGTATGGGACAGGTCTAGCTTTGAAGCATTTTGGCTTGCTGTCTGGTTTCACGGTCAGTTTAACTGTTATGCCCTTCATACTGCCAAGTTCTCCTTTGAACACATCCGTGTGTTTCCTCAATATCCCTTGTAGGTTTGTGTCCTCTTTTGCAACCATGTGAATTTCCTGCCAGTTTAGTTTGATCTTTTCCAGCCATGTGCGTCCTAGCAATGCTGGATGGTTGCCTTTCACAATGTAGAGTGGTAGCTTTACCTTATGTTTGTTGAGCTCCACTGTAACAATCACGCTTCCTCTCACTGGAACAATCTCACCGGTGTATGTTTTCAGCGTCATCTTTGTGGGCTGTAGTGTGAGGTGATGTAGTTTCTCCTTGTATACAGCCTCAGACAGCAAAGATATGGCTGCTCCAGTGTCCACTTTCCATCCAGTAGCGGTGTCACCCAGTACCCGTATCCATTGTCTGAAATTGACATAACATGCAAAGATTCTTCCCCTTCAGACAGGGTATCACTTTGTTCATCCTCTGTGTGCTCCATTTTATGCACTTTCTTTTTGTACTTCCTGAAGTCGCTTTTCCTTTGTTCAGTACTTTTGTTTGATTGTGTCTTTTTGTTTTTACATGCACGTTCGATGTGACCCTTTTTACCACAACTTCTGCAGTCTAAGTCTTTGCACCAACACTCCTCTGCTTGGTGACCTGGTTTCCCACAGCGATAGCATGGCTTCTCACCTCCTGCCTTGTTTTTTAACTCCATAGACACCTTATGCACTTTGGTCGATGCACTTAGCTGTTTTTATTTGCCATTTCCATTGACGTACTCACTTCTATTGCTCTCTGCAATGTTAAGTTACTCTCAGTCAAAAGGCGTTTCTGAATTGCCTCGCTGTGCATGCCACACACTAACCTATCACGTATAGTGTCACTCATTGATCGCCCAAATTCACAGTGTTCAGATAACTGTTTCAATACAGCCACAAACTGTGAGATTGATTCCCCCTCCTCTTGATTTCTCTCATGAAACCGGAATCTCTCTGCGATTATCAGTGGTTTTGGAGAATAATGTCCTTTTAAGGTAGCCACAATTTCATCATATGATTTATCACCAGGTTTTTCAGGCGTTACTAGGCTGCGCAGTAGATTGAATGTTTTTCCTCCCATAACAGTCAAAAATGTTGGCACAACGACTTCAGCTTTAATTCCATTTGCCAACACAAAGTACTCAAAACGTTCTGTGTAAGAACTCCATTGTTCCACAGACTCATCAAATGTTCCTATATTTCCAATCAATGCAGACATTTTCGGTTTGTTTTTCTTTCTTTTAACTCACGATGACTTCACTTTCTCCCGCAGCGAAACTCTTCCTATCCCTCGAGGCTCTCGTTGCCGTGACATCAAAGGCTAGCTAGCATCACTCGACTGGCTAGCTCCACGTTATGTTTGCGTCTTTCTACAGCGAGAAAAATGAATAAATAACGAATTTAACTCAGACTTTCTGTCGAAGACGATGAGCACAAACGTGAGAACGTTTCTTCCTCGTCGCCAGTTTTGTTGTATAGCACACTGTATAACTTATACAACTAATATAAGGACAGGACATGAGACGGGAGTAGAAATTAACGTGGGCATTGTTTTAATGCGTTTCACAGGAAGAACATTCCAACCATTTCAACGTAGTTAAGCAAGGGGGGGTTACAGGTGCCCTAAAGGGACAAAACTAGAATATCAATACACAACACCTTTTACTGAGGAGTGGCTTCCGTCTGGCCACTCTACCATAAATGCCTGATTGGTGGAGTGCTGCAGAGATGGTTGTCCTTCTGGAAGGTTCTCCCATCTCCACAGAGGAACTCTGGAGCTCTGTTAGAGTGACCATCAGGTTTTTGGTCGCCTCCCTGACCAAGGCCGTTCTCCCCCGATTGCTCAGTTTGGCCGGGCGGCCAGCTCTAGGAAGAGTCTTGGTGGTTCCAAACTTCTTCCGTTTAAGAATGATGGAGGCCACTGTGTTCTTGTGGACCTTTAATGCTGCAGAAATATTTTGGTACCATTCCCCAGATCTGTGCCTCGACACAATCCTGTCTCGGAGCTCTACGGACAATTCCTTCGATCTCATGGCTTGGTTTTTGCTCTGACATGCACTGTCAACTGTGGGACCTTATATAGACAGGTGTGTGCCTTTCCAAATAATGTCCAATCAATTGAATTTACCACAGGTGGACTCCAATCAAGTTGTAGAAACATCTCAAGGTTGATCAATGGAAACAGGATGCACCTTAGCTCAATTTCGAGTCTCATATCAAAGGGTCTGAATACTTATGTAAATAAGGTATTTCTGTATTACATTTTTTATACATTTGCTAAAATGTCTAAAAACCTGTTTTTGCTTTGTCATTATGGGGTATTGTGCGTAGATTGATGAGTGGAAAAATTACGTTAATCAATTTTAGAATAAGGCTGTAACGTAACAAAATGTGGAAAATGGGAAGGTCTGAATACTTTCCTAATGCACTGTAAAACACAAAATATTAATTGGTGTGCTGTAATGTATAATTACATAATCACTGTTAGCAATTGCAATCATGGGCGGTGTGTTCAATAGGGCGATATGGGCGACGCACTGCCAAACGGGAAAAGGAAGGGATTTTTTTTCTAATCAATTATATCATGGCAACAGTAGTTCAGTGTTCACGTCTGATCTGCCAGCCACTAAATGTCCAATCAGGCTAAAGTCGTGCTTCAAATGTCCCCGCCCGTTTTGGGGCGATTTCAGTCAGGTTGAAAATCGCCCAGAAGTCTCTCATAGCCTCTAATGTAAAATATTTCTTTTTCAAATTTCTGAGCTTTCAATACATTCTCTATGGGTGTCTGAGGGCTTGCACTTACGCGCTTTCGTCATACGTAACGTAACGTAACCATGAACGGCAGACAGCAACGCTTGGACAGCGACTGGTGTAACCGACATGCACCATCTTTCAGAAAAGATTAAGAAAAATGAGCTGTCAAAGACCCACATTGATAGCTGTTTGAGATTGTCTGCTTTGGTGAGAGTGAATATTGCCACTCAACTGGATGAGGGATACAGGCTAGCTGTCCGCCGCCACAACGATGAGGTTAGCAACAGCAGAGTCGTGAACACTGTCTACGAGAATCGAGACGACCTCATAGAATGTTTTGAAGCCATCCGGACGGGTTCATTGGGTTCATTTGACCAGCCCACCGTACCAGAAGCTACAGAATAAGGACATCGATGCTGTCTTTATCAAACGTGCCCTCGACAGCTTCGCAAGCAGTGTGCAGGCCATAAGGTAAGATAAAGATTAAACAATATCATTCGATCTTTCTCAAAGCAGAGCTTTATTTGAAAATGTATGCATGAAAGGAGACTGCATTTGTGTTTGAAATTACATTATTGTCATTATATATGGCCAGTGGTGTAATCTATCTTATTTTATATACTATGTGTACTGTACAGTGGTGCTCATAAGTGTATGAACACATTCTAAAGCTGACTAAAAAGAGGAATAAAAAAATAAAAAAATCATCTTTTAGAAATTGATCTTAATGACTTAATTAAAAAGTTGGAAAATCCAACCTTTAAGGACACCAATTTTCTTTTCTTTTTTATTCCTCTTTTTAGTCAACTTTAGCATGGGATCATAAGCTTATGAGCACCACTGTATACTGTGCTGAACATCCAGGCTATGTGAGACACAAAGGCTAACTTAAACACTAAAGACTTTATGCATCCCTGCCCATTTTAAGTGGAACTGAAGTATTTGTACTATACATGGATACATTGCATATACCTGTGCATCACATAGGGGCGGCAGGTAGCTTAGTGGGTAAGAGCGTTGTGCCAGTAACCGAAAGGTCGCTGGTTCTAATCCCCGAGCCGACTAGGTGAAAAATCTGTCGATGTGCCCTTAAGCAAGGCACTTAACCCTAATTGCTCCTGTAAGTCGCTCTGGATAAGAGCGTCTGCTAAATGACTAAAATGTAAATGTAAACATAGACAACAATACTGTACAAAGCCAACAAACACATTGGTCTGTTTGCCTTCCGGGACTCCTCTCAACAGCAGCTGCAAGAAGCAACAGGAGCCAAAAGACCCAGAACAGCTTTGAGAGAAGAGGAGAAGCAGAGGCTGTCTGAAGAGGTCTGCAACACCATCCTGGATCACACCAAAGAAAGGTTCTCTTTCTCTGGCCACCTTGTGAGTGCTACCTTACTGCAAGCAGACATGTTTGAAAGGTACTGCCATTCAAAAAAATAAAAAATCTGTTCATTTTTACAAATCTATACAATTGGCCAGAATATGGTTGTTCATATTTACAAATCTATACAATTGGCCAGAATATGGTTGTTCATTTTTACAAAGCCATACATATTGTTTATGCAGTGTTGAGGAATGTGAAAGAACACCCTTGATTATTTTTACTGTGATAACTTATTTTGCTTTTGTAAGCCAACACTTTTGAGATCAGTCAATAAATGCTTCTGGTATTGACTTATATGCTGCCCCTGTCTTCATGTTGTTGCTGGACATATCTTTTTAAAAATGTGTGTAGGTCACCTAAATCATCAGAAAAATTGCCCCTCCTGAGAATTTTTTCAGGAGCCGCCACTGATTGCAATTAACATATTTTGCTTTGTAAGTGGTTTTATTTGGTAATTGTTTGATTTGATTAACTTAATTTCTCTAAACAAGGGGGGAAAAACATCACCAGATTCACAGGGAATACATTAAAAAGGATGAAGAAGCAATATCCCAAGCAGCAGCTCCATACTTATCAGACATAGAGAGCTGATACTGTATATTGGTTATTAGGGTGGGATTGGCGTGGGGTGTGGGGGTCCATTGGTAGCTTTTGGTCATTTTATTGGATTCCCCATGTCTTACTCATTGTTAAGAAGAATGATGGTCCAAATTGGATTTTAGGTACTATATTTATTGAAGATTATATGAATCCTATAAATTAAAATGGCCAATTTGGGTGCAATCAATTAGCTTAATTTCTCAGAGATCAAATTATATTTCAACAAAATAATATTTCCGGAATGCTAATCTTATCTCTTTGGAACTACAGAAACGATTTCAGAACAATCTGAGATGGTGGGTGTCAAAATCCTCTTTCTTGTGCTTTTTGAGGTGGAATGACTCTAAAGTCAAACATCTGGGAATTTGCCTGGCACAGGGATTAGAGCCATGGCTTTCTATGGAGTAGTTGTGTTAATTCAAATAATTTAAATCAGAGCTCCTTCCCTCCTTCATAATGCACAAAGCCACGGTTGTTGTTGCATTCCTCGTTGGACATCAGTGAATGTAGAACACAAGAACAATATGACATCTATGATATATTAAATCTTAAATAATGTATGTGGCATGCATGTGACAGTGCCCATAAGATGGCATGGCAGAGGCGTCAATAGATATTTCTCTGGCATACAATAATATCTGTGCTGTGGGTGAACTGTCCCTTTAAGGACCAGATCATATCACGCGGTAGGACCATGCGGAAGTTGACGGACACCTGTGAAAACTAGCCAGAATAAGGATTAGCCACAGTAGAGGAATTTGCGGTTTGCCTTCAAAATAAAAGTCCCCCATTGAAACTGATACAAAGGGATACAAATAGTGGAATTATGCCATATTTGGACTAGATATTGCTAAACAAGTTTGGAATCTTGTTATATAACTTCAAAATAAATACAATAACTCATTAATTAGAAAATAAACAGTAATTTAAAAAAAAAAAGGTTCAAATCCCAGTGTGGATTTATTAGACTGTATAATTGCATTGGCGGCGTACATACACTGAGTGTACAAAACGTTAAGAACACCTTCCTAATATTGAGTTGCACCCCCAAGAAAGTGTTGCAGTTCTTGACACAAACCGGTGTGCCTGGCATCTACTACCATACCCCATTCAAAGGCACTTAATATATTTTGTCTCAATTGTCTTAAGGCTTAAAAATCCTTCTTTAACCTGACTCCTCCCCTTCATCTACACTGATTGAAGTGGATTTAACAAGTGATATCTATAAGGGATCATAGCTTTCACTTTAATTGTCTATGTCATGGAAAGACCAGGTGTTCTTAATGTTTTGTACACAGTGTATATGCGCTGTACAGCCGTACCTATGGTATCAGACTACTCACAGATTACAATTCCAAGGATTTACACAAATATTAGCGTCATAGCTCTTATTGCAGGACTTTGACTGTGGGAAATCACCTCCCCAGTCAATCTATTGTGGGTATTGAACATTAATATTGGACTGTACAGCCTTACTTATAGAACATTCCAACCTTGTTTAGCTTTATCTAGTCTAAATATGGTATTTTTCCACTTTGTATCCGTTTGATCAGTTTCAATGGGGGACATATATTTTGAAGGCGACCTGCAAATTCCACTATTGTGGCTCATCCTTATTGTGGCTATAGTTTCACACTGAGAGACACAGAGTGGTTGTTGTGTTTTAGCGGAGAATAATAAACAAACAACTATCAGCGGCCGTGTACACACTACATGCTGTCAATGGTCAGGTAAGACCAATGAAACATAAATTAACTTACTTATATTATCGATCATAAGAAAGCTCAGTGAATATTTGATTAACTTGTGAGTGTGTCAGTCTGCCGAGATATGGGTCCACGGCCCTGGGACTGTAGCCGGGTAGCGTCTCTACCGAGAGCGGGGATTATATGAGAAGCTCTCTGGTGTAAATATTTTCGTAGTGGATGGATAAATTCATGTAGACTGGATTTACATGGTCTCGCTGCACGTTGGCAAACTATCTTACTAATTAGCTAACTGGACAGTGCACAATGCTAACGTTGTCGATATGGGACCTCATCATAAAGATGAGCTGCCAAGGCTGTTGCTTCACTCTCCAAGTTAGTTATCTGCAAATATACAGTCACTGATTATCTGTGGAGAACAGCTGACAGAACAGTCCTTCCTGGATCTGAGGGGGGGGGGGGGTGGAAGTGGTAAACCCGTCACATGACAGTCAGCCGAGACCGACACAGATGCCGTGTTCACGTACTAGTCGGAACTCGGAAATGTCAGACTTGCTAACTGGTTGCGATATTCACGCATGTCGGACATTTCCGAGTTTCCTATTTACGACTAGCACGTGAACGCGGAAAGAGACAAGGAGAGAGAGCTATTTCGGTTTGGAAAAGTTGAATATTTGCAGAAAGAGTCGTGTAATCGGTTAAGGAAGGAAGGAGGATTGGAGGGAAAGAGAGAGGTTGAAAAGGCCGAGGGAGGCAGAGGATAGGTTTGAATCTGTTGAAGGTAGCAATAACATGTCGAGGATGATTGGTGTCAAGTTCAAACAAAGTGAGGAGCTCGAAGCTCGAAGCTCGAGCCCTGCATTGACGGACATGGTTTTGGTAAAGATAAGTTTGGTCCATTGAAAGTGAGATTTTTGAAGAGGGTGGAACCAGGCCTTTTGGCTGATCCATGGGTGGGTTCAGGTTGGGTGGAAAAGATGGTCGGTGCTGTTGAGTCGGTGAAGGTAACCCGAAGTGGACATGTGATGTTTGTGTTTCTTCAGATCAGAGGGAGCGGGCGCTCTGTGCGACGCTACTTGGGGAAAGACTTGTATCTTGCTTTGTGCTTAGGTACAGGGCACCATTTGAAGGGAGTGATTTTTGGGGTAGTGTTAAGTGTGGAGGCATAGCCGCAGGAAGTAGGGGTGCTGAGGGGGCTTCAGCACCCCTGAAAAATCAGAATATTGAGAGAGAGGGAGAGATACATATTTTTTCACAGAAGAAGTGCACTGGGCATTTACTAGTATTAGTGGACTGATATAGGCATCTGTAGCGCGGGCAAACAATTTTTTCCAGCATCTCCGCTTTGGCAAAAAAGGTATTTGTATAATTAAGAACAGTATATTTCAGGATTCCGTAGTTGGAATTGTTGCCCTGTCCCTTTCTCTGCGATTGTCATTCTAATGGAATCAAGAAAAAAACAACCTGTCCTCAAACATTTACATCAAAAGGTGCAAAGTTATGGGCAAAGACAAAAAAACAAATGAAATTAATTAAATAACATGAAAAACAACCACTTTTTGTGCAGTATTAATTTAGCATCCTTCCAAACCACTTAATATAAATGTACATTACTCTGTTGTACATAGCCTGGTCATCTAGGTTTGTACCTGTAGACTTTCCATCACTATGAAGAAAAACAATGCACAATACAGTAATTGAGTACATTGAGACATCAAGTGGTTTGTGATGATGAAATATGATGATGTGGCTCAGTTGGTAGAGCATGGCACTTGCAATGCTAGGGTTGTGGGTTCGTTTTCCATGGGGACCAGTACGAAAATGTATGCACTTACTACTGTAAGTTGCTCTGGATAAGAGCGTCTACTAAAATGGAAAAGGAATGAAATAGACCATTTCCGTTTTCACAGAAATAAGTTGCATTTGCAAAGTATTTCAAGAAACTGGAAAACATACAGTACCAGTAAAAGGTTTGGACACACTTACTCATTCTAAGGTTTTTCTTTATATTTACTATTTTCTACATTGTAGAATAATAGTGAAGACATCAAAACTATGAAATAACACATGTGGAATCATGTAGTAACCAAAAAAGTGTTAAACAAATCAAAATATATTTCATATTTGAGATTCTTCAAAGTAGTCACCCTTTGCCATGATGACAGCTTTGCACACTCTTGGCATTTTGATGTCTTCACTATTATTCTACAATGTAGAAATAGTAAAAATAAAGAAAAACCCTTGAATGAGTAGGTGTCCAAACTTTTGACTGGTACTGTATATCAAGCAAATATTTTTATACTGCACAAGTATTATCAAATTAACTGTTTTGTACAGATAATAATCGGACTCAAGTTACAAATGCTGTTAAGCAATTAAATACATTTAGTTAAAAATTGTTCACAAAAGTAGTGCACTGGGCCTTTACTTGTCCTGTATTAGCGGACTGATATAGATGTCTTCAGCGCGGGCTATAATTTTTTTCTGCATCCCCCCTCCCCATCAGCAAAATAATCGCTGCACCCCCACCCCCAAACTATTTCCTGCGGCTGTGTTTGAAGGTGGAGCAATTTAAGTTGAAGATTCCTGGTGTTTGTGCGGTGAGGGTGCTGGGAGGGGGGATGCAGGAAAACAATTATTGCCTGCGCTGAAGACATCTATATCGGTCCGCTAATACAGGACTAGTAAAGGCCCAGTGCACTACTTTTGTGAACAATTTTAAACTAAAGTAATGTTAGGATTTACAAGTTATGCTGTTAAAGCTTTTGTGCCGAATACACTGCAGTGTTATAGGTGTCGCAGAAGTGTGTAGGAGGGAGATTCCAAGATGTGGGAAATGTGCAGGAGGACACGGGACAGATGAATGTGTAGTTTCAGTGGAAAAAGTTGTGTAGGGGGTGCCCATGTTGCAGGGGATCGAAGGTGTCCGGTGTGAAAGAGGCAGGTTGAGGTGGCCTGGGTCAGAGTAGTGCAGAAGATGTCGTATGCTGAGGCAGTGAAGAAAGTAGAGGAGGGTGGATCAAGGGTGAGGGATTCTGAGAGGATCCCAGTGAATATTAGATCTGGTCCAGAAGAGAGGGATAGGCCAATGAGTGATATGTTTCAGTAAGGTTGGCTTCTTAGCGTTCATAGCAATGGTTATCAACTGTACTGCAGAGATGGAATGTAAGTTACAGAAAATAGATGTTGTGGTGGCAGCTGCAGAGAAGTACTTGGGGGTACGAGATTTGACTTCAGAAGAGTTACAGGGTGTGTTGAGTGGTAGTGTCCCATCCTCTCAGGTCGTTGGCCTGGGGTAGGATCAGATAGGGTTAAAGTAGTGGAATAATGTGGTGGGTTTTAATGAGTGTAGGGTTAGTTGGTAGGGTAATAAAACATACACTACCAGTCAAATGTTTGGACACACCTACTCATTCAAGGGTTTTTCTTTATTTTTACTATTTTCTACATTTTAGAAAAGTAGTGAAGACATCAAAACTATTAAATAACACCTATGGAATCATGTAGTAACCAAAAAAGTGTTAAACAAATCAAAATATATTTCATATTTGAGATTCTTCAAATAGCCACCCTTTCCCTTGATGACAGCTTTGCATACTCTTGGCATTCTCTCAACCAGCTTCACCTGGAATGCGTTTCCAACAGTCTTGACGGAGTTCCCACATATGCTGAGCACTTGTTGGCTGCTTTTCCTTCACTCTGCCATTCGACTCATCTTAAACCATCTCAATTGGGTTGAGGTCGGGGGATTGTGGAGGCCAGGTCATCTGATGCATCACTCCATCACTCTCCTTCTTGGTAAAATAGCCCTTACATAGCCTGGAGGTGTGTTGGGTCATTCCATGTTGACTGACATTCATGTCTTAAAGTAATGATGGACTGTCGTTTCTCTTTGCTTATTTGAGCTGTTCTTGCCATAATATGGACTTGGTCTTTTACCAAATAGGGCTATCTTCTGTATACCCCCCTGCCTTGTCATAACACAACTGATTGGCTCAAACGCATTAAGAAGGAAATAAATTCCACAAATTAACTTTTAAGAAGGCACACCTGTTAATTGAAATGCATTCCAGGTGACTACCTCATGAAGCTGGTTGAGAGAATGGCAAGAGTGTGCAAAGCTGTCATCAAGGCAAAGGGTGGCTATTTGAAGAATCTCAAATATAAAATATAGTTTGATTTGTTTAACACTTTATTGGTAACGACATGATTCCATATGTGTTATTACATAGTTTTGATGTCTTCATTGTTATTCTACAATGTAAAAACAATTGTAAAAATAAAGAAAAACCCTTGAATGAGTAGGTGTTCTAAAACTTTTGACCAGTAGTGTATGTTGAAGATGGTGGGGCTCAAGCTGCATCCCTGTCTCACCCCCATGCCCTGAGGAAAGAGATCTGTGTGTTTTTTTGCCAATTTTAACCACACATTTGTTGTTTGTGTTCATTTATAATGGTGTATGTTTACCCCCCAACACCGCTTTCCATAAATTTCGATAGCAGACCCTCATGTCAAATTGAGTCAAAAGCTGTTTTGAAATCAACAAAGCATGAAAATACTTTGATTTTGTTTGTTTGTTTGTCAATAAGGGTGTTCAGGGTGAATACGTGGTCTGTCGTACGGTAATTTGGTAAAAAGCCAATTTGACATTTGAGGAAATGTAGGCGTCTGCTGTTAATGATAATGCAGAGGATTTTCCCAAGGTTCTCTCTCTCTCATTCATCACTCACTCACTGTCTCTTTCTCTGTGTGTGTGTGTGTGTGTGTGTGTGTGTGTGTGTGTGTGTGTGTGTGTAGGATGAGTGGGAAGCAGTGTCTGGAGGGTCAGGTGTACTCTGTGCCGCTGATCCAGTCAGATCTGAGGAGGGAGGAGGCTGTTCACCAGATAGCAGACGCCCTGCACTACCTAGAGACCATCTCTACTGACATCTTTACCAGGTACACACACACAGAGATAGAGGAGTATAAGTTGTCCAATAAGAGCATGTGCTACATGTGTTGTTTGGTAGCTAAGATCCTCCTGATTTATTCCTTACATATTGGGCGATTCCACGCCAGCGGGACTGGAAAATATTTTTGTTCTGGGAATTCTCACACAGAAACTTCATTGGCAGGAAGGATGTTTAACATGCTTTTTACATTTTTTGTATCACAAACCATTTTTGAGAAAATCATGATGAAAGTGGCCATTTTAGGCCCTTTTCAAGCTCTCCCTGACCGAGTCTGTAATACCTACATGTTTCAAGCAGACCACCATAGTCCCTGTGCCCAAGTACGCCAAGGTAACCTGCCTAAATGACTACCGCCCCGTAACACTCACATCTGTAGCCATGAAGTGCTTTGAAAGGCTGGTCATGGCTCACATCAACACCCACTTCAATTTGCATACCACCCTAACAGATCCACAGATGACGCAATCTCAATTGCACTCCACACTGCCCTTTCCCACCTGGATAAAAGGAACACCTACAGTGGGGGAAAAAAAGTATTTAGTCAGCCACCAATTGTGCAAGTTCTCCCACTTAAAAAGATGAGAGAGGCCTGTAATTTTCATCATAGGTACACGTCAACTATGACAGACAAATTGAGAAAATAAATTCCAGAAAATCACATTGTAGGATTTTTAATGAATTTATTTGCAAATTATGGTGGAAAATAAGTATTTGGTCACCTACAAACAAGCAAGATTTCTGGCTCTCACAGACCTGTAACTTCTTCTTTAAGAGGCTCCTCCGTCCTCCACTTGTTACCTGTATTAATGGCACCTGTTTGAACTTGTTATCAGTATAAAAGACACCTGTCCACAACCTCAAACAGTCACACTCCAAACTCCACTATGGCCAAGACCAAAGAGCTGTCAAAGGACACCAGAAACAAAATTGCAGACCTGCACCAGGCTGGGAAGACTGAATCTGCAATAGGTAAGCAGCTTGGTTTGAAGAAATCAACTGTGGGAGCAATTATTAGGAAATGGAAGACATACAAGACCACTGATAATCTCCCTCGATCTGGGGCTCCACGCAAGATCTCACCCCGTGGGGTCAAAATGATCACAAGAACGATGAGCAAAAATCCCAGAACCACACGGGGGGACCTAGTGAATGACCTGCAGAGAACTGGGACCAAAGTAACAAAGCCTACCATCAGTAACACACTACGCCGCCAAGGACTCAAATCCTGCAGTGCAAGACGTGTCCCCCTGCTTAAGCCAGTACATGTCCAGGCCCGTCTGAAGTTTGCTAGAGTGCATTTGGATGATCCAGAAGAGGATTGGGAGAATGTCATATGGTCAGATGAAACCAAAATAGAACTTTTTGGTAAAAACTCAACTCGTCGTGTTTGGAGGACAAAGAATGCTGAGTTGCATCCAAAGAACACCATACCTACTGTGAAGCATGGGGGTGGAAACATCATGCTTTGGGGCTGTTTTTATGCAAAAGGACCAGGACGACTGATCCCTGTAAAGGAAAGAATGAATGGGGCCATGTATCATGAGATTTTGAGTGAAAACCTCCTTCCATCAGCAAGGGCATTGAAGATGAAACGTGGCTGGGTCTTTCAGCATGACAAAGATCCCAAACACACCGCCCGGGCAACGAAGGAGTGGCTTCGTAAGAAGCATTTCAAGGTCCTGGAGTGGCCTAGCCAGTCTCCAGATCTCAACCCCATAGAAAATCTTTGGAGGGAGTTAAAAGTCCGTGTTGCCCAGCGACAGCCCCAAAACATCACTGCTCAAGAGGAGATCTGCATGGAGGAATGGGCCAAAATACCAGCAACAGTGTGTGAAAACCTTGTGAAGACTTACAGAAAACGTTTGACCTGTGTCATTGCCAACAAAGGGTATATAACAAAGTATTGAGAAACTTTTGTTATTGACCAAATACTTATTTTCCACCATAATTTGCAAATAAAATCATTAAAAATCCTACAATGTTATTTTCTGGAATTTCTTTTCTCATTTTGTCTGTCATAGTTGACGTGTACTTATGATGAAAATTACAGCCCTCTCTCATCTTTTTAAGTGGGAGAACTTGCAAAATTGGTGGCTGACTAAATACTTTTTTCCCCCACTGTATGTGAGAATGCTGTTCATTGACTACAGCTCAGCGTTCAACACCATAGTGCCCACAAAGCTCATCACTAAGCTAAGAACCCTGGGACTGAACACCTCCCTCTGCAACTGGATCCTGGATTTCCTGACTGGCCACCCCCTAGTGGTAAGGGTAGGTAACAACACATCCGCCACGCTGATCCTCAAAACGGGGGACCCCTCAGGGGTGTGTGCTTAGTCCCCTCCTGTACTCCTTGTTCACCCACGACTGCATGGCCAAGCACGACTCCAACACCATCATTAAGGTTGCTGACGACACAACAGTGGTAGGCCTGATCACTGACAACGATGAGACAGACTATCGGGAGGAGGACAGAGATATGGCAGTGTGGTGCCAGGACAACAACCTCTCCCTCAACGGGAGCAAGACAAAGAAGCTGATTGTGGACTACAGGAAAAGGATGGCCGAACACACCCCCATTCACATCGATGGGGCTGTAGTGGAGCTGGTCGAGAGCTTCAAGTTCCTTGGTGTCCACATCACCAACAAACTATCATGGTCCAAACACACGAAGACAGTCGTAAAGAGGGCACGACAACGCCTATTCCCCCTTAGGAGACTGAAAAGATTTGGCATGGGTCCCCAGATCCTCAAAATGTTCTACAGCTGCACCATCGAGAGCATCCTGACCGGTTGCATCACCGCCTGGTATGGCAACTGCTCGGCATCCGACAGTAAGGCGCTACAAAGGGTAGTGCGTATGGCCCAGTACATCACTGGGGCCAATCTTCCTGCCATCCAGGACCTCTGTACAAGGCGGTGTCAGAGGAAGGCCCAAAAAATTGTCAAAGACTCCAGCCACCCTAGTCATAGACTGTTCTCTCTGCTACCGCACGGCAAGCGATACCAGAGCGCCAAGTCTAGGTCCAAAAGGCTCCTTAACAGCGTCTATCCCCAAGCCATAAAACTGCTGAACAATTAATCCAAAAAATTCGATCTTTTTTATTTTACACTGCTGTTACTCACTGTTCATCATCTACACATAGTCACTTTACTCCTACCTACATGTACATATTACCTCAGTTACCTCGACTAACCTGCACTCCCGCACATTGACTCGGTACCGGTACCCCCTGTATATAGCCTCGTTATTGTTATTTTATTGTATTACTTTTTTTACTTTTAGTTTATTTAGTAAATATTTTCTTAACTGCATGGTTGGTTAAGGGCTTGTAAGTAACCTGTTGTGTTCGGCGCATGTGACAAATACATTTGAGTTGATTTTGATTAGAATGACACATTTAAATACTTTATCAGCAATTTTTTCTGTACATTGAGCCCTCTTAATGAACCTGGTACCTTTATACACATGGTTTGGGAATGCCCTCTGGTATCTGTATTCTGGGATGAAGTAGCTTCTAACTTATCCACTCTGTCAGAAAATATTCCTGCATCTCCTTTTGATTTCTCTGTACTTCATTTATATGTCAGAAGCGCATTCTTCTTGCTGGCCTAACTGCTGCAAAAAAATATATTGCAGTACGTTGGAAGCCTCCACACTCACTTTCTATCCGTCAATGGATCCTCACTTTTTTGGATGTAATTGATATGGAGCATTTTACCGCTCTCATTCATTGAGCTAAAGAAGACACTTTGAACCAATGGCTTCTTGCCACTGAAACACTTGTGATGTGTTGCTTTGATTTGTTATTTGTATGTTCATTTAATTTGATCCCTTAGGTCCTCGGGTGGGGTGGGATTGGGGAGGGGGGGTGTAACTTCATTTTGTATGTGTATATTCATATTTGCTGAATAAACATTTGATCACAAAATATATATATATTTTATCATCAGAACACACGCACACACCCACACATTTACACTTTGAGTTTCCCCTCTTGTGTGTGTGTGTGTGTGTGTAGGGTGTCTGAGAGTGTAGAGCGGAATCGCTTGCAGCTGCAGAGTGTGACAGATCGGATCAAGCTTGCCCAGGCCCGCGTCGACAAGATCAAAGGCAGCAAGAAGGCCACCAAGGTAACACGCTTCACACACAGAGTTTCAGATCTCTGCAAAACAGATTACTCACAATACTTTCAAGTTCTACGAGATGTTGGTTTGTGTGTGTGTGTGTGTGTATGTGTAGGTGTTCTCCAGTGCTAAGTATCCAGCTCCAGATCGTCTCCAGGATTACTCCTCCATCTTCAGTGGAGCCACAGACCCCGCCTCCCAGACACGCCCCCGATACCGCATACAGGCCAAACTACGATCCCTTGACGACAAGGCCCTGCAGGTAACACACACACATAAATATACAATACTTTATTTGATCTTCTGTTAAACATTGCAGTACAAAGGACCTACATATTTCAGAGGTCATACAGATTGCTGTACTTTGGACACAGAAAGCACTGTCTCCTCCGCAGCTAAAGCTGCCCATACAGCTGATATTTGTATAGTTTAAATGCACAGCTTTATAGCAGTATAGGCATAGCTGTTTAGATAAATTAAATATTACCATGCCTTTTTGGCTTTCATACACAATATACATTCTGCTCCACTCAGCCATACAGCTGTGCACAGGTATTTAACAGCTGCATAGACAAACCTGGGGTCTGAGGTGATGGGCTTTGACCTGGCTGGGAGACACCTACCACTAGTTAGGCTCTGACCTGACTTGACCTGCCTGAGGACAGACCTTTTCTGATCTGTGGACATGACATGAGAAGCTACCCTCAGGAAACTACTGTGTGTGTGCGCATGTGTGTAGTGGTGGAAAAAGTACTCAATTGTCATACTTGAGTAAAAGTAAAGATACCTTAACAGAAAATGACTCAAGTGAAAGTCACCCAGTAAAATACTACTTGAGTAAAAGTCTTAAAGTATCTGGTTTTAAATGTACTTAAGTAGAGTGGTGGAAAAAGTACTAAATTGTCGTACTTAAGTAAAAGTAAATGCTATACATGAAATTCCTTACATTAAGAAAACCAGACGGCACAATGTTATTGTTTTTTTAATTTAGCATTTGAAATGTAATGAATACTTTTGGGTGTCAGGGTATTTTTACTTAGTTACTTTACACCACTGTGTGTGTGTGTGTGTGTGTGTGTGGGCACCTTAGCTCAGCAGTAAAGTTGTGCATTATTGATAGTGAACACCCCTGAGTTCTCCCTCGCTGCCGGAACCGAAAACTTACAGGAACAGTAGTATTTTGTGCTGTGTGAGAGAGAGGAAGAGAAAGATGTGGAAAACAGTATTTTCTGTGTGCTTCCCTGTCTCAGAGATGTATTATTTCTGAAACCTCATGTGCTGCAGAGAGAGAGAGGTAGATGAGAGAGTGCGAGTGAGGGAGAGGGAACTAGACAGAGGCTGATGACAAAAAGAGAAAGAGTGGGTGTTATTCATGTGGTTTGGAGTCTGGTTGTGTGCAGACTCCAAACCATAGGGTATTTGAATCCGTCTTTGAATCTGTATCCCTCTCTTTTGCCTGCAAGGCTGTCTCTATCGAATGCTACTACTGTAGCTCTTTATTTGTTCAAAACAGCGGTGTAGTCCCCTGTAGCTCAGTTGGTAGAGCATGGCGCTTGCAACGCCAGGGTTGTGGGTTCGTTTCCCACGGGGGGCCAGTATGAAAAATTTATGCACTCACTAACTGTAAGTCGCTCTCGATAAGAGCGTCTGCTAAATGACAAAAATGTAAATGTAAAGCAAAGCTAATGCATGTTTATGTCTGGTGGCCATTTGTGTTTTCTAAAGAAAAGTAGGTTCTTACCAGACTCATCTAATATCTGTATTTTCTTGTTTTACACCCCCTGTCTCTATATCTAGGAGAAGTTGTGTTATTACCCGGTGTGTGTGAGCAGTAAGACGCGTTCGGAGGATGAGACTGAGGAGGGGCTGGGCGGTCTGCCTCGAAACATCTCCTCTGTCAGCTCCCTGCTGCTGTTTAATACTACAGAGAACCTGTTAGTACACACACACACACACACACACACACACACACACACACACACACACACACACACACACACACACACACACACACTCCTCTAACTGGTTGTGTATGTGTTTAGGTATAAGAAGTATGTGTTCCTGGACCCCCTGGCGGGGGCGGTGACTAAAACACACACCACCCTGGAGACAGAGAAGGAAGAGAAACCATTTGACGCTCCGCTATCCATAACCAAGAGAGAACAGCTGGAGAGACAGGTACACACACATCGTACATATACACTCCCACATTTGTGTTCAATAAAGAACTGGAGGTCTGAAATATTATTTCAAAGGGCCTTGCTAACAGGTTAAAGTGTGACTGTGAATTATGACACTCTCCCTTCTTCTCTCATTCCCTCTCCCTCTGTCCCCATGTAGACAGCAGAGAGTTACTTCTATGTTCCAGACCTGGGTCAGGTCCCAGAGATAGACGTCCCCTCCTACCTACCAGACCTGCCAGGCATCGCTGACGACTTGTCCTACAGCCAAGACCTGGGGCCAGGCATCGCACCCTCTGGACCAATACACATCTTCCCTGAACTACCGACCTTCACTGGGGAGGACATGCCTGGTACACACACTCTGTTTCTGTTGTGTGGATTATACAGAAGTTTCCATGGAAATCGGTCATGTCAACTGAGGGAAATGTTTCTATTGGTTTATGTTTTGTTGTTTGTTTGTGTTACAGATTCTCAGTTCCAAGTTGCAGTCCCGCCTCCTCCCCCTCCACCCCCACCAGAGCCCACACACACCCCCACCCCTCCCCCTGTTCTTCCCCCTCCTCCACCTCCTCCCCCTCCTCCACCTGCAGACAGCCCTGCCGACCCCAGCCGCACTCGGAGCACAGGTACCACACACACACTACATACAGTGCATTCGGAAAGTATTCAGACCCCTTCACGTTTTCCACATTTTGTTACGTTACAGCCTTATTCTAAAAGGCATTCAAACAAATATTCCTAATCAATCTGAAGACAATACCCCATAATGACAAAGCAAAAACAGGTTTTTAGACATTTTTGTATTCAGTCCCTTTACTCAGTACTTTGTTGAAGCACCTTTGGCAGCCATTACATCCTCAAATCTTCTTGGGTATGACGCTACAAGCTTGGCACACCTGTATTTGGGGAGTTTCTCCCATTCTTCTCTGCAGATCCTCTCAAGCTCTTTCAGGTTGGATGGGGAGCGTCGCTGCACAGCTATTTTCAGGTCTCTCCAGAGATGTTCGATCGGGTTCAAGTCCGGGCTCTGGCTGGGCCACTCAAGGACATTGAGACTTGTCCCGAAGCCACTCCTGCGTTGTCTTGGCTGTGTGCATAGGGTCACTGTCCTGTTGGGAGGTGAACCTTTGCCCCAGTCTGAGGCCCTGAGCGCTCTGGAGCAGGTTTTCATCAAGGATCTCTCTGTACTTTGCTCCGTTCAGCTTTCCCTCGATCTGACTAGTCTCCCAGTCCCTGCCGCTGAAAAACATCTCCACAGCATGATGCTGCCACCACCATGCTTCATCGTAGGGATGGTGCAAGGTTTCCTCCAGACGTGACGCTTGGCATTCAGGCCAAAGAGTTCAATCTTGGTTTCATCAGACCAGAGAATCTTGTTTCTCATGGTCTGAGAGTTCTTTAGGTGCCTTTTGGCAAACTCCAAGCGGGCTGTCATGTGCCTTTTACTGAGGAATGGCTTCCGTCTGGTCACTCTACCATAAAGGCCTGATTGGTGGAGTGCTGCATAGATGGTTGTCCTTCTGGAAGGTTTTCCCATCTCCACAGAGGAACTCTGGAGGTCTGTTAGAGTGACCATCGGGTTCTTGGTCACCTCCCTGACCAAGGCCCTTCTCCCCCGATTGCTCAGTTTGGCCAGGTAGCCAGCTCTAGGAAGAGTCTGGGTGGTTCCAAACTTCTTCCATTTAAGAATGATGGAGGCCACTGTGTTCTTGGGGACCTTCAATGCTGCAGAAAGTTTTTGGTACCCTTCCCCAGATCTGTGCCTCGACACAATCCTGTCTCGAAGCTCTACGGACAATTCCTTCGACTTCATGGCTTGGATTTTGCTCTGACATGCACTGTCAACTGTGGGACCTTATATAGACAGGTGTGTGCCTTTCCAAATCATGTCCAATCAATTGAATTTACCACAGGTGGACTCCATTCAAGTTGTCGAAACGCCTCAAGGATGATCAATGGGAACAGGATGCACCTGAGCTCAATTTCGAGTCTCATAGCAAAGGGTCTGAATACTTATGTAAAATAAGGTGTGTGTGTGTGTGTGTGTGTGTGTATATATATGTATATATATATATATATATATATTATTGTATTTATTTATAAAGCTTTATTTAGCTTTGTCATTATGGGGTATAGTGTGTAGATTGATGAGGATTTTTATTTTTTAAATCAATTTTAGAATAAGGCTGTAACGTAACAAAATGTGGAAAAAGGGAAGGGGTCTGAATACTTACCGAATGCACTGTATGTAAGTATACTCACTCACACACACACACACACTCTCTCCTTCTCTCTAACTGTGTGTTTATGTCCAGCTCCTGTAGCGGGGGCTCCCAGCGAGGTGGTTGAATCAAACAGCCGTGCCAGTCTACTAGAGTCCATCCGCAACGCTGGAGGCATCGGCAAGGCCAAACTACGCAACATCAAAGAACGCAAGATGGAAAAGAAGAAACAGAAGGAACAGGAACAAGGTAAGATAAAAAGAGGGGGAGTGAGAGGAGAGAGGTGGTGGGGGGAGAGAGGAAGAAGAATAGAGGGAGAGAAAATAAACAGATTGTCGTTGGTTGAGTGTCTTGGTTCTCCACTTGAATAACAAGCGAGCGATCAGTCTTGAACCTGGTGACTCTTTAAGAACATGTAGCACCAACCGAGCAATGCTACAGGCCTCCAGTTCTTTAATTTACAGAGCATATTTGGGACATAGTGTTAGTGTGTGCGCAGACTCCAAACCACAGGGTTACCTAACTAGTCATAGAGAACAGCTCAGGGCTGCATGACCTTTAGATGTATAAACATCACCTTCATTAAGCACTGATTTAACTACACAATGTTTTTATCTGTAAGACATTTGCTGTTTGCGCATGTGAGGGAGCAAGAATTTGTGTGAGTGAGTCCCGTCATCATTGCTGGTTCAGTTGCTGCCGGGCCACTCTAACATTTAACAGCTGGGTTCATCTGAGCAAGTCATGAAAACTTCTACAGTTGTTCACTAGCTATACTATTTATGTAGTGTGTAGCTACAGTAGATGTAACTGCTCTGGTCTCTGCTCTGGTCTCTCTCCACTGTACTAAAAAGGACATAGAAATGGAATCCATCATCTCTGCTTCACTGCTTTCTAACTGTGTTCTCCCTCCCTCTCTCCTCTCTCTCAGTGGTAGCAGCAGCCAGTGGAGGAGACTTCATGTCAGATCTCTTCAATAAGTTGGCCATGCGAAGGAAAGGTGAGAACATCTCTCTCCCCGCCTGTCTTCCCTACTTCGCTCATCTCCCCTGGGTTATTGTCGCAAAGGCTCTGATAGTGGCGTAGTAGTATTTCTGTCTTGGTGATAGTGGTGTGTGTGTTTCCTAGGTATCTCTGGTAAGGGTCCTGGAGGCGGGGACTCGGGGGAGGGCCCAGCTGGTTCTGGCAGCGCATTCGCTAGGATGTCTGACGTAATCCCGCCTCTTCCTGCCCCCCATCAGCCAACCGCTGAAGACGAGGACGACTGGGAGGCCTAACAACTGAGACTTGCCAATCAGAACCAATGGAACTCTGAGCACATCTAGCTCCAAGCCAATCAGAGAACAGAATACTGAGGCGATTCTGAGGGATGAAGCTAACGCTTGTTGAAGAGGTAATGCTGTGCTGTCAGTGGGTTGAGTTTCTTCCAGATGATAGACAATGGTGGCATTCCAGGTTGTAGCGTGACTTCAGTGAAGACCGGGAACGCCACTGGTTTCTTTTCAGATTATATGATTGTTTGACCATAGTGACGTGGTCCCTACGTTTTGCAATCAGCTGCACCTCCAGTGTCTGCCATGTATTTGACCCAGGTGTGTTCTATAGTTCAGTGACTCCCTCTGCTGGCTTTCTGTAGTACTGATCAGCACACTGGAACCATCAGGTACTGATCTTTACTGAGAAAATAAAAGGACAAACTATAGTAGAAAAGTCAGACCTCATCTTAGTATTGTAAAAATGTTTATTATAAAGTAATAAAAGTAACACGTAAATATTACATCATGTGTAACACCACACTAAAGTAGCAGAACTTTTAAATCAGAATGTATTTCATTCAATAAATGGCTTTTTGCATTTTAAAAAAAACTGGCAGTGGAGAGTTGACTGATCTGTACTGTTGGAGAGGTGTGTGTGTGAGACAAAGAGCCTAAACCTACAGTGCCTTCAGAAAGTATTACACCCTTGACTTTGCCCACCTGTTGTTGTTACAAAGTGGTATTAAAATGGATTTAATTGTCATTTGTTGTCAACGATCTACACAAAATACTCTAATTTCAAAGTGGAAGAAAACATTTATTTACAAAAAAATACAAAAAATAAAACGTATCTTAAATAGATAAGTATTCAACCCCAAGTCAATACATGTTAGAATCACTTTTGGCAGCGATTACAGCTGTGTCTTTCTGGGTAAGTCTAAGCGCTTTGCATATCTGGATTGTACAATATTTGCACATTCTTAACTTAAAAAAATTATTCAAGCTCTGTCAAGTTGGTTGTTGATCATTGCTAGACAGCCATTTAAGTTTTTTCAAATCAATTTAAATCAAAACTCAGGAACATTCAATGTCATCTTGCTAAGCAACTCTGGTGTATATTTGGCCTTGAGTTTTAGGTCATGGTCCTGCTGAAAGATGAATTTTTCTCCCAGTGTCTGGTGGAAAGCAGACTGAACAAGGTTTTCCTCTAGGATTTTGCCTCTGCTTAGCGCTATCCCGTTTCTTTTTATACTAAAAAACTCCCTAGTTCTTGCTGATGACAAGCATACCCATAACATGATGCAGCTAACCACCATGCTTGAAAATATGAAGAGTGGTACTCAGTGATGTGTTGTGTTTAATTTATAGAAAAGGTTTGTGGTCATACGCACATCCTTAAAAACATAGGTGCTGGGCTAACAAAGAACACTAGTAAAGCGGTGAATTGGGAGCTTCAACAGTGTGCGGGCCTTCTTGTTCTTTACTTGTGTTTGATTTGCCCCAAATGTAACGCGTTGTATTCTGGACATAAAGTTAATTTTTTGGCCACATTTTTCGCAGTTTTACTGCAGGAAGCATGTTTTGGAATATTTTTATTCTGTACAGGCTTCCTTCTTTTCACTCTGTCATTTAGGTTAGTATTGTGAAGTAACTACAATGTTGTTGATCCATCCTCCGTTATCTCCCATCACAGCCATTAAACTCCGTTTTGGCCTCATGGTGAAATCCCTGAGCTGTTTCCTTCCTCTCCGGCAATTAGAAGGATGCCTGTATCTTTGTAGTGACTGGGTATATTGATACACAATCCAAAGTGTCATTAATAACTTCACCATGCTCAAAGGGATATTCAATGTGCTTTTTAAAATGTTTATCCATCTACCAATACGTGCCCTTTGCAAGGCATTGGAAAACCTCCCTGGTCTTTGTGGTTGAATCTGTGTTTGAAATTCACTGCTCGACTGAGGGACCTTACAGATAATTGTATGTGTGCGGTACAGAGACGAGGTAGTCATTAAAAAATAATGTTAAGCACTATTATTGAGTCCATGCAACTTATGTGACTTGTTAAGCAACTTTTTACTCCTGAACCTGTTTAGGCTTGCCATAAAGGGGTTGAATACTTGACTCAAGACAATCTCAATTTAATCAATTTTTAATTCAGGCTATAACAACAAAATGAGGAAAAAGTCAAGGGGTGTGAATACATTCTGAAGGACACTGTACTGTATATGCTTAAACGAGTGTGTGTGTGTGTGTATATGTGCTTTTGATAAGAACATCCCTCCAATCGAAAAGAGAGAGACTCTTGTCCAATCAGAAGTCCTGGCTCCAGGCTGAGAGAGGTGAAGCAGCTTAACTTTTTTGACCTGGCCGCACTCTTTCCCCTTCAACTTCCTCTATAGCTGCTGCTGTTGCTTTTTCTTCTCCATGAAGAACTGAGTTGGGTCAGAGAGCTCCTGCGCTCCAGGGTTGTGCTCTACAGGAGTGCGTGTGCGACTGTGTGTGTGATTTACCCGTCGCAGGCCAGCGAAGGCAAGGCCGAAGCTGGTGTGTGTGCTCTGATCCAGTCGGGGATTTGGCCAGCGTTGCAGGTTGGGAGTAGCGTCGGTCACAGAACAATACATGCATAGTCTCCGCGATGACGGATCGCTCTTCCTGTGGGGAGAGGAAATTAGGTAATCCCCAGAAGATTGATTGATTAGGGATACAGATTGATTGATTAGGCCAGGGGTATACATACCTTGAGATATATACTGAACAAAAATATAAAATGCAACAATTTCAAAGATTGTACTGAGTTACAGTTCATATAAGGAAATCAGTCAATTGAAATAAATTAATTAGGCCCTAATTTATGGATTTCACATGACTGGGAATACAGATATGCATCTGTTGGTCACAGATACCTAAAAAAAAAAAGTTAGGCGTGGATCAGAAAACCAGTCAGTATCTGGTGTGACCATCATTTGCCAAATGCAGCGCGACACATCTCCTTCCCATAGAGTTGATCAGGCTGTTGATTGTGGCCTGTGGAATGTCGTCTCACTCTTCAATGGCTGTGCAAAGATGCTGGATATTGGCGGGAACTGGAACACGCTGTTGTACACATATCCAGAGCATCCCAAACATGCTCAATGGGTGATATGGGTCTGGTGCGTATGCAGGTCTTGGAAGAACTAGGACATTTTCAGCTTCCAGGAATTGTGTACAGATCCTTGCGACATGAGGCTGTGCATTATCATGCTGAAACACAATGTGATGGCGGCGGATTAATGGCACAACAATGGGCCTCAGGATCTCTTCACGGTATCTCTGTGCATTCAAATTGCCATAAAAATGCAATTGTGTTAGTTGTCCGTAGCTTATGCCTGCCCATACCATAACCCCACCGCCATCATGGGGCAAACCGCTCGCCCACTCGATGCCATACTCGCCATACTCTGCCATCTGCCCAGTACAGTTGAAACCGGGATTCATCCTTGAAGAGCACACTTCTCCAGCGTGCCAGTGACCAACGAAGGTGAGCATTTTCCCACTGAAGTCGGTTACGACGCCGAACTGCAGTCAGGTCAAGACGATGAGCTTCCCTGAGATAGTTTCGCTGAAGTTCTTCGGTTGTGCAAATCCTCAGTTTCATCAGCTGTCCGGGTGGCTCATCTCAGACCATTGCGCAGGTGAAGAAGCCGGATGTGGAGGTCCTGGGTTGGCGTGGTTACAGGTTGTCTAAGGTCGTGAGGCCGGTTGGACGTACTGCCTTTAAAACGACGTTGGAGGCTTATAGTAGAGAAATTAACATTCAATTCTCTGGCAACAGCTCTGGTGGACATTCCTGCAGACAGCATGACAATTGCATGCTCCCTCAAAACTTTTTTGAGTGGCCTTTTGTTGTCCACAGCACAAGGTGCACCTGTGTAATGATCATGCTGTTTAAATTAGCTTATTGATATTCCACACCTGTCAGGTGGATCGATTATCTTGGCAAAGGAGAAATGCTCACTAACAGGGATGTAAACAAATTTGTGCACAACATTTGAGAGAAATCAGCTTTTTGTGCTTAACGGAAAATTTCTGGGATCTTTTATTTCAGCTCATGAAACATGGGACCAACACTTTACATGTTGTGTTTATATTTTTGTTCAGTATACTGTAGATAGATATGTTAACTATAGATTAACTGAAAAGGTTTATAGGTAAGAGAGCAAAGGTAACCTGCCTAAATTACTACCGCCCCGTAGCACTCAAGTCTGTAGCCATGAAGTGCTTTGAAAGGCTGGTCATGGCTCACATCAACACCATCATCCCGGAAACCCTAGACCCAACAGATCCACAGATGATGCAATCTCAATTGCACTCCACACTGGCCTTCCCCACCTGGACAAAATAAACACCTATGTGAGAATACTGTTCATTGACTACAGCTCAGCGTTCAACACCATAGTGCCCACAAAGCTCATCACTAAGCTTAGGACCCTGGGACTAAACACCTCCCTCTGCAACTGGATCCTGGACTTCTTGACGGGCCGCCCCCATGTGGTAAGGCCAGGCAACAACACATCTGCCACGCTGATCCTCAATACGGGGGGCCCGTCAGGGGTGCGTGCTTAGTCCCCTCCTGTACTCCTTGTTCACCCACGACTGCGTTGCCAAGCACGACTCCAACACCATCATTAAGTTTGCTGACGACACAACAGTGGTAGGCCTGATCACCGACAACGATGAGACAGCCTATAGGGAGGAGGTCAGAGACCTGGCAGTGTGGTGCCAGGACAACAACCTCTCCCTCAAAGTGAGCAAGACAAAGGAGATGAACTACAGGAAAAGGAGGGCTGAACACGCCCCCATTCACATCGACGGGGCTGTAGTGGAGCTGGTCAAGAGTTTCAAGTTCCTTGGTGTGCACATCACCAACAAACTATCATGGTCCAAACACACCAAGACAGTTGTGAAGAGGGCACGACAACACCTTTTCCCCCTCAGGAGACTGAAAAGATTTGGCATGGGTCCCCAGATCCTCAAAAAGT